TGTGCATGCTTCTCAGACTGGTCGTGCATGGTAGAATATACAAAAGTAGCCAAATAGATGTGTGAGAATAAGCAGCAGAGGCACAGCAACAGAAATATAGCAGAGCAGAGACAGCAAGGATAGAGCAAGAGAGAGAGAGAGAGATAGATCAGATTACAGTGATTGCAATCAAAAGGACTTGTGCGTGCGAGCCCATGGAGATCATGTGATATGCTTGGAGGGCCGGACTTCCCAAAATCTAGTGGACAGTGGCTGAAATTTGATCGGAGTCCGAAAATCGTCCAAATATAGCAATATTCCAGCCACCAGTGTACACCTTCTGCATATGGAAGGTGCTTGACGTGTCTGGTGTCTGGGGCACATGACCAAACAAACATGGCCAAATAGTTGGTTTTATGAGCTGGCGCAACTTCCTCTCTCTCTTCCTTCTCTACCACCATCATCCCCTTCCAGCAAGCTGGCCACAAGTGGCTGAGCTTTGTTGCTGCATGTTGCCATGGGCATGCAGTGTCAAAGCTCAGTTATTTGCGCGTGCCTTTGTAAGGTAACTGTTTCTTTTCCTGTAGATATTATGTAATATGCACTTTACTGACTTCATCCCATGGCTGGTCTTTGGCCAGTCATGGGGTACATGTGGGTTTTGGGGGATCACTGGGCCTGCGGCGACGAGCTGCAGAGGGCTCCACATTGTGGGGGCGACCCACTCACATCCCTCACTTGGTACTTGAGATTTGGGGAATCACTGGGCATGCAACGGCGAGCTGCAGAGGGCTCTGCATTGTGGGGGTGACCCATTCACGTCCCTCACCTGGTACTTGAGATTTGGGGGATCACTGAGCATGCGGCAGCGAGCTGCAGAGGGCTCCGCATTGCGGGGGTGACCCACTCGTGCCTCTCACCCAGTATATATGGGAATTGGGGGATTTTGCACTTTGGTGCCAATGCGCTTCGGTGTACTTGCGTCTAGGCGCATATGTGCTCTGCACATTACATTGTCGCCGGCCATCAGCCTTGTGCTGTGCGAGTCATGCGTGGAGCTGCCATTGGCCTGCTCTATAAGGTCAGTCTTTTTTACTTGTTTGTTTGTTTTTGCATGATATGGTGGGAGTACAGGAAGTGTAAGGATGATGTGGTAAGTACTCCACTACACTTCATACTGATACTGACAACTGTTCTTCAGCATATAGTGGGTTTTATGGCAGTGGTGAAGATGAGGCCAAATTCTATAGTGGATTGAAAGAACCGGTAAGTTTTTTTCCTTACACTTTGAAGAATACTGACCTTTTGATGTTTTCACAGCCTCTTACACATGTACTGAAAATTGACGATGGTCACTGCAGTGTGAGCAATGCAGCGCACAAGGTGAGCATTTTTTAACATTTTGCAACAGTTTTCTGACTTCCTTTTGGTGTTTTTCAGATTGTATTTGTACTTTTCTTGTAGTCTACCTTCTTTTTCTTTTCCCTTCTTTCTGGTGGTTGTGGCGAATGAGGGAGGGCCCGCCCTCAGTCATCACAAGTCACCTTTTGTGTTTTCAATTTTTGTAGTTAGAAAAATTTGTAACACTTGAGTTTATAACAATGAAGCATGAATAAGGCGAAGCCATGCCGGTACGCCGGGCGATGCACAGGCACTTCAGTCATGTGATCACATCACACACCACCATGTGTACTTTTTGAATCCTTGGCCCATCTGCTACAACAGCATTCTCAGTACTTTCATCATTTCAAAAGCCCTACTATCAACTATAGCTGGCAAAGCTCAAGAGTATGTGCTTTCTCCAAGCCAGATTTCATCTGATTGAGCAAACTGAACCATAGCTCTGAACTTCCAGACCCTTGTACCCCTGGAGGGTATCACTGCATATAGTATATATAATGTAAGCAGTAACTGTATGATGAATAAAGCCTAAGTACAGCCTAGATACAGCCTTAAACTATGTATTCAGAAGCTCCAAAGGGAAAAGAAGACTGTTACAAGCCTTAAACGTAATGTGTATAATGTCATTCCCTCAAATAAGGCAGATATTGAGGGGTATACCCTCAGGGTTTGGTACCCTTACCCATACCCTTACCCCTGGTGAAGGGTATGTACCCTTGGAGGGTAAGAGTAGAGGTACAGCTCAAAGTACCCAGGGGTATACCCCTGCTCTGCACTAGCCTGACACCATGCTTCTTTAAGGTCCTGGAGGATACACTCGTTCAAATTTAAATAGCCAGTCACACACATTTATTAACTACTTTGCATACCTACCTTTGCAACTCGCAAACTATCTGACAATCATTTGACCATTGAATGCCTGTTGTGATTGAAGTGCAAAGTCCTTGAACATTGCACCTTGCTTTGCTGCATAGGATGCATGATCACATAGACCTGCACTCACCGCCTCCATCTCCCTGGTCTGCCACTCATGCTGCTTGCGTTCAAACCACAGGACAGTCTATAACATCTCATATTACACCTTTGGTACCTCCTCCTTGTATCTTGTGTCTTGTGCCTTTGCTCTCAGCCAGTTAACTCGATTAACTGACATGCTAATTACAATCTGTGAATAAGTTTAACCAGGCATGAACAGATAGTCACTCACCCTCCTTCATCACTTAGGGCCCTAGTGCAGAGCAGGGGTATGCATAACCCTCAAGGGTAAGAGGTAAGGGTATTGGAGAGTAAGGGTAGGGGTATGAACTTTCAGACCCTTGTACCCCTGGAGGGTATCACTGCATATAGTATATATAATGTAAGCAGTAATTGTATGGTGACTAAAGCCTAAGTACAGTCTAGATACAGCCTTAAACTATGTTTACAGAAGCTTTAAAGGGAAAAGAAGAATATTACAAGCCTTAAACTTAATATCTATGATGTTATTTCCTCAAGTAAGGCAGATATTGAGAGGTATACCCTCAGGGTTTGGTACCCTTACCCATACTCTTACCCCTGGTGAAGGGTATGTACCCTTGGAGGGTAAGGGTAGGGGTACAGCTCAAAGTTCCCAGGGGTATACCCCTGCTTTGCACTAGTGTCAGCAAGACCATTAAGTTTGGATGCCTTAGCCTGAAGCCCCATTTGTGTAAAAAGCTATATGGCCAAGGCCAAAGTGTGAAAAACTCTTTATAGAATGAAAATTTCTAGATCCTCAGCCAAGGCCACCATTTTCACAAAAACTATATAGGGCATTCTTGGCTAATGCCAAAGTTTAGAAGACCCTATATAGAATATAAATTTCAGAACACTCAGCCAAGACCACCATTTCCATAAAAACTATATAGGATATTTTCAGCCACGACCAAATTTCAGACAATCCTATATAGGATTTCAATTTCTTGACCCTTGGCCGCAGGCATTATTTTCACAAAAATCTATATAGGGTACCCTTGGCCACAGCCAAATGTCAGGAAATGCTATATAGGATCAAAATTTTATATGCCTTGGCCGAGTGAAACATTTACACAAAGATTCTATATAGGTCCACTTGGCCAAGCCCAACTGTCTGCAAACTCTATATAGGATTGGAATTTTATGACTCTTGGCCAATGGCACTATTTCAGCTACAATCTATATAGAGAAATGGCGGCCGACCTCAAAATGTCCGACAACCTATATAGACTTTAAACCACACCTCCCTTGGCTAACTCCCAAATATGCGACTCAGCCTATATAGCCTACTTATCTTGGCCAACCCTACATCTCCATCCTATATTATATTCTTGGCCAACACTCAGTTTTATGGAAATTTACACAAAATATTCCACCTCAGTTATATGGACTTTTAGGTATATATTGGCTGATAGGTATGCACCATTGTAATGTGCACATTGTAAATATATTGTACACAATATTGCCCAGATTGTACATGCATTGTAAATGTATTGTACACATTATTAACAAGATTGTACATGTATTGTGCACATTGTATACAATATGTACAAAATAAAATTGCACTCAGCCAGGATTACACCCCTAACCTCCTGACACATGCTTATGTAAGCTACTATTATATACACACTTTTCCACTTAGCCATTTTGCCTTATTGTTTGTTTAACCTCAATTGTATATAAGGCTACTATCTATGTTAAGAGATATTATAATGCCTTGTAATGGCTACTACAGTTCACTTATTACACATAATCTAACCCTTTACTAATAAATATTGAACTTATATAATAGCTTTATTACAACATATTTTAGCACTTAGTAAAGGATTAGATTATGTGTAATAAGTGGACTGTAGTGGCCATTACAAGGCATTATAATATCTCTTAACATAGATAGTAGCCTTATATACAATTGAGGTTAAACAAACAATAAGGCAAAATGGCTGAGTGGAAAAGTGTGTATACAATAGTAGCTTATGTAAGCATATGTTAGGAGGTCAAGGGTTTAATCCTGGCTGAGTGCAATTCTATTTTGTACATATTGTATACAATGTGCACAATACATGTACAATCTTGTTAATAATGTGTACAATACATTTACAATGCATGTACAATGGTGGCCAGGTTGTGCACAATTTCTCCCCCAGTTAACTGGGAATATTGTATACAAAGGTGTGGCCCACAACTGGCATCTCACAGGTCTCATTCCGACCAATCAGATGGGCATGGGAGGTAAAAGTGGACATCATTACATGGCTAATGCAGCAATGCTTCAGAGCAGGCTATCACCCGAAAGCATGGTGGAAGGCCATCGCAGTAGCCCTACCCAAACCACGGAAACCCAATTACTCCAACCCAAGAGCATACCACCTGAGACAGCTACTGGAATGCCTCAGAAAGGTACTCAAATGTATCATGACTAATCATTTAGCATATCTCGTGATAACACACAACTTAGTGCCTGCGAACCAGTTTGGCAGGTGCCCAAGCAGCTCAACAGATGATGCCATACTCACCTTTATCAATGACGTGGAGGCTGCACCGAACCATGGCAAGGTAACCTTTGCACTAACATTTGATATTAAAGGTTTTTTTGACTTCGTTAACCACAATGGCTACTCACGGTGATGCGAGAGAAGGGAATTCCCCTACAACTTGTACGTTGGACAGCATCATTCCTTGCAAAGAGACAGGCAGCCATCTGCCTCGACGGGATCCATGGGGAGATGAAACCCGTGGAGAATGGTATTCCACAGGGCTCGCCAGTCTCACCCATTCTATCCATAATTTACGCAGCTGAAATTCTCGAGATCTTCGAGAAAAAGGCGGTACTTGACACTCAGGCCAAAAACTCTGGACTCAAGCTACCCGACAGACCCACCGCCGTCTACCTGATCATGTTCGTGGATGACAGCAAACTGTACGTTTCCTCAGAATCACTAGACACTAACACTCGCATATTAGGCATCGCATACAATAAGGTTGCCGACTGGCTTAAAAGTGTTGGCCTTGCCCCCAACAAGGTGAAGCGAGAGCTAATGCACTACTCCAAATGCAGACGAACAGATGGAGACTCCCCATCCATTACCCTACCAGGCAAAAATGGCAAACCGATGATCATCAAGGCAGAACTCACCACAAAGTGGCTAGGAGTATACCTAGACCATGACTAACCTTCGACTTTCATGTCAAACAGATAGCTGGACAAGCAGAGAAGACAGTGAATAATATGAGCATGCTCGCCAACACCATCAAGGGCCTCTCGCAAAGCCATCGCAAAGCCACCTTCAAACACTATACATAGCTTGTGTATGCCCGACCATGACATACGCAAGCGCCGCATGGTGGACAGGTAAGAAACTCCACGAGAACTGGCTCGAGCGCATCCAGCGATGTGCACTATGACTCATCTGTGCCGCATTTTGAACCATGCCAATTGCGGCACTTGAGCTGGAAGCATCAATTCTCCCTATTAAACATCATCTGGAACTAACAAGTGACAGAGCTGTGATCCGCTTCAACAAACTAACCTCCTACAGCCCAATCCTCTAGAGACTCCCAGCAGTGTGGTGACACAAACTGGTATGTATTACGCCACCCAGCCCACCACTGCCAACACACAGGAAGGTTACCGCCAGATGGAAGTCACCACCCAAATCCACACATCTAAGTCGACTGGCACTCTGCTCGGACCCACTCAACGAATGCATCCTACCTTTCTGCCTCCCACTGTGGAAGAAGACAGTACAAGACTATCAGGGTCGCCTCCAGATAACTCCAGCCAAGCAAGGCAGCTTGAAAGACGAAGCGATGACTGCACACAATGAACACGTAAGCACCTTCAATTGCTTATCATCACACTTATTACTGTACTCCGACGACTCTATGCTGGAAACAGCAGGGAGACACTGATACGCTCCCAGACCTCCTGGCCTCTGAAAACGCATTTTTCAGTGATCGCTCAGACCTCACTATTCCATCCAGTAGCCTCCGAGATGCATCCGACTCTTTTGCGACCTGCTGCGAACTTTCCAACTTCATGCGACTTTGTTCGACTTCACACCGAGATTCGACATTCTTTCCTCACTCATACGCCACTCCTGCATCTCCTCGCTGTCGGATACCACTTACCCGTTGTCCTTTGGTCTAGTCCAATGCGCCCTGGTCAATTTTCATCTAAATCCATACTTCCCCGATGTCGCGCCGCCTTTCTGGATGTCGCACCGACTCGCTGGTTCATCACGCTGACTTATTGGTGTCACATGATGGTCGCGACCCCTTGTTTTGCAAATCCCATTCCTTTTATCGTTCAACTTTCCCCCTTCAAGACCCCTACCTTCATGCTGGACAAGAGATGCCATTAGAGTGTTCCATGTGGTCCAGGACAAGTAACATATGTTTTCTTTCGATTTTCCTCTACTTTACCATTTTTCTCCATCACTAACGTACGACATTCACATCTCCACTCTCTTTACCTATTTTTCCATTGGTCCTAGACCATTGTGACTCTCTCCGATGTCAGGATCCATCTTCCGACATTTCGTGACTTTCGCATTTCACTTCTCCATTTTCCCCTCTATAAATACCTGCTGTATCTATATCGATTATCATCGAAGACCAGTAGGAGACTTCCCCCTTCACTTCAGATCACCGAGAAAACTGCGTTTACTGCGATAGCGACTTTGAACTGTGATATACCCCACTGCGACATAGCGACATAGCGAGACTGCTATACTTCGAGACTGCGTACTGCGACTGCGATAGCGAACTGCAACACTGTGATAGCGACATAGCGATATAGTGATAGCGACCTGCATTAGTCTTAAATCCGACTTTTGCGTTAGACTCACTGCAACTTCATCGAGACGGCGAATACTGCGTTCCCCCATAGTGTTTTACCCCCACAGATAGTTCCCTTGCCCTTTGTGATTTAGTTCATCTTCGCCTACGAGTTTAGCGATTGCATCGTGACTTTAGCCTCCTACCTCCGACTTTCGCGACTTTGTCATAAATTGTCACCTGACTTTGCGTGTACATCACGAACCCTCATTTCTTTACAGGTTGCATCCCCCTTTAGCTTAGGTTGAGGTTCTGGGACCCACTTGCTTTATTTTACAGTTGCGACACCCTTCTCTCACACACAGATCGCCCCTGCTTCTTGTTTGTTTTAGTGGGGTTTAGGTGTTTGTGTCGGGTGTGCACTCATCAATGCTGAGTAGGAGCGGGCTATGTAGAACTCATCAACATGAAGACCACAATTCGCTGCAAGGTCGGCATGGGCAAGAAGTCAGAAGTATACAATGCAGAACTAGTGGGCCTGTCGTGGGCAGCATGTGATGCTACGCACTACATTCAGATGACCAACCCAGCCATCAACCACCTTCACTTTTATGCGGACAACACATCCACGATATCCACAATCTTCGAACCAATGTCAGGACCAGGACAAATGCATGGCCGGATTTTTAGGCAAGTCATCACGACGTTCCTCAATGCTAACCCAGAGAACACCGTAGAGATTGCATGGACACCAGGTCACAAGGGCATCACAGGCAATGAACTCGCTGACAAACTTGCCAAACAAGCAACCGAGATTGCCAGAGGCACGACCAAGGCCACCCGTGCACATGCCCTTGACCGAGCAAATGAAAAGGCCTTCGAGAAATGGACTGCCAAGTGAAAATGCACAGCACTGACTGGACGCTTCACCAGTGCAAACCAACTGCCCCCACAGACATGCCCACACAAGCCCTTCACTGAACTCCTGAGGGAGGTTTTCAGGAGACTCATGCAATGCCGAACAGGACACGGATTCCTAGGTGAGTACTATTCGCAATTCGTACCATCTGAACTAGTTGTCTGCTCATGTGGTGTACAATTCCAGATGCGCAAGCATATTCTACAAGACGGCCCAAGATATGACAGCTCCTGACACATACTACAGGAAGCAAGTGAAACTGTCGACATACCCACCATCCTCAGAACACCAGCCAGCATAGCTGCACTCGGACACTTCCTCAAGGAGAGCAGGGCCATGATGAAGACAGGAGAAAGGCGAGCAGAGATGAAGCTCGCACGGTGGGAGAACGAGAAGGAGCCCACACACGAAGATAAGGCTGACAATGCTGACAGCGAGAGCGACAATGAAGATGTCAACAACAATAACAATAACAACAACAAGATGTAGGAGCTGCGCATCACACCGACAGTACTAGCTGCATGGCGAAGTATCGCCCCCCCCCTCCACAATGTAACAGCCAACAACACACGTGCACCAGGGGAACAAATTTGACTTGCATCCCTAGGAGAAGATGTCGCTAACCCCCGCTTTTCTATTTTCTATTCTCTATGCTTTCCCCATTTCTCTCTAATTTATTGAATATGCATCATAATTTATGGTCTACGTCACGGCGCCGAGGCTCACCTCAAACCCGCCCCCACACCCCACAAGTCACACAGTATGCCTTACATTTACCTACTATCCCAATCTCAAGCTACCCACACCATACCATCCCCCACCTGGACGTTCTCCCTGTCGTACAGTAGATATTCGTGTACAGACCGGAGAACACCGCGTCTTAGCACATGACTTGCTTGTTGCAGTATATAAGTGCCAAATTCATTCATTCATTCACATAACCTTAACAGTTTACACTCATGCATAATATATATAGTAAATTTTGCTAAAAGGACTTAGACAAATTCTGCTTATCACAAAAGTAGTGACTGAGTTAGACATAAGAAAAAGGATGTTTCTAGTCACTTTAGGGTACCCTTCAGACCTAGCTCTTAGCTTCAACATAACTTGTAGTGTATTGTAGCTAAGGGCTTCTCAGATGACTGAGTGACCATTGTACTAACACATGTCCCAGGGCATTATATGTGATTATCCAGAATATAGATAGGATATAGGCTGGTCCATCTTATAGTACTAGTGTATTTACTAGTTGTTCTATAATGTCAAGGGTACAGAAGATGTCCCACTATTCACTTTAGAGTACTTTTTATCTCTAGCTCTTAGCAACAAAATCTTCTATAGTATGTCATTGCTGAGTGCCTCTTAAGTGCCAGTATGATTATAGTACCAATACATATCTCAGAGCATTAAAAGATTGCTCAGAGTATAGATAGGATGTAAGCTGAGTATATGGGATGAATCTTGTGGGGGATATCCTAGTAAGCTAGAACATTGATACTCTGAAGTAAGTAGTGGGACATTTTCTGTACCCCTGACATTATAGAACAACTAGTAAATACACTAGTACTATAAGATGGACCAGCCTATATCCTATCTATATTCTGGATAATCACATATAATGCCCTGGGACATGTGTTAGTACAATGGTCACTCAGTCATCTGAGAAGCCCTTAGCTACAATACACTACAAGTTATGTTGAAGCTAAGAGCTAGGTCTGAAGGGTACCCTAAAGTGACTAGAAACATCCTTTTTCTTATGTCTAACTCAGTCACTACTTTTGTGATGAGCAGAATTTGTCTAAGTCCTTTCAGCAAAATTTACTGTATATATTATGCATGAGTGTAAACTGTTAAGGTTATATGGAGTAGTGGTTAAAGTGTGTGAAGTTTCTTAGTCATGTGACTTTCACCTGAGGTTGAGAGTTTAATTCTGGCTGGGTGCAAGTTCTTAAATTAGTTTTGGCTTTGGATAATTCTTGGATGATTTTTAGCATTATCCTTTGGATTATCTTCAGATTAGCTTAGAATATTTCAAAGGGATAATCCTCATGTTTGGATTATCCACATGGCCTACTTATTAAACTCGGATTTCAGCCTTAATTGTAACTTATAAGCACTAAAAATTATCCCTTATAACTGACATCACTGCTGTGTCAAGGGAGAGTTGCAGCTTCACCTGAATATCATCCAGGATGTGTTCAGGTAGGGTTGCTGATGCTGCAACAATGGATATATTCCATGCATCAGGAAAACCCCACTTTTTCTTAAGAGAACACTTACATAACTTAAATGGACTTATAGTCCTTATTTAAGGACATAAGGACAAAAGGGCCTAAGGCATATTCCCTGAGTGTCTGAAATTCAACTTATTAAGACTTATTTCAACACTATGGACTTAAATAAGGGTTGCCAGACCCCAAAGTCTAAATAAGTCCCTAAGAAAAAGTTGGATTTTCCTCATGTGGAATGCATCCACGCAATGCTCCAAGCAGAGCATAATCAGGCCGAAAGCTTCCACTCCAGAGACTAATGCAGTGTGCTTCATCAATTCCGACAACTCACAGATGATGATGGTAGGCTGCTTTCGATAGAACGGCACTGTGGAACTCCGGTGTTTTTGCTATCTCTGGCGAGATGAATGCCATGTGGTGCTTGCCAGAGACTATGTCCTATTAGGATTAGGTGAGTCTCCACACATTCTCACATGATACCGTAAGAAAGCTTACTTTGTACACTGTTTCTGTGTTAGTCATGGCCAGAGTCTGACGACATATAGCTACAGATAAGAGCTTCATGCTGTGTACCTATCATCTCTGTCAAGCTTCGACTTTTTTCTTGAGTAAGGTGAGTTTTACCTGGTCAATCATAAGTGCCGACAGAGGAATAATAACTAGAGTTGTGTCGTGCTCATTTAGAAGAAGGGGAAGGATGAAGCATAGAGATTTCTTGCTCCCTGTCCCAACATCTATAATCACATCCTTACTCTGCAGAACTGCGAGGGCAGCATCTAGCTGCCAACTGAATGGTTTCACATTCAAGACTGTAGCGGCATGCTCGATGAGCTCATTTTGGACCGACTCGAGCTTGTCAGGGTGGTAGATGTGGCACTTAGACAGTTTCTGTGACATTTTCTATTGTCAATAGGGAGGAAAACTATCATTTTCATGGTGTGCAAGCCACTACTGTACACTCCTGAATATGAATGCATTCTGTATAGGATCCGCAAAACTGTACAGTGGCATAGAGGAGTGCTGCTCTATGCGGCAGGAGGATGAAACAAGATGCATAGCCAAGTATTTCTCTGGGAAAAACCCTGAGAAAATTCATAAAGTAAAGCGTGAGAAAAAAGTTTGAAGAAAGCATAATGAATTTTTGTGGGAAATACTGTGATTGTCCAATCAGCAGCCGAGAATCACAGTTTTTCCTTGAGAAATTCTTTGTTCTTTTCCCACAGTTTTTCTGTGCACTTTACTTTAACCCTTTCTAGAGGTTTTTCCGCAAAAAACACCGGGCTATGCTTCTTGTCACCTGGACCTCACATGTTCCTAAGCTAATAAGCTTGTCAAGCACCCCCGGTACGGCAAGCTAATAGGCTTGATTGGCCTATGTCCCGCACACTGCCGGTAACACTGGGAATATTGTGGGCTCGATGCCTAAAGCATCGAGCTTACATGATAGCGCTGATAAGGCCCGTGTCGTCATCGGCACTGATGTATAGATAGCACGTGCTGCCCCGCCAGTCATCATCAGGTACCACCGGCTATCGGATCCCGCTTCCGCGCCCAATGCCGGTGCCCTCATCGCCGCTGTCCCCAACGACAACGACGACAATTCCCTTGTATCTTCCCCAATTCTCTCCGTTTTTTTTTCGCTTTTTTGATGTTCTATGACCATGTAGCTGTACTGTAGCTCCACCACAGTAGACTCTTCAGATACTCACTGGTAATTGCACCTAATGTTCCTTGAGACAATGATGGGCAGGCAAAGGAACCTAATTCCATTGAGATTAAATCTATCCACACCTATGGAAGGGGAGGAGATGTAATGTGAAAGAAGGAACAAGTGTAGTAGTATGGTGAGATGAAAGGGCCGTGGGGAATATATGAAGTAGAAAGAGGTGATGGGAAGGAGGGGGTAACAACGAAAGGAAATAGTGCCAGTAGAGGAGAAGGCCACGGACAAAGGGTAAAGGCAAAGGCAAACATGATGGTCAGAGTGAAGGTGGCAGTGATGGAGGGAGGTAAGGATAGAGGCGACGAGTGGTAGTGACGACGATAAAGGCGATGGCGATGGAGGGCAACAGCGATCAAGGTGACGGCGATGGAGGGCGACAGCAATTGAGGCGATGGCGATGGAGGGCGACAGCAATTGAGGCGATGGCGATGGAGGGCGACAGCAATTGAGGCGATGGCGATGGAGGGCGACGGTGATGGAGGGCGACAGCTATGGAGGGGCGAAGGTAACAAAGAGCGCAGTGGCAATAGAGAAGGCAATAGAGAGGGTGATCGAGGAGACGAGACACACCACCTACTTACATGATAGATGGCACTGTATCTTCCGTCGTGGACGGCGACACATTCTCGACCACCCCTGCCATCTTCTTCTTCACCCGAGGACCCCTCTTCACACCCTTGTCACTGTGCAACTTCCGAGTTTTCTTGGGAACCACGAGGCCTGAACCATCTGGAGCGGAGATGACGTTCACAAAGTCTGTGAACGGTGCACCCGTCTTTGCTCGTTTGCACTGAGAGGCCCCGTCCGTGACATCGGCCTGCTGGGGACGCTTGTTCGCATAGGTCTCAGGACTGTGGTCATTGGCGGGCAGAGTCACAGAGGATGCAGCTACCATGTTCTGACCAGTGGGCGGGGGCAAAATGACGTTAGACGGGGAATCTACCGGTGTAGCATGCACCGCGAGCTCGGAAGATGTCTGCACAGTGTCAGCCTCCTGCACAGTGTTGGCATCCTGCACAGTGTCTTCCTGATCATTTCCAGCCTCTGTTGTCACCTGCTGAGACCGTCGCTCTAACCACTGCATCCACTCCTCATCAGGCATGGACCGGAAGCGCATGCGACCAGACTCCCAGGACCCGAACAAGACCTCAAGTTCGGTATGCGAGCCTACATCCCCCGGGCAGCAGAACTTAGGCAATGGCCAGTTCTCGATAACTACACCGAACTTTGCGGTAATTTGGGTGTTGAAGTTGAGGTACACCATCTGCGAGATAGAGCCTCTCACTGCAGCTCGTTCTATCAAACTAGTTAGAATTAATACAAAACATTTGCGGCCGCACTTACTGAGCTTCTGCATGATCAGCCCACTTGTCTTCTTCTTCAAATCCAGCACTTCCTGCACGTAATTGCTGACAACACCTGGTAGAACTGTAAGTATTGATCAGGTGCATTAACTGTGTGACGACTTGCCTTCGACTCCGGAAATACAATATCCTTCCATATGCATTGCAAGCTCTTGTACAGTGCACTTGGTGGTCGTCACAATAAAGTGGGCTAAGCGCGGGTTGCTGTAGAATATAAAAGGCTGGTTGTACTGATTGACGTCCGACCTCACAGCAAACATGAGGACTTCGGTGCCGGTACGATCATGAAGGGCCACCAGCTGAAAAAGCGGAGTAGTCAGCACAGTCGGTGAGTACATGAGAAAACTACATACCTCATGCTCAATATTTGCCATAGTCATTCACGCATCATTGAATGCGCTTAGAGGGACATTGTGCTCGGCATGGGCGCGCATGCTTCGGCGCTCGTCCAAAGCCTTCACTTTGTCTTCAGTAGCTGCTTCTTGCTCCTCCTTCGACATGCTCTTCCATCACATTGATATATCCTTGATTATGGCGGCAGACACACGCTCACACAGCGCGCCTTCGGGGAGAGCTGAGAGAGAGAGAAAGACATTTGTAAGAGGTACTGTTGATCACTGCAGAGTAGAAGGCACTTCACCATCATTGTACAGCTTTGTCTCCTTGCTCAAGAAGGCATTCCAGTGGCTGACAGCCCTCTTGGATGAGAGGCACGAGCGTTGCATGATGGCCTTGAAGTAGTAGTCAACACTGTGAGAACCGAAGCGCTCATGGAGGCGCTCTGCTTCGGTGAGAACCACCTCCCTCGCTTCTCGAAGTGCGGTGTGATATGCATCCTTGTGCTCCTTCCACTTCACCTTCAGCAAAGCCTTTTCTGCAGGGGTGTGGGAAAAGATCTTGCATTTCGTGCGGTGTCGCCATGGGTAGCGCGTCTGGGTAGTCGACAGTTTACGCCCTCTGGTAGGGAGGCGCTGCAAGCCATCAGGGCCCATCCTGAACATGCGTCAAAGGGCCGTGTTCTCACATCACAGTGGTGGAAGAGGGGATCACAGAAGCAAGGGAAGCAGTGGGGTGGGAATGACATGTCATAGTTTTTATTCCTCACGTGACTATGTTGGAGATTCACAAAAAACATAGAGGAATACAGGACATTTAGAAAACTAAGATCTGAGGCCTGAATATTGAGTATCTATACCTGAGGAAGTACCAACAAATGCCACAGCCATTGAGCATTCACAGATAGTCCCATGGCATCAACAAACCCTGCAAATTCCTCCAAAGTACTGCTATAAATGCGTGCTTGCACAATGCGCAGGAGAACGTCGTCAGACATCGGATGTGTTTGGAAATAGATGTCTGCCATCTCTCCGAGAAAGAACACAGGATGACCATGCAGCGCCTCCGCAGAAGTCTCCTGCATGTCCAATGCTGGAGATGAAGCGTGAGAGACAGGATGCCAGAAGAGCTGTCTGAGAACATGTAGGCCATCGGGAGAGCTGCCATTCGCGCTCATTGAGGGGCATCATCGTAAATAATCTCCAATGCTGAGATCTAACAAGATCAGTTAAGGTTTGTCACCGGGAGATGAGTGTACTCACTGTTAATCATGTGTGACAGCTGGGTCTGCACATCAATGGCAGACTGTGTACTGGAGGACCACTGGGTCTGCACATCCACGGCGGCCTGTGTACTAGATGAAGCCCTTGGAGTCCCCACCATCAACGGCGTTGCAGCGGTACGTATGTCTGTTGCACGCGAGATTGCTGCACGACCATGGGACGATGCTGTGGAATGCACCAGAGAAGGCACTGTGCACACGATCGGGGCCAGTGACGTAGGTGTTGGCCCATGTGGACTGGCTGTGCTCATGGTCGTGCGTGAATGCAATGGACTTCGTCGATATGGTGGCGGCAAAGGCATGGCAGGTGACACAGTGTTGACAGCTGTGGTACCTGCAGCAGCTGGCGGGGCACTGCACTTCAGCCAAAAAAGTAAGGCTGCAAGGAACGAATTCTCCTAGATGTGCATGGCTCCAGAGAATTGTGTCAGTGGCTGCATATCCCCCGACCTGTAGTGATCACGGTAAGATGTGTCCTGAAAATTGTGAGCTCAGTTAACTTACCACTCCCCATCACAGTAGATACCATTTTCTATGCCCCAAACGACAGTGTAGAACTTGCGGCCCAATGGCAGCAAGTTCCCAATTGCTGCCGAAGTTGTAATGTACTGTATGAGTGCAATCGAGTCTCTTGCAGCTTCTACATAATGCAGCATGTCCGCGAGAGCATCGTAAACTTTGTGGGCATCCTCACTGCTGGTGCATCAGACAATGAGAGGCAGCAGGCCGCTGCTATGCCCAACGGCAACATTGCGTGGGCTTCGCAGATGTGAGTACCATTTACCTTGTAAATGATTTGTGGATTGTCACCCACTGCGTTGGTGAATATACGCCAGGTTGGTTGTTACCGATAACAGCATAGAAGTGGATCGTAGTGGAAGATATGTGCATAGAAGTGCGATGTGCGAGTAGCAAGGTGCGCGCGCGGAGAGTGATTTGCTATAGATCGATGTGCACCATTGCGACTTACACTGCCGATCGTACTCTAAGATTGCGGCCTACTGCAGTGACCAGTGCATTCAGCTCAGGATACGGCCACACTGCAAATGCTCAGACAATAGGCCCTCCGTGATAATCTCGCAATATATTTATATTGTCAGACATACAGAAGACATCATGTAACTACACCGCGAGATTTGAGACATAATCTACCAAACCACTGATGTCACCTTCTGCTTCGTCGTCATCATCAAGCTCCAGTCCCGCACGCTCTTCTTCATTCAACTCATGCATCTCAGCCGAGAGAAGATCTTCGACATCCGAATGAGCGACCGGCAATGAATGAGGGACACCAAGACGTTCGCCAGGAAATGGATTGCCCGTGAAGCCTGGCAGTGCATAGATGCGCTGCAGGAATGCGAGGATGTGAGTGTTGACTACCCGACGGCGAGAGCAATATTCTAGCACAGCACCATGCAGTGGGTCTTGCTGGTGGCAGAGGTCATCGAGGATGGTGCTGAAGAGCATGTCCTCATCACGAATGTGGGTATAAATGTGCCGCACTTCAATGTTACACCTCTGGATCTTCTCGTGTGCACGCTGGATCCGGCAGTGGAGACGCATTGTCTCCTGCATGGCTGGCTGTGTCCACTGCTTCTCACGGATGTCATGGTGGGTATCGTGCAGGAGGTTGAACTCTTCAAGAAAACTGTAGTGAGAAACCTTGTCCCAGTCAAGAGTCGGGCGTGGAGGATTCAGAGCCGCCGCTGCGATGTTGTATGAGGTGACAGCATTTCGGATTGCCCTGCAGCGTGTCTGGAGGCTCTTGGAAATATGCGTGCACACACGGTAAGCTAATTATTTCAAGCATTAGTTAACAATGACGGCATAGGATCCACTGAAAAATACCTACCCGTCTGCGTGAGATTCAACTTGTGTAGCTCAAAGAGCCGCTGTATGACAAGCCTCTGCAGCTTACCCAATGCCAGTTGATACTTGTGAGTGGCTATATATTTGACCGTTTCGACGTAAGGGGCATCGGATGGCTGCAAACGGTTGGTGATACCCATCTTCACTTCCATTGCAATGACTTCCTGCGTCAAAATATTGAGACGCTCTCATAAATAACGCCGCCGAGTCTCGAGCTTGCGAGTAGTCGACATCTCCATTTCATACCATGTAGGACCATTGGTAGGTGGTAGGAACTGGTAGTCAGTTGGCGTAGCATTGAGGAACCATGAGGATGCTTCGTCAACTTGAGTACTATATAAATGTGATCAGCATGGCGCCATATTGATGTCGTGGTTCACTCACATTATTGCACGAAGCTCTTGTAGTGCCTCGACGTATGCCATGGCATAGACATCCCATTCTGGCTCCTGCCCAAGTGTTGCAAAATACTGTTGCTCCTCCAACTCGAACAGCTTGAGGTCCTCATCACAGACACCGAGAGATGCCATGGCATCTGCGAGAGCAACAGATGGTGTCTGAATAATATCGAGCACTTGCTTATAGTTGTTGTACAGCATTGTGCCAAGATTTGAATACTTCTCGTTGTCCCACTGCTCAAAGAAAAGAAGAATAAATACTCAGCACCGGAAGGCGGAGGCATAGCATGTGACAGAAGCCAGCAGATTCGAAGCACTGAAGATGCACTCGAGCGTCTCCAGGTCTTCAAGGCCCATCCCTTTGATGACGTTCGGATGGTATCGAATTTGACAGGGGTAGAAATGTGAGTAACTGTGGAATGCGTTGACACAGCAACGTGAGTGAAGGTGGGTGAACGTCGGCCCAAGTGAACTGTGATGAACGGTCTGCTCGAAGGAGCAACCAATGTCGTAGCCTGCCAGTGTGTGAGGTCCGAATACTTCCATAGCCTTCGCGATGATAGCAAGAGGATATTTAGCACTGTTGAAGATTTGTCAGCCCATCCCTTGAAAATAAAAGAAATACTTACAGTTCACTGCTCCGAACCATGTCGATCAGCCAGAGAATAAGGCCGTGCCTGCATGCACTTGCAAATATACCTGTCTCCTCAAAGACTCCCCACATCTTCTTCTTCTCTTCTGCAGCTGCAGCCTTCCAATTCTCAGTGCAACCGGACACAGGCCCCATATCGCCGTCTGTTGGATCACCTCCATCCGGTGTCTGATCTTCACCACGGTCGCTCTCGGCATCCTCATTGGTATCCCGGTGCAATGGTACATCGACCTTGTTCAGCGTACGTCTCGACTGCACTTCATCAGCATACTTCTCGATGAAGTCTTCTGGAAGGTAGTAGTCGCTGTCGGCTAGTGTCCGAAGATCTCCTGCACGGCGCCCACCCACAGGAGCCAACCGCTTGAGGGAACTGTTACCGTCCATGCAGTACATACACGAGAATTCAAGTGAAGGCTCATCCTTGAGCTGTACAGAGAAAAGGTCAGTACGAGGCAGGCTACATGTAGTGAAACTCGCACCTCATATCTGCAAGCTGGGCAACCATTTAATGCTCGCCAGTTGGGCATATCACAGCCCAGTGCACTAAGGACCTTCTTGCGGACCATGCGCAGAATCGTAAGGTAGATGTCGAATGCATCGCCAAGTGTGGCACGATAGCGGCGACGGAAAGGAATCTGTAGGTGGCAAGGTTAGCTATCAAGTACTTTTGGGGGATTTCAGTAAACTCACCATATAAAAATGACAGAGGAGTTTTGCAAAGGCTTCAACACTGAACGAGGGCTTGTAGAGCCTGATACAATGAAGCAGTTCTAACGTCTTGAGAGAGATTGCGAGTCCTGGGTTGAGGGGTGTTGATCCGAGGTAACCATTGAGGACAAGAGCTTCGGCAACAGATTCGATGTGTGCAGGTCAGCAGATTGACACGGAGTTGACAGTCGAGTAGATGTCGAGGACAGGAGTTTTGAAGTTGTAGTCGATGCCATCATCTGCGCTGGCGGTTGCTTCGGTAGGTTCATCAGCTGGTCGGTCAGGACCATAGCGCCAGGATAAGTACACGTCTACAAGTTTCGGGAGAAGGGGCTGCCAATTTTCGTCCAGGTGGTGCATACGTTGCCGCCAAGTGCGCATATCTTTGTACCAGCGAGGTTTCCACCTGAATGTAATGTCACAAATTAGTGTACAAAGAATACTAAAGGGTACTCACTTTGACCCCGCGATATCTCGGAATGCCGTGGTGAACGTTGAGTCATTTTGCAGATCATCTGATAGCATCTCCCATTCCATGTCGTCAGCTGCCCCCACCTCCTCAGTTCTTGGCAAGTCCTGCTGGTTGTTGTCCGTACTGTCATCTACAACAGAATCCCCCCGCATGTCCGAGAGCGCCCAGATCTTCTCAGCACTCAGTCCTGCGACTCACGAGATGAGTGTCGAACCTTGGACAAGGCAGTTGTACTCACCAGCAATATTTTGCAGGAGCATTTCTTCCGCTCTCTTTTTCTCCTTTGCGATTGCTGTCGCACCATACACGGTTCCATGGACTTCCTTGATGTGCCGTCCGACCGCAGATGAGTGTGCTGAGAAAACCAAGGTGGTGACTCGGACTGTTCGGGAGACTCCCTTTGATCTGTGGGCCCCCATGCTGAAACAGGCTGTTAGAGCTGACCTACACTAGAGGACATTGTCGAGTCGCAGAGTAGTGCGCAGGGTACTAGGTAGCAAGTGCCCCCCGACCAACGGTCCATCACGTGATGTTGTTGAACTTCCTTCAACAACCGTGAGCCTGTACTCATTAGACTCAGAATTGTAGTATTACAAGCTACAGTATAGCTACACAGTCATAGAACATCAAAAAAGCAAAAAAAAAAATGGAGAGAATTGGGGAAGATACAAGGGAATTGTCGTCATCGTCATCAGGGACGACAGTGACGAGGGCGCCGGCATTGGGCGCGGAAGCGGGATCCGATAGCCGGCGGTACCTGATGATGACTGGTGGGGCAGCACGTGCTATCTATACATCAGCGCCGATGACGACATGGGCCTTATCAGCGCTATCATGTAAGCTCGATGCTTTGGGCATCGAGCCCACAATATTCCCAGTGTTACCGGCAGTGTGCGGGACATAGGCCAATCAAGCCTATTAGCTTGCCGTACCGGGGGCACTTGACAAGCTTATTAGCTTAAGAACACGTGAGGTCCAAGTGCTTCTTGTGTGGTAGCGCTAGCTACCCATCCCAATAGGGCTATTCGGAGTTTTAAAAGTTCATGTGCGGCCTCTCGCTTCCACCCGTCTTGTAGGAGATATAGTATACGAGGCGGCTGGTTGAGAGCCTAGCTTTCTTCATATTTTAGAGCATCTATGGACTTTCAATGTTTGCGGACTCAGTAACCTGTTGGAACTGAGCTCCATAGTTTTGGTTCGTAGCCTGTATCATTCAGTGCTATCATGAACCTGAGTATCAACTGCTGCTCTTGGCTCATGGGCATCGCTGTTACAGAGATATCCCTAGGCCTCTTGGTCCGCTTCGGTGGTGCCGATGTCCACTACCCTGCCACGAGTCTGATCTACCTGTGGAAGGGGCTCGCAGACATGCACTTCGAGTTCTCGCGCATCTTGCAGTACATAGCTGTGTTCTGGCATGTTCGAGGTGCACTGCGTCTTGTTCTTCTCCATCATCTGGCTGCAGATCCATGTGTTCATTTTATTTGGGTTGTTTAGCCTCGCGAACGAGGCATGCGAGCACTATCAGCCTGCTGCGTCACACACTGCGCGGCACCTCGGCCTGTCGATGGCATTCTAGCATGGCTCGACGGGTGCACCTGTAGGGTGAGTGGCCTCTCCGTTCGCTCTGCCTGGGTGACTGTTTTGTTCGCATTCGGTAGCCTGAAGCCTACATTGAATCTCTTCGCCAAGATCCTAGTCCTTCATTCAGCAATGCCACTATACCAATCTGTACGTGGCTTATGGATATTGCCATGGTCTAATAACATCCCGATCCTTATTGCACTGCTCTGGGCAAGAGGAAAGATTGCAGGCTCGATGACAAAGGCTGCACAACAACATAACAGTCTGTGGAAGAATACCAAGTGAGCTGCGGAACAGAGGCACTGTGGTCCTAGTGGCTTGCAATCCGAGGAGATGATCTGCATTTCTCCAATTCATCTTACAAATCAGCCAAACATTAGTGAAGGCAGAAATGCAATACTAGAGACCATTTTTGATGTGCTGATGAGTCGTCGACGCATTTGATCCTCGATGCGAATGACAGCGTCATGAGCAGAAGCTCTAAGGCGCATGGATTCTGACGTCCTGACACAGTCTAGCGAAACAAACGATTATCAGGTCTTCTCGGGTTAGTTGCAGACTGCCTCAAACTCTCGTGATACTGATTACCTTTGTGTTCTTACTCGCCCTGGCAGGTCCAAGGATACATCACTGATTACACTCGCACTCGCACTCGCTTTCGCAGATCATAGCGTACATCGAGAGGTCAATATCTAGTTCTCTTCGTGCCGGCTACTGGCTTCCGCCTGCGCCCGTACCCGCATTCTCGTCATCAGGTATCCCGGAGACCCCATACTTCCTCGCTTCCTCATTGAATGATGCCCATGAAAATATCACTGCGCCATTGGCATACAAGTGAACGGAGACTACAGCTTTGCCCAGCCTATCAAGGAGCTTTGCGGTGATCCTCTTTTCAGGATCCTTTGCCGAGGTGTGCATGTCACCCCTTGAAGGACATCAGCTCAGCCTCAGTTACATCATAACACGAAGTACTCACTGGACTTCCGCTGTCACGATCAAGTCGCACAACTTGGGTATAGTACTGACGGCTATCTCCACGTTCTGCTCGACGGTCCGGTAGCGTGCAGATGTGCCTTTGTATGTCCAGTTTAAAAGCTGTCACACTGTACTATGAAAGCCTCTCATTGTGCGGCGTCGATGAAGGTCTGAGAGTAACGTAGAGTGCCCAGGGATGCTCGAGAGATATTTGCGGGCGATGAAGAGGTATAGGATAGGTGAGCACCTTCTTATACACGAGGGTGGGGTGTCTTTCGGACCGCCGACATTCACGTTGCGTACAGGTGTGATGCTGACTAGTTTCGGGCCGTCCTGCAATTCTCTTGCTTAGTTCTCTTGCCCTGCCTTCCCTAGTGATGTTCGGACCGCTATTTCTCGCCAGAAATGCCAAGGGAGCTGCATCTGGTGGTCTGAATGTCACTAGAGATCGTGTCCACGAATCTTGTGTGTGCCAGTTCATGATCTATATCATCTCTGGCCCATCTTCTTGGACTAGTCCAAATGCTCGAGAATGTTGAGACTTCCATTCTACGAGAAGGCTCTCACCGTGTCCCTGACTCAGTTTATCCGATCTTGGGTCTTTCATATCGACTCATCTGTGGTATTTGTTTTCCATCAGTCGCCTCATGCTACGGTCAAAGAGGTACACAATGACTCGTCCTCGTGCAATTGGTAATGACTTCGGACTCACTTCATGCAACGTGAGCTGCTGATATCCGCTCAAATCTCTCATAAAATTTCTCGCGACATCACAATATTATTCCTGCAGCACCGGTGCCCCGTGAAATGTGGTGCTGGTATTTGCAGTATGGAAAGCCAGAACAGCTCGCTGTCCTGACGATTTATTGGGACGTGACATGACTCACAAGGCAGGGGCTTTTTCACTCCGTTCGTTCATTTGGGATGTTACTCATGGCTGTCGTGTCTGTCTTGAGATCATCGATTACATCTAGCTCGATCCCATGGCCGTCAAGAAAAAATTGGCTGTTGGAACTTGGGAATGCACGTCCGTCGGTTCCGTTGGCGGCGGTATAACTAATCTCTGTGTCTGGGGTCTTGACTATGTGGACATGTATGTGGATGTGTATGCTGCGCGCTCGGTGCTCAATCGTACCGCGTTCGTCAGAATTTGCCACAGCACTGATTGATGGATATGCATCACCGTCCATTCGGGCAACTATATCATCTTCTCGCCTAGGCTTAATTATCTTTAGCTCGTACGCAATTGTGTTCCCCAGGCTTGGAGACCCGCAAGGCATGGCCTCAATATAAGGGTTCCACTAGCCGATTTGACAGTATCACAAGTTTGCTGGGCGGACTCCCATCTTTCGGGGTTACTTCTGGGGCGGACGCAGTGTGTTCGTTCGCATCTCAACTCGGATATCGGATATCGGAGGAAATATACTACTAGTAGTGTTCGCATTCACCGGTCGACTGACCTGTCATGACGGGTCATTGACTTTTCACCCACGGTTCCTGACCAGTCAAGCTTTCAAGGGATGGTCAGCTTACGTGATATGATCAAGAAACTAATTACAGCGCTTTGCAAGTATATGCGGAATCGCCGTCGATGGATTTTTGGCCTCAGGCGCCCCGAGCTTGCCCCGAGCCCAGGACCCCAAACTGTTGTAGTGGCACGTTACTACCGGAAGTCTAGTGGAGGATACCGGGAGGGCCATCGCTGACGCGAATTTCCCAAAAGCAGTTGTCCGAGGCATGCCCGAAGCTTGTCTAAGCTCCTGCATTAGGATGCCGTAGAAAACCCACGTGGGGCGATTGGTTGATGAGACACTCTGGGCACGGTCTCTCTGGTTTTGGCTAGGCTCGGACTCTCGGACCTGATCAATTGGGCAATTTACCGGTGGCTGCAGTGGCTGAGCGGTTTCGGGTCCTGAGCTCGGCGCAAAATCCATCGACGACGATTCCGCATATACTTGCAAAGCGCTGTAATGTACTCCAGTACTCAATGTATATACAGTACGTTACAACGAAAAGAAATTTACTAGATACTAGTGCTAACCTCACTACATTTGTCATTCACACGAAGACTCATAGCTCCACCATGCCAACAGAAGCCGAGCAAGTCCGGGTAAACATGTTCTTGAGTAGGATGGCCTCCGAAAATATTAGGATCTTGTCGCAAGGTGCCTGCAAATGAGGCACCAAGGGCATGAAGATTGACTGAGGGGCACCTCGTCGATCACAACTGGTGGTGCAGGAACAATAGCATTGGCGTCGGCATCCACGAAGAGCGAGGTTTACAATGGATGCGAAACACCCGTCCGTGAGTAGGTCCGAGATGTCTACTTAATAGCAATCCATCCATATAGAGTAATACACGTGTGTATATCTTTGTCATCTGTCCAGTTGTTGACCGGTCAGTGACCGGTGAAAATGGAAAATTGAGAAATCGTCAATGACCCCGGTCATGACCGTGACTTGTCTTTGCGAACACTGCTAGTAGTACCAGTACTGCAAGTGACTCGAATGGAAACCTCAAACGTAGTTCCTGTTGGATTCGTGGTGTTTGCACTTAGTTGAATGCGACGGTGTCGACTGCACTCAGTCAAACTCGTGCTTTGGGACGATACATAGCAGTCGACATGGCGTGGCGTGAATGAGTTTCATTTATGGAAAAACCGATCCGGTAGAAATATTACCACCAATTTCCCAGAACAAACAACCATGTTGTGGCGCACTCCCGTCCAAACTCGCGATCAATAAAGACTAATCAACCACCTCGTCCCGGAAGATCATCCAGCGCCCTGCATTCTGCCGCACTTCACAGGACGCTCTCTTCACGATGCGTTTACCGACGCTCAGATTTGCTTCAACTGCCAGATTTACGAGATCTCTCTCCACGGTCTCTTCAGCCAAGGCCACCTTGCTGCCGTCAGATGAACTCATTGAAGAAGAGAGACAGGATGAATACAACCCGCAGGCATACTACCCTGTGCGACTTGGCGAGGTACTTGGTGGCGTGTACCAGGTTGCGTTCAAACTTGGGTACGGGAGGGGCGCTACTGTATGGTTGGCGCGGGACACCCGGCGGTAGGTATCTGTCGCGTGTTGTTGGCCATGCGGCTTCGATTAATATCTTTGGCAGGTGGTGGTGGCAACACGATCGGTATGTGGCGATAAAGGTCACCAGAAACGACAGACTTTTCAGGGCCGCCGCCCTGCGCGAGATGGAGCTTTTGCGCCATATAGCGACTGCGAATCCCGCACACCTGGGGAGGCAGTGTGTAAGGACAATGCTCGATTCTTTTGAGATAGAAGGACCGCATGGTCATCACTACTGCCTCGTGTACGAACCCCTCAGGGAACCTCTGTGGATGATGCAACTTCGTACCGGTGGTAAATACACTCCCTCGACGCTCAAGGCGATATTGCAAGCGGTCTTGCATGGCCTAGACTACCTCCACTCAGAGTGTCATATAATTCATACTGGTGCGTTTACGGTTACCATGTTGATTGAGATTGCTCAACTCGCCGCTCAAGATCTCAAACCTGAGAACATCCTGTTTGGGCTTGAGGATATATCTCTTCTTGATCGGGCTGTGAAGGATGAAGCAGAGCATCCCTCCTCTAGGAAGGTCACCACTGACCGAACGATATATCTCTCGAGATTCGACGTGGGCCCTCCGAAGACACCTCCAGGACCTCCGAAGATAGCAGATTTCGATCATTCATATCGTGGCGACGGGCAGGAGCTACTTGAAGATTTTATTCAGGTGAACCAGTATCGCGCCCCGGAAGTTGTTATGGGTATCCCATGGTCGTATAGTGTAGATATATGGAATTTCGGAATGATGGTACGTCTTCAGAGAGATGTGTCTGACGCACGCTACTACATGGACTTGGATTTTAGCTATGGGACTTACTCCAAGGTGACACACTTTGCGTGGGCGCGGAGAAGGAGTATACTCGTGAAGGCCATCTTGCAGAGCTCATCGCACTGCTGGGACCTCCGCCAAAGGACTTTCTAGGTAGAGCAAAATTGGCTCATTGTTTCTTTGATGATAATGGTGCGCGCCGTTGCATATTTACGAAATATCGATGCGAAGCTGACTCTGGGGGTGCGTGCTGTGATGCGCAGGAGAATTCAAATATGACCACCTGGTCCGAGATCATCGGAGTTTGGACGAATCTGTTACTGTTCTAGAGGGCGAGGAGAAGGCGCTTTTCCTCAAATTTGCCCGTGGCATGTTGCAGTGGCTGCCAGAGAATCGTAAGACGGCAAAAGAGTTACTGAGAGATCCTTGGCTACATGACTTTTTGAGGAATTAACTGGGCTACCACAGTTGTCAAGATCGCAGTGTTGATATAGTGCGTCAGTACAATCTCTTCATGACGGTCGCAGTACTGGTGCTTGTGATAGCTGTTGATTCCTTGTATCTTAGCTGCGCGTTTTGACACGTCTAGATACTCTTCTCGGCCTTGATTTCCTGTTTGTATTGCCTTTCATATCTTTACAGTACTGTCAAGTACCATGCAGGACTACGACACATTCCAATTCTGATCCACGAGGGAGTTCGAAACCGCGACTGCCCGCCGCATGACTTTTGTTTCGACCAACTTACTGTCCTCCATGTATACGAGAGCGTTTCAAGTGGTCATTCGATCACAAAGGATACATGTATGTTTTCATATGTATCGTTCAGTCAAACACAAACTGCCGACAAGAACCTTCAGGACCTGGGGTTTCATGTGCCTGTGTCATGAATCGTTATCATGCTTTCGGGTCAAGCCTACCACACTTTATATATATGGGCAGTGATTCAAAAACTGTCAGTAACACGACGATGCCGATTATCTTGGTAGCTATACAACGGACGGACGGACCCGGAAGGAGGTCTGCGAACGCCTCTTTGAGCATTTCGGTCTGTCACCGTGCTCGTGCTCTAGCTAGTTGGTGAAAGCTCTTCATCGTAGGCGCACCGCTCGTATGGCGGTGTTATCCTGGACGAGATAAATATGTTTTCTGGCGCTGCATCCTATGATGTTTCCTGAGACAGATGTAGGTGGATCACTCAGTGTGATATGAGAAATCGTACTGTAAGCTAAAAGCAATCGTGAGGTTGAATACCCCGCACATAACTCTCTATGGAAATAAATTGCTGGTTGCCCGTAGACCTTTCACGTACACATCGTCACGACAATCAATTTCTGAGATGTCTAGTTTCTCCAAGCGGCTGATGTTAGCACATCCAAGGCTAAATGTGAGTAACACGGCATCCCTCCAAAAATCCTGGAGAAGATGCGACGCAGAGCCTGGGTCCGCTGTCGTCGACTCTGTCACAGAATGCCATAGCACTGACGACGCCACGATCCCTAGGCCGTTATCCTTCGATGGTACAGGAGATACCTCGTACTCCGACCAGTGGCAGCAAAGTTACGCAACACGTGGTGGAGATCAGATAGCCAGGGGGGATGCCCAGCGGGTGCCAATGCTCGCGCTTCCGAAAGGGTCAAGGCTGCGACGTGATGAGGTGCGAGAGAAAGAATATCGGAGATAGCGCAGCGCGAGGAAGGCGCGACGGAACACTAGCGGTGAGAGGCCGGAGGACCCCCACTTGGCTCACGACGTACACTGCATCTGTATAGTGGTGGCCAGAATAAAGGTAAATATTTCAGTTATTTTCATGTCAGTTCAGTTGACTCAGATTTTTCTAATGTCAGGATATCATCATCCGCGGCGGTGAGGTGGGTTCTGCGAGATCCCCGCAAGCAGCGGCGCTCATTTTTCTTTCGCTAGAACCTGTTCCCTGTGCAGATCGAGAACGTGCTGAGCGCGCACTCGGCGATCCGTGAAGCGGCCGTAATCGCAGTGCCGGACGCGAGATTTGGCGAGGTGGTCGGGACATGGATCGTGCGGGAGCCGCAGAGCACGATGTCGAAAGCGGAGGTGCGGAAGGTGGTGTCGACGGGGATGAACCCACAGGTGCGTGGTCTGCGTGTGCTTTGAGGGCAGAGTTTTAAACTTGGATTCCAGAACGCGCCGGCGTGGGTGTGGTTCCTGGGGGAAGAGGGTGTGGCCGGAGAGATACCGAAGACAGCGAGCGGGAAAGTGATGAAGCACGTCCTGCGCGAATGGAGCCGGGATCTCGCCAAGAAGGGTGTGGGGAGAGTGGTAGCCTGACCGCTGTGGGGTGTCTAGCTCTGAACGGAGTGGGTAAGCATGATGTGACATATGTTCACGCGCGGCCCGCCGTCGCTGACGCGGACCGCCCCTCTCTAGGATGGATATTTTGAGGTGCGCTGCTGCGCCTCCATTTCTTTTGCTTTCGCGTACGCCGTGTTTTCGATGTTGTCGGTCGATTTCACGAAGTCTTTTGTGCAGTCATTATCCGACACAAGGTTGTGTAATACCAAGATCGTGAACGCACGCAGCTGCTCTGCTAAACTTGCGTCGCTGCTCCCTTGCGGCCGCACTCAAATCTTGATCAAATCGCTGAAAAATTGTCAGGACAAGTTCAGACATGTAACTTTCCGTGTAGAAAAGGTCCCAGCGCTATAGGGATGATGTGGAAAGCCCACAGGCAATACTGTCAATCAATTGCACTACTGAGCCATTGATAGTGATCACTGTGAGTACGGCATGATGACTTCGAGGTATGTCTCACCCAAGGATGCGTCGATCCGTACCGGCTTGTAGTCATGAACGAAACGATGGGTGGTTCTGAAAAACTGGTGCCAACTTTGACCCGCCGACCCGGAGCAGTGGGTTGGTTCACTGTATATGAAGTGAGAGAACGAGTTTTTCGTCGCGTTTGACTCAAATTCAAGTAACGTGGATTGAGCTACGTTGTTTCGGACTATGTAACTTCTCACACGGCGCCAATCTCTACTGGATCGGGAAGTTCTTTCATTAGTCCCTCAGCTTCTCCGGACCTTGTAAATATATTGCTGGAGTTCCATCCGTTGGTGATACGCCGAGAGGACGCTGGGAAGTAATGCCTTGCACCGTGATCACATCCGGCGAGACAGAGGAGAAAAAGGTGGCGGATGTCCCGAAAAGGATAATAACACGGGTCACGGGACGAGCGACGCGTCTCGAGAATGAATTTCGCTTCGCCGAGGCGGCCGCGCGCCGGCGAGGATATCGAAGGCTGAACGAGTCGGAGGCAAGCGCTCGCATCGATGCCCGTTGTGGAGCAGATGAAGATGATGTCACCCGGCGACCGGCCGTCGTCCTGCGGCACGGAACGCGCGCGAGTCTGCAGATAAAGATCAGTATCCCCTCACTCCTTTGTCTTCGCCTCTTCATCTTCAACCACCACCATCTCGTCCGCGTGCTTGTTGGTCCATCACCACCATATCCCCTAACACAAATATTCTCCAGCCAACATGCCCGAAGGAACAATGAAAGCGCTGTGGTATCACAGCGTGCGTGCTTTGAGCTTCCTAATTCTTCATCGCAATGACTCTGACCGGCCACCAGCCTAAAAACTTTGAGATAAGGCATGTCCCAATCCCCAAGTGCGGCGACGACGAGCTCCTCCTGAAAGGTGCTATTCTTCGTACTGTCGTCACGCACTCCTTTAACGTGGTTTCGTCAGTGAGCTGCTGTGGTGTCTGCGGCACCGATGCGCACATCCACGACGGCGAGTTCATCGCCAAGTTCCCTGTGAGTGGTCGGGAACCGCGTCCATTCCAGGCCACTAACCATGCACTGTAGCTCATCCCCGGCCACGAAGCCATTGGCAAGGTCATCGAGATCGGCAAGGAAGTCAAGGGTTTCGAGCTCGGCGACCGCATTGTGGCCGACGTCGGCATTTCTGTGAGTAGCCACATCGTCAGACGCGCAGATCGGTGACTATATGCTAACGTATGTGCAGTGCGACAACTGCTTCTTCTGCCGCCGCGGCGAGCCCGTACTGTGCGAGAGCTTCAATGCCCGCGGGGTTACCCTAGACGGCGGGTTCGCGGAATACATCGCCTAGTGCGCATATAGTCTACTTTCGCGACAGTGATGCATGCTGACACGTTGATACAGCCCACAAAGGAAGTGCTACAAGATTCACAACCTTACGGACGAAGAATCCACCCTCCTCGAGCCGGCGGCCTGCGCGATCCATGGGCTTGACAAGCTGAACCCGCCAGTCGGGATCGACGTCCTCCTCCTCGGCGCGGGCCCGACCGGGCTCATTCTCGCGCAGCTGCTCAAGCTCAACGGCGCGAAGAAGGTTGTGATCGCGGCGAACAAGGGTATCAAGATGGACATTGCCAAGCAGCTAAATGCCGCGGACGAGTATGTTGAGCTCGACCGGCAGAGCCCCGGCCCGCAGTGGGAGCAGCTGCTGAAGGAGAACCCGTATGGGTTTGACGTCGTCGTCGAGGCGACCGGCGTGGAGAAGGTCGCGCAAGACAGCATCAACTACGTCCGCCGCGGCGGCACCCTCATGATTTACGGCGTATACGAGAACAAGGCGAGGGTGCACTGGCCACCGTCCAAGATTTTCGGCGACGAGATAAAGGTGGGAATTTTTCTCGGGATCCCTGACCAGCTTCTTATGTGTTGCTCGCATTGTGCAGATCCTTGGGTCGTTCTCGCAGGCGTACTGCTTCCCTCGTGCGGTAGCCTACCTCGACGGCGGTAAAGTCAACGTGAAGGGCATGGTCAGTGGCCTTCTTCCCCCTGTCTTATTTCTATGCGTCTCATCTGACCATCCTGCAGGTCACGGACGTCTTCAAGCTCGACAATTTCCAGGGCGCGCTCGACAAGATGAATAGTCGTGGCGCGCTCAAGATCGCGATCCAACCCTGATTCGTGCAAATCAGGAGTGAACACTCGAGCAAGCAGAAGAAGATGAAGTGTTCCGTGTTGTACTGAGTATCATGGGCTTTGGACTGTATTACAAAGTATGATACCCCCCTTTCGCTGTGCAAGTCGTTCTGTTTTCGTCGTTTGTTCGGATCGTGTGTCATTGTAAGTATACCACGTACCGTGGTGTGGACTTCTTCTGCAGTGTGGTAAGTTAGCTGGGGAGCGTCCTCAGTCACAAACGTGTCATGTCGATATTCCCGCTAGCTCTGCTAGTGGGTTCTTAGAGGTGATCGACCTGTCCGTGTCATCCCAGGGATTAAACAGTCCCCCTGCACCCCTGCGCCCCCCGAATGTTGAAGTCCTTCAGCTCTCATGATTTTAGAGAATGGAAGATACACACCTGTGTTTTTATCTAGCAACTGCCATTGGTCATTGCCTAGCAAATTCAGTTCGCCTGGTATGCATGTTTACTCCTTGAATATAGTAACTCGGGGAAGTGACGGTGTTCTTGATGAGAATTCGCTGACGGAGTGATTACATCCAAATCCTGGCCGCTTCCCAAGCTTACAGCCTCAGAAGAGCCGCGATACTGTACCGTGCTTCAATGCGCATCTAGCTCCCTATAAGTATATATATTCTTCCTCTGAGAGCTCTCTGCGGTCGTGATAGACGTGTACTCTGGCAACTCTTATCTCGTGTGGGTCCTTCGAGCCCTGTCGCCGGGCGGAGGGTCGCTTCAGTGCAGCTGGATGCACATATAGCGAGCGTTTTGAATTTCATTGGTAGCTATGATGACACCATGTATAGTACAGAAAACCGGCGTTCCTGATTGGGACCCAAGCCGGAATATACCTCCCTCCCTCCCTCCAAGTGACGAACCTAATCCCCGATCACATGTGTGCGGAAATACAGAAACTAGTGTTAGCGCTCAGTCTGCTCGACGTCCCCGTAGACACTATCATTGAACCAGGATTCGAAGTAGATATTCACAGCAGGCCGTGAGGCCACCTTGCAAGGCCTCGAGATCGATCATGGTGGCGAATGGCAGAGGCATCGCAGCAATCTTCCATGATACCCAGACTCGGAGTATCATCTAATGCAATCTTTTTTTTTGGATCCTGCAGAAGACGCAGAAGGGTGGCACAGCCAATGAAGCTACCGTTTCTTTGACAGTCCTTGTTCTTGGTCGTGTTCAACAGATGTGCACAGCACCATTGTACCGAGGCCTCGGGAAGAATACAACTCGCTCACTGCATCAGCAAAGTGTCTCCACCATCGCTGGCGACCTGTATACAAGCATGCTGTGATTATCTGTCCGTATGTGATCAATAACTTAGTGGCTGATTCAGGCCGCGCGATAAGGTCCAGTGTGAGCGACTAACTGGTTCGCACAGATGATGCCGCACTCACAAATTAAATTCGAAGCAATTGTATGTGTTTATCTTCAAAATTTGAATCGTCTAATAGCAGATAGCGTGATAACATCTCAATGCACATCAACCCACCAACGTTGTGTTCGAGTGGGTTTAAATTTACCCACACTGCCCCATGTATCAGTTGGCATTCTGGGACCATAGGAAGTCCCATGCTCATCGGTATATAGTAGTGACCAGTGGTTCTTTCTGGAGTACCGGTCCCATCTGTACTCACGGTCGCTCAACCATGGCTACTGTACCGTCCCCTCAACAACTGCCCAACCCATACACTTCTCTGGCGTGGCTATCGCCTGCCGCCGCCAATCAATACGAGGGTTCACGCTACCTCTATGTAGCTTCTCTCTCGGTAGGCGGAGTGTTGCATTTTGACATACAAGTCTCTGCACCCGTCGGCTGACCTACTTCCTTCTCAGGTATTTATCTGGGATTGGATGATTGCTTGGCCGGACGAGTACAAGATCATATCCAAGGCACCCATCTGTCCTTCCAGCATTATTTATTCTACCTCTCGGTAAGCTTATTCAATTATACGTGACTTCTGGAAATCCGTTTATCTCAGTCATGAAATTCAGGATAAGCGTTTTCTCTTTCCTTTTGACTAGCGTCATATTTCAGGGTTCATCCACCTCATCAAGTGGTCGAGATATATTTTGATTTCGTTCTCCTGCAGCCGCTCCCGTAGGCTCCTGCGAGATACTTCTGGATGTCATGACTTGGTCCCTCACCATCAGCGTTCCGTCTACATCGGCGCTCTTCTATCTGCGTATCTGTGCGGTTTTCCACAACTCAAGGATTGTCGCGGTGATCTTTGGGGTCCTATGGCTCTTTATTCTCGGCACCGCCTTTTTGATTCCCTTTTCCCTCACTGGGATGCACATAGGCACAACGGACTGGTGCATCGACTCCGGCGTAAAGTTCTTTGGCTCTTTGGTCGTGATTTCCAGTGTCACATCCGACACACTCTCCTTTTTCGCCATTTCATACAGGCTCGCATCGTCCTCGATGCAGGGAAGCAGCCTAAGGGATCGATTCAGGGCGTTCGTCCGAGGCGACGGGCTTCCGAGAATATCGAAACTGCTCTTACAGGGCGGTCAGTGGTACTACTTGTGCGGACTCATTTCTCCCGTCTGGCTGCGCGATTACCAAAATGACCTGTTCTCCTCAGCGTATCCGTCGCAATGGGCGTGGTGACGATGTCAATGATCCTCTCGCCCCATACATCTCCCGTCTTCCGTGCGATGTTCCCGATTCCCAATATCGCCCTGAAGAATGCCATGGCTACGCGCATCTTCCGCCAAGTCCACCTGGGGATCATCCAGACAGACATGTCTTCGTCGCACTGCTCCGGGCAGTTGCGCATGCGCGGGTTCTCGAGTCACGACTTGCGCAGTGCCGTCTCTGCAGGCAGGAGCCTTGAACACGACGTATACCAATTGGAGACGCGGGGGGTGGATCACCGTGTCCCGCTTGCCGACCACATCGACATCGAGATCACCAAGACGATTGAGACGCGCCGCGATGTGCCAGACGATATACCTGCGAAGGCGGACGTGGAGTTGGCGCTTGGTGGGATGTAGGATGTTCGGTCTCCAGTGACTCATGTTGCTATGTTCTTGTGGCTGGTGATGCACTTTACTACGATGTATCACCATTCCCGACCAGCACTATTGTATTCGTACGCTAAGCTACCAAGGAGAGCAAGAAGTTTTGAATGGGAATAGAATCGTGTTTGTTTCCAGAACTACCAGCTACATTCTCCAGTGTTCAACTATTGACGGTTACAACAATGTAACACAACGAATGGCCAGACTGTTCATTTATGACGTCTATTTATTATTTGGAAGAGTGTCGCTATCTGCAACAAGTTCAAATTACTGTGCCATTACGACCAATCCGGCCGGGGGTGTGACAACGGACAGCCTTGTAACGATCCGGCCACCCGGCCGGAACGGTCGTGACAGCGGACAGTGGACACATTGCGGCCAGCCGGCCAAGCCAGCCGCTGGGGAGGGAAAACTGATGGGGTGACCGGCCAGCCGGCCAAGTCACGGTCTGGGTACCCAATCCGGCCACTACACCCGTGACATAGGACATGTCTAGGATTCCGGCCTGGCCAACCCCGTTCGGACGCGTGACTGGCCGGATTGGTCATAATAGCACAGTATACTCAACATTAATGTCCTGATCTATCCTCGACGACAGACCTCAACAACAAAATTCATATTTCCAATGCATCGATAAGTCTCTGATACGCGCTTTGGTGCAAGGGGTATGCACCGGCAGATTCCAAGACACAGGGTAGGGGGGGGGGGGCTCTGAGGTCCTTAACTGAGAATTATTTTTACTTATGAAATGGGCGGCAGGAGGTAAGTAAGGGTCTCCTGCAGTAAAACCATACACTCAGTAGCTGAAAGGCACCTTTGATGATGGTCTACGGAGTGTTTGCGCAACTTGCAGGGGTGGGCTGCTCGGAGGTGGCGGCGGGCACAGGCGCTACCAGATGTGATGTCGGGTCACAACGATGACTAACAAGGTGACCTGCATCATGTAAGCCTAGGATTACCATCTCTATATGGCAGGTGCCTTCCCCGACTCCAGGAACTGAAGGAGGGCTTTGGCAAGGGGAAACGGCAGACGCCTCTGCGAATGAAGTTGTGCGAAAACAACATCAGTAAATAAGTTGAGTAATAACACTTACGATCTGAGTCTTGGCTCCGTCTAGGGTTCCGGTCGCGAACGTTGCTGTTGCACTGGACCTGTCGACACTGTTCGAGCGCAGGTCTATTTATGTAAGATTGTGCTCGCAAACATTTCGCCCTTGCGCTCGACCTGCCGATGGTGTTCCAGTGCAGGTCTATTCACGTAGGATGGCGCTCACAAACATCACGTGCGCGCTCGATTTCTCGACGATGTTGGCGCTGCTGGACGACGTTACACCTCAGTGTCGCTCCTCGACGAGTCGCTATACGACATCATTCTGTTTTGCACGTGAGTGTATTCTTCTTCTCGTATTATTACTAATCTACTGATTCACCACTAAACCATGTAGAATCTACGCGGACCTGCTCTCTTGAAGACATAGTTTTCGCGTTTTTTGCGACTGTTTTGGACGAGTGTAGCTGCAAAATAGGTGCATCTATGCTTGTTGACTTGTTCAAATGGATACTTACAGTTTAATTTGCACGATGCAGTTGCTATTTGTGATACTGTGTTCACAGTTTCACAGTGCTGTTTTGATTGAGTTCGTGTCTAAGCACGTTAAACATTTCGTGTTCAAGCACGTTAAACATTTCGTGTTCAAGCACGTTAAACATTTCGTGTTCAAGCACGTTAAATATTTTGTGTTCAAGCACATTAAGTATTTGTCTTCAAGCATGCTGTTCAAGTACACTAAGGATTTGTGTTCAAACACCTTTAAATCTTCGGATTGAAGTAGCGTAAGCGATTGACTTCAGCCATGGCAGATTTCAATCCCTCATGGTTCTATTTGTCCGATGAACAGTATTTGCGTACACTCCAAAGGTTAAGTCTTCATACTCTGCAGTCTGCAGCTGTGTCATCTCACTGTTTAATACCTCAGAAAGATCGTAACAAGTCTGAGATTTGCAGAAGACTTCTTGTTGACTTTCAATTGAGTCGTGCATCTGTTGCTATTATGTCCAATGAAGATGTAGCAAAGTGTCTGCATGGTGATGATCAACTTCTCAAATCTCAGTATGCTCTGCTCAGTGCTCTGTATATTAAATTGTATGGTGAAGCTGTAGCACTAGCAATACGTTCTGCGAACTCTCCACTTTTTGAGGAACATACATTAATTGGATATGCCATACCACCTGTAGAATTATGTATAGAATTACCCTGGTTTGTCACTCCAGCTAGTGTTCTCATTCACTGTTTGTCATCTGTGTTAATGCGAACACTTTATAACTATGGTATTACATTTACAAACCAATTGTCGGTAAAATGTCATGCACGTTGCACAGTTATAGTTGAGCATATTGTTGAGTTGTCCCAGTACTTATTCAAAGTTGAATCTTCAAAGTTTTTGAATACTATCTTGTGTCATTTACCATTCTTATCTCAGAGTGAGTTATGTAGTCCTCGTAGTGAACTGATTTTCAAGCTACTAAAGTCAAGTGTTCCATCTGAGATTTTTGATAAATTAAACATGGAGTCTCATACAAACAGTGATGCAAAGAAAGAGCAGCGTAGAGTTGAAAAGGCGTTAGAAATTGAACAGGACAGTGCAGAGACAAAAGCATATATTGATGCATGGCCACAACTTGTTCCTCACGATGTGATTCTTAACTGTCTGAACAATTATTACACTCATACTCAGTGGCATTCACCTTCAATTTGTGCTGTATGTGCTCGTCAGTCACATGAGATTCATATTTCTGAATATAAGATGGATGGTTTACTGCTGAATAAGCAAGTATTATCTGCATTCCAAATCACAGATCCTTTCATTCTAGAAAACTGCGTAGTTAAACAGAATAGCTCTGAGTTTGTTTTTAAGGACTCAAGGTTAGACGGCTGTATGTTGGATAAGAAAGGGCTGACTTATGATAATGGCATGGTCACAGCTATCAAAATTTGTTCGAGCTGCTATACAGCAATACAACATCGTACTACACCACAATATGGCTTAGTTAATAATCTGTATCGTGATTGTCTGCCTGAGCAATACAATGATATAACCTGAGTTGAAGAAATGGTTTGTGCAATCTACCGTAGCACTGCACATGTCACAAGAATTTACCAGTCATCTGACCCTGCACAGCCAAAGGTGTTTCATGGAAACACATGTGCACATGATTTAAATGTTGTTTCCACAGCATCAGTGCTTCCAAGAACACCTGCCGATGTTGCTGGTATGCTTACAGTTGTTTTTATTGGTCCACATAAGTTTAAGCCTGAGTACGTAGGAAACATGTATCGTGTGCAGAAGCGTAAGATTTGGAGCTTCTTACTGTGGCTTAAGAGTCATAACAAGTTGTATAAACATATGACTTTTGATCTGTCTGCACTTGATATGTATCCTGAAGATGATGTGTTACCAGGTCTTAGTTCACGAATTGTCGAAGATCACAGAATGGATACTACACTTATATTTCAAAATGAAATGGCAGGCTTTTCAGAACATCCTGCAGAATTATTTGCCAAAAGCATGATGGAGAAAATGGGCATGTCAGATCCAGAAGGAGATAAACTTAGTGGGAGAAGCTTTACTGCTGCGGCAATAAGAAGTATAGTTAATCCAACTGCATCGCAACCTGATCTTGTAGTTCATCATGGTATGCTGCCTGTCTCTGAATACAACAATCCTAACTTGTTTCCAGGTATGTTTCCAACACTATATCCATTTGGCATTGGTGGGTTTGAAGATCCTAGTAGGCCAAAGCCAATAGAGTTTGATACTCAGGCCAACTACTATCTTGATCTTGCAGACAAGGCATTTCAGTATCATCACATGTTTATGTTTATTGCACTTAATATATGGCAGCGTTGCTCTGCTCACTTACACACACACTTTGCAGTACAAAAGCCCTACTTTCAGACTATCGCTAGAAGATTAGTCACTCTTTCACCCTCCTTGCTTATGTCAGTCTCTAACCATCTTGAGAATGAAGGTAAATATGCAGATTTGACTGACCAGCAAAAAGGTGCATTAGACTTGCTAAAGCATGTGAACACTATTGGTGGACATATTCCTGATTCTCAAGCCTCAAAAAATCAGGTCAGAAATGAGATACGTAGCTACTTTGGTTACTTTGGCATGCCACATATTTACATGACCATAAATTCTTCGCCTGCACATAATCCAATTTTCCAAGTCATGTATGGTGACACTACTGTAGACTTGGCCAAACGATTTCCACTAGTTGTGCCTGCACATGAATGTGCTTTGCGGCTGGCCAAAGATCCAGTTGCAGCATGCGATTTCTTCTACTTTTGTATACACACTATATTTGAAGACCTCTTGGGCTGGGATTTTTCTAAGAGATGCTCCAAAAGGCAAGGTGGAATCTTAGGAAAGTTGCGTGCATTTTATGGTACACCTGAATGTACTGAGCGTGGTACACTGCATGGTCACTTTGTATTATGGCTACTCGGAGGTCTGAATCCTTCTGATTTGCATGCGAGGTTGCATGACAGTCATGAGTTTGTATGCCGATTTTTCAGATACTGGGAGAGCATTATATTTCATCACTTGCCTAATATTGATATGCAAGTTGATCCAATGTACGAACCTCGTATTGAACGACCACCACAACCACCTATTGTTGGTGAATCGGCACTCAATATTCTGAATGAATGGGAGTCAGTGTTTGTCACTGAAATTAAAAAATGTGGAGAAGTCTTGCAGCGTCATCAACACCGTAAAGTCTGTGAAAAATACGGTAATGAAGGTAAATGCAGATTTTTATTTCCCCATGAGGTTGTTGAGAGCTCATATTTTGATCGTAATACTAACTCTGTCATTCTGATGTGTAAAGATGCAAATGTGAACTACTACAATCCATATATTCTGGTTTTTTGCAGACATAATCATCACATTAAATGTATTCTTTCTGGTAAAGCTGCGAAGGCTGCAATGTTTTATATTACAGACTATATTACTAAGGTTGACCTAAAAACCTATCAGATGCTATCATTGTTATCAAAGGCAGTAGCAAGTTTACTCAGTGGCAATGACCAATCCTCGCAATTGACTAGTTACAGTACAAAAACCTTACTAAATAGGTGCTTGGCTCAATTCTTGCGTCAACAACAGATCCACTCTCAGCAAGCAGCCTGGTACATACGTAAGAGAGGCGATAGTATTTCATCACATCCTACAAAGCCCTTGCTATCTATTTTGTTACTGCTTTATGTCAAAGAGCATTATTCATTTGCTATGCAAATTAAAAGTCAGAGTGGTGAGGATAATCATTCTGATGCTGATGACATAGAAGAGTGTACTATCAATATTAAAGTGAATAAAAATGGACAGCTACTCGAAGGGAACCAAATTGATGATTACATCTACAGACCAGACACTCTTTCTCACTTAAACTTCTATGACTTCTGCAGATACTTCACATTAGAGTCTAAAACAGCACAGCATAACCATCATACATCAGATGATCGACTAGGTGTACTTCCACGTCTTTCTGTAAAGGAACAACATCCTCTTGCAGATACACATGTACTTGTTGAGCACTTCAGTCCAATGCATGTTGACTTTAATATGGAGCGTGTTCCACGTCCAATTGGTACACTGATCCCTCACCGTGAAAATAGTGAAAGGTATGCAATATTTATGCTGGCACACTTTAAACCATTCAGTGATACAGTTCCACTTGTAGAGTACGGTGACACCTTTCAGCATACCTTCAGTGTATATGACTTTAGTGAGTTCAGCAAAACCAAGATGCGCAACTGGGAGGCAGCATATGAATGCGAAGATGCAAGAGACAGTGAACGGTTGCGCAAGCGAGCGACACTGCTAGCAGAATCACGTCACTTGACAAAATTCATGTACTCATCTGTTACAGCAGACACAGATGATGATGTTGATGTTACATCACATAATAGACGAAGTGCAGTCAATGACTTTAAGATACAGCAGTTTGTCTCTTTACTTGAACAGTGCAATTGGCTCCATCACAACACTTATCACAAGATAGCTGCACTATCCACTGTTAAATATAATATAACCCACTTGCAGTTGCAGAAGTGAAAGTCAGCCCTACATGAGCAAGAGATGCAAGTAATGCAGAAAAGACGTAATGCTGGCAACATGAGCTCTCAGTTTACTCTCGAAAAAACTCCTGCATACACTGAGTATTACATGACGCCTACAATACCAGAACAATTAACCACATGCACAGAAGCCCCAAATATGAGTGATACTACTGCATTAGTTGAACAGTCCCCAATGAAAGTTCTACAGTCTGTTCAGACATCCTACAATTTAAATGCTAAGCAGGCATGTGCCATTCAGATTTGTGCAAAACATTTTATTCAAAACTATGTGGTCAAATCAGACACTGTAATGGAACCACTGTACTTGTTGCTCACCAGTCCTGGTGGCACAGGCAAGACGCATCTTGTCAAATCCTTGAAAGAATTGATGACATACTTTGGCTGCTTATACCAAATTCGTTTTCTTGCACCTACCGGCTCTGCTGCTGCCCTAATCGATGGAATGACAATTCACAAAGGACTTGGTTTGAAGATACAATCAAAGACAAAGGGTAAAGGCAACAGGCGACTGGGCGAAAGTGAACAGGACTATACAGTAACAATTAGTGTTCAAAATCGTACAGTATTGCATAATGAATGGCAGCATGTTGAGTTTGTACTTATTGATGAAATCTCACTGGTTAGCTGTCAGTTACTCTCTGAGATAGATCATGCATTACATTATGCCAAAGAAAAACCAGATGTATGGTTTGGAGGTATTAATATAATTTTTGCGGGAGATTTTTATCAATATCCTCCAGTAGGTGGCACACCGCTATACACATCTGTATCAGCATATGCAAGACAGACATCAGATGAACTCAGCAAGAGGCTTGGTCGACTTGCATGGAAGCAAGTAAATGCAGTCGTAGAGTTGACTGAGCAACAACGTATGAAAGATGATCCTGAGTATGGTGATGCAGTCAACAGATTGCGAACACGTGAATGCACAATGGGAGATGTTGACCTATTTAATACACGGGTAGTTAAGTCAGCGACCCATCTTGATGGCCTTCAAATAAAAGATGATGATGATGATCCTACAGTAATTGTCAATACCAACCTGCTATGACAAGTTATTAATACTGAAAAGGCACAGGCAAACTGTGATGCAGACAATGGTTTGAGTTTAATAATATGCACAGCGGTCGATAAGATTGATGGTCAGGTACCTGAGAAATCCACTCGTGATGCACTTCTGTGGCTCAATGTAACACCACTTACTTCTGAAGGTGCCCTCCCAGCATTCATTTCATTATATGTAGGCATGCCTGTGGTACTATGCAGTCGAAACATCTCCACAGAACTTGGAATCACCAATGGTGCTCAAGGCATAGTTAGGCACATCTCGATTAAACACTGTCCTGTTGGATACACATATGCAGATTGTGTTATAGTTGAGTTTCCTACAAGCAAGGTACATCTGCCTGATTTGCCTTCAGGCTATGTGCCTATTGCTCCAACAACATGGCAGTTTACAACTACACTTAGAGATGCCAATGAAGATACACAAAGGTACCAAGTTACCCGACTGCAACTCATCATACAACCTGCATTTGCGGTCACCGGCCACACATCGCAAGGCAAAACACTGCCTAAAGTACTTAACAACATGACTGAGGGCGGCTTTGCAGCCTACGTTGCTGCATCGAGAGCATGCACACGAAATGGCCTATTCATCTCAGAGCCAGTAAAGTTGGAACAGCTAAACAAGCCTGTTTCTGCTGACCTATACCATGAGACACAGAAATTTAAAGTGCTTGAGCAAAATACTCTAATTCACTATGGCTTTAAAACAGGATCCCTCGTACCTTTGCCAAATCCTGAAAGTGAAGATGACATCTCCACAAAGTCATTTCATGTCAACTTTAGTGACAGTAGCTCACAGTCAAAAGGAACCAAACGGAAAGCCTCACAAATGGAAGAATCAGGGATTTTGCCATCAATGTCAATGCCACATTCTGACTCATCACCATACATGTACAAGCACGGTTGCCAATGGTCATCCACAGACTACTCATGTGCATATGATGCCACATTTATGTCACTTTATCACAGCTACTCTCAACTGAGCTCTTCTTTGCATGCAATGTGGAAGAATCAGTCGGCTATTGCTAGTCTGTTGGTCAGTTGTTTTGAGAATCTGAGCCCAGACTCCAGTGCTAAGCAGTTTAACATGCAACGTGATTTTCTCCGAGATTTTCTTAGTAGACGATCACCTATGGAATATCCAAGATATGGTCCACAGTTTGCCTCTGCAGCAAGCATAATTGAATGTGCATTGGAAAACACCACTAACAATATAGTCACGACCATACAGTGTCTTGCCTGTCATCAAACACGCCCAATCACACTAAGAATCCCATCTGTTATTGTGTCCACCGGCATGCAGTCCTCTGCTGAAACTCAAACTATACAAACTTGGTTAAGTAAGACCATGACATCATCCATTCTGCATGCAAGAAGATTACTATGTCAATGCAACAGTGAAGTTGATCATAATATAAGCAACATTACACCACCGCCCATCCTATACTTTGAATATCCTTCACAGGAACATACAGTTATCACTCCCATATTTGATCTGGAATTCAATATGCAGACCACCTACTCATTGGCAACTGTAATATACTTTGGATCTAGTCACTTTACAACACGTCTCCTCCACTCTGACAACTCAGGATGGATATACGATGACCAACAGAATGACGGTGTCCCACAATATGAAAACAGAATGGATACTGATGACCTTACACCACTCCTTACACTCGACAGACGCTGGGCGCACATCCTCGTGTATACATCAAATGGTCCATTCAATTGAATCAATTGAATCAACAAAATATTGTATTATTGCCACCACGACACTATATCTATTTTACTGACTTTATTACCTGATCGACATGATCTTCATGCTCAGATGATCCTTTCATTTGAATTTTTAAAAGACAGTCATACCATCAGTATCTTATATCATATGACTATATGTAACAGTACTGCAACTATCCCACCGGCTTCATTACCTGATCTACATCATCTGTCTTGTCCAATACTGTCAGCAAATTCAAGTGTTGTTCAGTACTGGTTAAAACAGAAGGCACAGACTGGAGGTAAGAGAACCGTCTCTTCTTCGGAGCCTTACCTCCACCAGTGTTATCAGCCGCAGCAGCAATACGCATCATCGACAAGTGCTCTGACTCGCAGTCCGCAATCAGCTATAGCCACCATTAGAAGTCATTTTCTGATAACAAACAAATGCGGGTGAACACCAACTCACCTTCATCCCCAAGCGACTTACAATCATGACAGTGTCAAGTCGTGTAAGAAACTTGCGACCCACGTTTTCCCCATTTGGACTCACATGCTCACGAAGCCGAAAGTTTACTGAAAGCTCAACGAGCTCACCAGCATGCACCATGTCAAGGGATGACTGCACAGGAGTAGACCACCTACATAAACACAACATCACCTCAAGCAATGCGGACAGATGATTTCATATCATGACATACCTGTCATCATACTCGCCCTTCAGCTCCATGCATGACACGACATTGTCTGATGTCCACGAGAGCCTTCCACCAGCAACTAGCTCTGCCAATGCACCATACGGGTCAATAACCATGTTCAGATCGGCACTGTCAAACAACGGTGCTTCCACCATAGGCGTGAGCACACGTGTCTCTGCAATAAAACATGGCATGGTGCCAAGCCAGACATCATCGATTACAGATGTCATTCCACAGTGTGCATGCATTTCCATGAATCATAAGATGTTTGATCGGGCAGTGATGGCTCGCCAGAATGCAGGACCTTCACCGGCAACCACAACAGTCTGCAGAGCGAGATTCGGATTTCCCCTCAGCAGCCTAGATAGGAATCAATCACATCAGCAAGCAGCTTGTGAAGTGCAGAAGTGACAAACCTGAATGAGCACCTGAAAGGGGGCAGAAGACTCATCTGAGAAACAAACCCAGACACACGCAGTGTAACCTCCTTGCACGAGCTTCGCCACACCAGGTACAAATACCCACCCGAACTGACCTGAACATCAAATTGATGCTCGACTGTCTCGAACTGATCGTACGTCTCGAGCAGGAACTGTGATCCCTGTCTATCGGCACCCATTTCCGGATTCGGCGCCTTCGTACGTGTGGTCCACTTGTCGACTAATTTCACTGACCAAGATTCAACCATCATACAGTCCCATGACGAAAACAGAAACTCGACGCACCACAACGCGCATCCTGAAAGACCTTTGCCATCGTGTCGGAACTCAGGTGAGCCTCCAAATTCATTTTGATCGAAAGCAGCAAGATTTTTACTAAACTTTATACACCAGTGTCAATTGCCAGCAAGACACGATCAATGAGCAAGAACGAACACACCTGTGGAGGTAAGTAGCCATCCACAATGACCGACGCTTGCCCCCACACGACAAACTGTTCGCATGTCAGATTCAAATCTTACCGTCACGCCCAGCTCATTGCGGACATGCGCCACTGCTGCGCATCAAATTCGGTGCACGTTCATGACCGCTCTAGCCACATCTCCATCACTGACACGGACGGTCACCGACGTTCTCCGCCACCATCGCCAACTCGGCCGCGACGTGCAGCAATACCAACACGGAACCTTGCCCGACCCAAACGCACGTCCCCACTGGGCGCGCGTTCACAATCGCTCTCCGCAGCACCTCGACCGCGGACGGCCTCCACCACCTGCATTCTCGCCAATGCGACCACCATGCAGACCTGCCATTGGAATGCCAATACCGCGCCTGGCCGACCGCAAAACACGCGCCCCCTCTGCGCGTGCAGCTTCGTCCCCCCTCTGGCTCAAGTTTCGCGACCGCACACAGCTTGACCACCATGCAGACCTCCCAGCTTGCCAACACCAATCCCACGCCGAGCTTCTCGCAAAACATGCGCACCCACTCAGTGCATATTTTTCTCCGCTATTTTGTTTACACTTTGCTGACATCCAGCAGTCCCAACACGACGCCTTGCCCGACCGAAACGCGCGCCCTCACTGCGCGCGCAATTCGGCACACGTTCATGGCCCCTCTCCACAGCACCTCGACTGCCAACGCCCTCCACCACCTACACTCGCCACCTCGACCACCACGCGGACCTACTGTTTGAATGCCAATACCGCGCCTTGCCCACCGCAAAACACACGCCCCCCGCCGCATGCGCCACCACCTCGACCATCTCGCCCACGCTTCACGACTGCACCCAGGTCGACCACCGCGCGGACCTCCCATTCGAACGCCAAGGCCGCACCTGGCCTCTCGCAAAGTGCACCCACGCAGCGCACGCAATTTCCTCGACACTCTCGCCCCCATTTCGGGACCGCGCCCAGACGGCAAATGCCAACTGGCATGCCCCAATAGTCGCACCACGAACAACTCCCACTTCGCCCGATTTCCTCTCGCAACTGCCACCATGGCCTCCATCACTGATGCTCCTGCAGCCACCACTGGCATCAAATGCAAGATGAGGCATCCATCGCTGTCCGCGCCAGTGCCTTCACCCGCAAAAAGGCAGAAGCCCGAAGACAGCGACGACATGTAAGTCTTCATACCCACTCACCGCCATATACCGGCCAACATGCAGTTCTTTGCAGCTTCTCGCCGACAGCACACACCGACTCCACCGCATCTGATACTCCCGCAGATGATGCTCTTGCCAGTCACCGATCCGATGAGACTCCCGGTAAGCCCTACCGCAACAAAGGAAAGCGCGTCGAGAAAACCAGGACACCATAAGTCACCTTCCGACACTCGACAGACACTTCCGCTAATCACGCCATATATACAAGAACTGAAGTGCTTCAGTCGCTGTCGAAACTCAGGCACGCCCTTTGGCAATTATCCACCATGACCCACACTGACACCTTCTTGCAGAGAAATGCTCGCCATGACACGTGCCATGAACAACGTGTTTGTCCTCGTGCAACCCGTGTATCTCAAGAGGGCATTCCCTTCGAACATCACCGAGTACGTCCATTTGCCCTTGCTTTTTCTGCCATACTACTAATCGACCCCAAAGACATCTGGACCACGTCTCGATCGCCACCGCACACGACATCATCAATCTCGTGACCGCAGACCCCACAGCACTCCACTTTGTCGCCGTCGGAGCCTCCGACTACCTTCAGCTCAAGACGAGCACCCATCTCACGCTCTTCTCTGTTGTCAGCTCCGTTACCCACAGCGACCTGATCAGTCCGAGCGGTCACAGCCGTCAACTCTGCGTTGCACCATCAGCACTCACCTGGCCACATGTGGCCACCGTCCTGGGTGCCATTCTCAACAGATGAACACTCGTCTTCCCGTCATTCCATGCCGGCCTCTCCTTCTCAACAAGGCTAACCACCAGCTCAAACACTCCAACCAAGATCCGCGGCATGGCTCCTGCCACTCCGGTGAACGCACAACGGGGTACGTGACGTCTCGCACTACAAAACGTTCGCTAACGCACCCTGCAGGTCCACCCCCCGTGCTGCCCGCCGATCGAGATGGTAAGATCGCCCCCAACCTTCTCCCGCATGCGCCCTAATTCACTCCTCCTGCAGTGCCGACTTTCGACAGGTGTAAGCCCTTCAAGTTCTCCATGCGGTCCATATCGATGCTTCCCAAAATCCATGACAATCTCTCCACAGAGTCTGCCGTCCTCCTGCTCTTCACTCTTGGGAAGTACATCAAGAGCCACCCTGAACTCAACGACGAAAACGCTGACACCACTATCTCCCTCAACATCCAATCCATCGTCCTTCTCGCCAATCCGGGATCGATGCCCCGCGGCTTCCTCGAGGACGAGCCCATGCCCCTCCTCGGAGTCTTCCGACCGAATTCCGAGCCTGACCAACGCCACTCGGATGACAGCGACGACGACGATGCCTCGCTCGTCTAGTTTTTTCCATTACTGTAACTATCACAAATACCTGTACTTGTACTATACGTATCAATCACACACCCTTGCTCATACAAAAACCGTGAGCACCCCGTCGGAGTCGGGGAATGGCGCGAGCGCCGCTACGATCTATATATGGACCGTGGGAAGTTCCCACGGGGGAGGGGGGGCTTAACCGGATTTTCTGACCCTGTGTCTAGAATCCGATTTATGCATGCCCCTTGCTTTGGTGCGTTTGGCGAAACCGTAACCACGGAGCGCGCACGGGACCGCTCTCCACCAGGCGAACCTTGGTCTTGCAAAGCACACCTTCTCAACGCCACTGCGGCCTGTATGCATGTTTGCATTCTCCTTAACCTGTCTCTCTTTAGGCCTGCCTTTTCTCATTCAGTTACATTCTCATCCCGGAGTATTTGCGTCACACTCGGTTATGCGCAGCGAGGACAGCGCGTGGCAGAATGCTAGCGCGTCGTTCAACACAGAGACTTCGGGCATTGGCCATGTCCCGCTCGACGTCGACGGGTATGCTATTGCACCGCCGGAACTCGAGCTACAGCAGGTACACATCTACATGAGACACGGTGCGTGATTTCCCTCAGCGTCTATACGAAGCCGTCTGCATCTGGCACACCATTGTCTCATAAATACGCCCTCGATCTGCTCTGAATCGACATTGCGGTGTCGGCGAATGTGGATCGCTGTCACGGATCGTGTCATGAGTGACAACACGCTGGCCATCCGAACGTCTGGAGAGCGTCGTGTCGTGTTTATGATGCTTGCGTACAGGGTTAACGAGGACGAAAGTATCGATTTGAACGTATACGCAAGATGCTTCCACGCGTTTATTCCCTCTTTAAATTTTCAATGCTGACGAAAGGAGCAGGTGAGCGAACGCCAGTACGTGTGCGCATGGCGGAGCCACCCGCATCCATACCCGAGCACTGGCTATTTTGCAACGCTGCCCACCAGTTCCGCGCCGCTGTCGCCAGTGGCAGCAACCAGACGCCCGAACTGCCCAGAGTGGCTGGACAGGAAGGGGGAGAGACTGACGAGACGCTGCAGACGCGACGCGTCGTGGAGCGAGGCGATGGGACCGTTGTGATGGGCGAATGGTGAGTCAGTTATGCCCAGTTTGTCTACTTTTATCGCCGTTGTTCCTATTCCTCCGAGGGTACTCTGTTCTATTATGGTTGACGGCAATAATATGATTATTGATTACACTCAAGTCTGCTGGGTGAATTGACCGACATCGGAAGACAGGTATGCAGCACCCTAAGCTCATTTCCCTCATAAAGCTTGTAGCGATATGACTCACCCTTGTCTCTTCACAGTCGACGTACAACTACGGACGCGCGCTGAGGCAGCTCTACGTTAATCGGTGAGTCGTGTCCGTCCGAGTCACCGAGTACCCTTCATACAAGTATGTCACAGGTTAAGTTTCCTACCCGACATCGCCAAGTCCAATGACGAGGCTTACTTCCGCTCGACGAACGTGCCGCGGACGATCGAATCGCTGCAGCACGTCATGCATGGCTTGTATCCCGCGTCCAAGTCCTCAAACGACTTCGTTCCGCAAATCAAGATACGGCAAGCCTCCCTTTTCTCTCGCTTCAGTCGTGCTCTGCTCACCAAAAGACTCAGTAATGCGAAGGAAGAAAACCTCTTCGGGAACACGAACGCGTGCAAACGGCTCGAGGTGCTTATTGTCAGCTATGCGAAAGGTAGTTACCGCGCTCTGCCGTGCATGCCAACCTCATCAGTATTGCAGCAGCCGCTACGGCATGGAATACCAGCCTCGAACCGCTCGACAAGAAAATCTCGAAGTACATCAACGGGAACCCTATCAGGCTCGACGGACAGCCGCGCGCGTCTGGCGTTCTCGACACTGCACGTACTCTCCTCTTCCTGGATGTCCTGCGTGCTGATAGGCTCGTAGATCAATGCGTGTGCGGCGCACGGCATACCCTATCCCCCGGAATTCAAGGAGAACGGTGTGAAGGATCTCATTGTGCGTGCTCGAATTTTGCGCCCAATTTCGGCGACTCAGTCCTTGGCGACAGGAGAAAGCCGTCGTACACGAATGGTTCGCAGGTAAGTGTCCGGCCTCTTTTACACGACTTCCGCTAACCCACACTGCTTCTGCAGGGTGTGAGATCTCCACTCGCTATCTGCAATTTGTACGCTAACGTTATTGTTCCCGACGAGCAGACAAGTCCGAGGAAGTGAGGAGACTGGGCATGGGCCCTCTGTTGAGCGATATGACGGGCAAGATGCGGACGAAGGCGGAGCGCGGCGCACAGGACCCGCTCAAGATCCTCGTGCACAGCACGCACGATACGTGTCTCGCCGCGCTGTGCAACACTCTCGACGTGTATGACGAGAAGTACGTGTGCCTGCCTGTCTTGCATGGGTCACAGCTGTTGAGAGGCTTGCGGTGTGCAGATGGCCGGCTTTTTCGTCAGCACTTACGTTCGAGCTCTTCCGAAGGCGAGAGAGCGTTACGAAGCAGTCGCAACCGCAGCCACCAACATCAACCTGGCAGAACGTCCTCGGGCTCTTCCACCGTCCTCAGCCCGAGAACGAGCATTGTGCGTTGCATTCCTATACTTCTATTCTCCAGAGCGAACCAAACTTAGGCTTAATTGATGTGACCCGCAGACGTCCGCGTGCGGTACCAGAACAAAGACCTCGCGCTACCGCTGTGCGCGCAAGACGGCAAGCACCTCCCTGGCTCACCCGAGTTTTGCACCTTCGCTGCGTTCCGCGAGCGCGTGCGGGAGCTGACGCCAACAAACTGGGAGTCAGAATGCGCCGTGCCTTCTGCCCGGTCATCCTAGACATATTTCCACGTTCTCGTACGTCAGGCTCCGCCGAGATTTTCTCATGTCTGGGGTGGGCCGCTCTGCTGCTACATGTGGATAGACGCGAGGGTAGGAGCATCTCAAGCACATCGCTATGGATTGGAGTCCTTCTATCGTTATTGTACTGGACCTACGGTTTCTTGCCTAGATATTAATTGCACAGTACTTCGAACAGGTTCACAGAATGAATTCCACTAGAGACTGGATATATTGAGATTATACCCGGGAGTTCAACGGACAAAATGCACCAGTAAGACCAAAAATAATGAATGCGCATTATCCTGTTCGAATGTCCGATCCGTAAAATGATATGTACGTTAAGAGCAGTAGGATGCGTGTCAGGCTCGGACCCTTGAGGGGTCATGCATGTCAGTTTTCATAGTTGCTTTTTGGTACTCTTACGGCTCTCGAAGTACCACTAACCAGTGGTCAATACATCAATTCCAGTATTGTCACTGACAGCGAGTGCGACTTGACTCACCTCCACGGAACGCTTGATCCCTTCGTCAAGAGAGACGAGGGGCTCATAATCCAGCGCATCCTTGGCCTTGCTAATGTTACACCACCTGGTAGTGGTGCAGATGATGACGAGGTACCGCGTGAGCGGAGGTTTCCAGCCGATCAGCCACCCGATGAACTCGAGGACCGACGCGAGGAAGAACGCGACGGGGCGGGGGATGACCGTGAATTTCTTGGGCTCCTGCCAACCCGCGGCGCGCCAGAAGGCGCGGGGCACGTCCCAGAACCGCCGCGGCTCGCCATTTGTGATGAAGAACGGCTCGCCTGCGACACGCGCGTGCTTCGGGTGTGCGGGATCGAGCCGGTCCGCCGCGAGGAGGTGCGCGTACGCGGCATTGTCGATGTAGGTGTTGTCGAACACGTTCGTGTTGTTCCCAATTTGCGTGTTCGTGCGCCCGCGCTGGAGCGCCCCCATGTACCCGGGTACCGCCACGCGGTCGCCCGGCCTACAGTCGTCGTCAGCGCGTCATCGGTGTAGAAGGGGATGCATAATTGCGCACCCGAAAAGGCCCGCGACGCGCAGCGCGCAGGTGCGCAGGCTTCCCCGCCCGTTGGCCTCGAGCACGATCCGTTCGCCCTGCGCCTTTGAGTCGCTATATTCGTCTAGCGGCTTTTCCGGGTATGGCACGGTCTCGTCGACGCCCGCTTGGTCCTTTCCAGCGAACACGGCACTTGCACTGCTGGTGTACACCAGCTTCGACACCCCGTGCGCAACAGCCGCATCGACAACCAGTTTTGTGCCGCCGACGTTGACGCGGTAGAGCAGGTCGCGCCCGTGGCCAGTAAACCCAATCAGTGCTGCTGTGTGAATGATGCAAGTCGCCTGGCACTGTGGACAATGTCAGAGGAGAGAGCGATGCACGATATGCGACGCACGTCCTGTATGGCCTGGTCGATTTCGTGGTCCTTCGTGATGTCGCCTGTGAAGACGCGCACGCGTTCGTCGAGGTCACCCGGCGCGACGCGCACGTCGAACACTGCGACGGAGGTCTCGCCGCGCTCGAGCAGTAGCCGCACGATCTGGCGACCGAGCAGACCGTTACCGCCAGTGATGAGGTATGAGTCTGGCATTGAGGAGACAGAGCACACGATGCTGGGGAGAGCGCCTCGGATCGTGTTGACCTCGTCCACCTCGGCGACTTACTATCACAACCGTCGCGATCGAGGCTAGGGCAGCTCTAAATTTGTGAGCATAGCCATACGTACTGTTGCGAACACAGAAGTCGAGGATTAGTCGAGGATGATCCAGAGTTTACACCGTCAGCTGGTCGTCGTGTTCCAGATCTTCCGTAAAATGTTTCAGCGTCCAATCTCGCGCTGGAGTGTCTCACCACATAACTTTGCCATCTCAAACTACTGGATAATCTGCAGAAGAGCGCGCAAAATCGGAATCTCTTTAATTCCGACTAGAAGGGATAGAGCGAGCCCGCTTGAGATGAGACAGATGGGTATTATGTAGGTGAACGTACAATACATGGATCGTCAAGAGAGTAAGTCCGTTGCAACAAACGATGAAGCCTACCGATGTGATTATAAACATTGCCTGTGAAAACCCCGCAATTTGCCTGCCAAGGCCAAATCGCAGGCGAAGGTTTCAAAGCTCAAACTGCGACGTCTGACGGAGAGGAAGACCGCTCTATACACCAGACACATACACTTTACATGGTCAGAAATATTGTGCATGAAACGTACCTTAGTATATATCGCGTCAATAATACGCATCGAATTGATAGAGTCTTCTGCCGTCCGCCAGGCCTGCGGTTCGCGACCGCGCACCTTGTCGATGAAGGCCTCCAGTTGATAGCGGTACCTGTACCAAGTTCAATGAGCGAAAACGACACGAAGATTCCGAGAAACACCTACGCAGACCACCAACCCTCTCCCCTTCCATCCTGTGGCTTCCAAACACGCTCAGTCCCCGCCTTCCCTCCTGTCAATGTGACCGTGATGGAGTGATACAAGCTCGGTAGCGGATAGTTGAATATCTCCACTGTACCATTCTCGCACTCCACGCGTCCGTGCACCTTCGGCCACGGTGGGAGCAGCTGCAGCGGGCCCCAGCCATCCATTCCGGAGTCAACGATAACAACCGCGGGTATGGATTCCGCGAAGGTCAGGTGCGCTTTAACGCGCTTGTCAATGTTCTTGGAGCGGCAGATGGTCGTAGCCGACTCCACTGTTGGTTCGGACGAAGAGAGATAGCGCAAGAGGTTGATTGGGTATGCTAATGCACGGTGGTAACTGGTAAGGCGCTGTCAGTGCATGGGTAGAACACGACTTACGCCCGAGATCCATCAGCGCGCCGCCGCCGAGTCCGTATTTGAATCTGATGTCATCCTTGCCAAAGGTAGAGCTCCAAACACACAGATGTCCCTCCATTTTCACAATCTTGCCAAGGGCGCCCTCTTCGATAATTTCCTTCGTTCGATAGACGGCAGGATGGAAACTGCAGGGATGACGTCTCAATACGGCGCCTACAGCCATAGAATTGAAAGGAGAGGGGAACGCACTGAGGCTGCCATGTCTCAATGAGGAGCAAGTTCTTCTCCTGAGCGAGAGCGAACATCTTGTGTGCCTCTTCTTCATTGTTGGCGATTGGCTTCTCGCAAAGAACATGTTTGCCCGCCGTAAGAGCCTTCATTGTCCATTCATAGTGAAGAGCATTGGGCAGCTGCAAACGAAACAAAGTATCTAAGCCCACCCGAAGAGCAGAATGGCATGGACATTACAGCAACGTAGACCGCGTCAATCTCCGTATTGTCAAGCAGGTCTAACTTCAAAGCATCGAATCTTGTTGTATTATGCTGGCTCTTTGAGTCACCCACCTTGGTATGCGTTAGAACCATCGTATGTCTTCGGAATGCCCCACTTTCTCCCGAACGCCTCAACTCGTCGCTGATCTCGCGCAGCGACCGCAACCAGCACTGCATCTTCGTGGCATTGTATGGGCTTCACAATGGCATCTGGCGCAATTTTGGCAGCACCCAGCAACCCGAATCTTAGCGGATTTGCGCCCTTCTCGACCACTGGCGGGTTGTTCGTCTGCCCTAGTCACATTTGAGTTTACGGAAGGATAAGTCTGAGAATGTGAGTATACCGACCTTACGTAGACGGGCCAGGAAGGAGAATAGATCTAGAGACATACCACCGAGACGACCGTCGTGGATGAGAGAGTCAGAGGGCCCGCTCCGACCCCGGGCCGGAGTCACTGTTATTTCCTTGCTTTAGCATCTCCCCTTCTCCATTTGGACACCCACTTAGGCATTGCACCAAATATTGCCATTATTCCTCTTTTCCACTGTCATCTACTTCACAACCAGGCTCCATGTATATGTATAACGATGTTGGCTCTCTCTCAAGTCTTCAAGCTTCAAGATTAAGACCGCGGCGAGAGTGTCGTGGGGAGTACAAGGGTTATTTCCAAAGTTTCTATAAGCTAATTTACTTACGGCCACTACATTCTCGAGTCATCACGCCGATACTCAAGCGCTGAGCGTAGTTAGTGGTAGATCTGTCGCACCCTGAACGTGTTGCGTCTCCCCGCTCTTTAGACTAGCACTCAGCATGTTCCCACACCGTACGCCGCCAATCCATCCAAAGTGTCCAAGAACCCTTGCAGGCTAGGGCCGCATACGGCGTTGAACTCCTCCGATATTCGTCACTCAACAATTGTCAAATCTCCGCGTCTGCCTTACCCTCGGAAGACGTTATCAACCACACCCGTCGCCGGATACAACAAACGAACAAACTAAACCTCAGCAGAAGCCGATGCGTTAAGAACGGGGAGCTCCAAGTCGGCAATCACGCAGGCTACTCGTGTCCGATTCCAAATGGCAAGGTTGACCTTTGGCTGAGTATCACACGGATAGAGTTCATTGATCGAACCGATGGCGGTCGTCCGTTTCAGACGGTCGTCCAAGCCGTCCCGTACCATTGGACTCTTCAATGTGCTCGTGCATGTGCCCCTCGGAACGATGTTTACATCTCTCGGTCGCACCGAAGGACCTCACGGAACCTACGTTATGTCCGAGTCTTCGATTTCTGCGTACAAGGAGTGAGCGCTTGAGCACCACACTGAGCAGAGAACCAACTCACTTTCACCCACCGTACCACCACTGCCGTTAACATAGCTTCTTCTGTGGAAGGTCACCTGTCGTGATAGATACAGGTCAATCCATATCATTCCGCGGACGGATGTTTGATGTAGTGTTGTCGCGGAGCTCGATCGCAACATCCAACCACTCGCTGTTAGAGCTATGTCTACTTTCTTCCGATGGTAAATTGAATGGGGCGCCGGGGGAGACACCTTGCAGAGGACGGTAACAAACTCCGAAAATTCAGCGGTATCAGAGAAGTAGGCAGGCACAGCGGCCTCCAGTATCCGCCGGATGGACCGTAGGTAACCTGCAACGATATTCAATAGGCGATGATTCAACGTGGAATTTACGCACCTACGCACCGCACGCCACATTTTCTCCGAGTCCGAAACTCGGATGTGCAGTAGTAATTCTTGTACGTAAAGATTGTCAAGGAGTGTATTTCAACGTGATTTCAGCATCGTTCTCGCTGGTCTTCCACCTTAAGCTTCTAGTAGCCAGGAGGTCGATGAGTCCATCGCCCGTATGGAGACGACGCGGATCCTACACGGCCAGACATCTGCGGCACCGGAATGGGGCCTGAGAGCGGAGTCGCCGCAACAGCCCGTGCCCGGCACGATTACTACCCTTTTCGTGTAATGATTTTGGGGTCTGCCTATTCTGGCCGTGTAGTGAAGAGTCGTTAGAGAGTTGCAAGTCCGTGTTATCGCAGATCGCCGCGATCGCGCAACACCGTTAGCCATATATGTACATTGTGTTCAGGACGGAGAAACTCGACGGCGGATAGACTTGGAGAAGTATAACGCTACCATCCACTAAATCTCCGCCTGATAACGTAGCACGGAGTAGTATTAAAAAGGTAGTGCTTCCTATCATACAAATTGCGTACGAGATTGAGTAAGGTCAAACTCTTGCAGCAAAGCCTGCTCAGATACTGATAGGCCCCGTACGCTCCGAGTCGTTTGTAGTCGCTTCCGATTATGCGGAAACCTCTACTTGGGGCCCGGTAGTCTTCTACTGCAATAGCTTTTGGTTGTGAATATGCACTGAAATTCGTGAAGAATATTGTCGACATAAATATACTGGGCTTGGTCTTAGTCTTCTTGTATGGAGGTCGTTTGGTTACGGTTCGTTTATGGACAGATGCCGTGATGCCGATGCGTGGCTCTCGCGTGGTTCATCCAGGAGACCTCAGTCACCCCTTACGTGCGCTAGTATTTTTCCTTAGCACCTGCCATTCGTCCCGCATGTCGTGCTCGCCGTGCGTCGGCTCGAGCTCATCGTTGCTGACGACGAGCTCCACTACATGCTCAAAAACTTCTCCTAAATATTTTCATTCCACTAATTACTATGTACATAGCAAGAAGTATTCATCATGAATATACAAGATGCTCTCACGGTAGATGACCTGGTTCAAGAAGTTGCACAGTTGCGAGTACCTAACCATGGCGTCGACACCGACACCGGGCCTGTGCTGAAGCTCATGACCTTTGGGCGGCCCTTACCCTTGAGGGGCGTGCCCACGCTGAGGCACTGCGCAGTGGGCGACTTCTCGCTGAGCGGCCACACCTCCGCGAGGATCAGGTCGCCCTCGCGCGCGAGATACATGTCCACATCCAGCGGGATACACGTGGACCTTCGTGCCCCGCTCTGCCATAGAGACCAGCGTGCACGGTGTGGAGAAGTCGATGTTGCTGCTGCTCCTGCACCACATCGAATTTACCCTCCAGACCCTTTCGGAGCTCGATATATTTTCTCAGACTGGGCAATATATGCGCCTCGTAATCTATCATAAGTCAGTCTTGTTCACGACATAGGGAAAGTCACTGCGTACCATGCACTTGCTGGTCCAGTTCAAGCATCAACGTAAACGAACGCTGTAGAGATAGGGGAAGTTGCTCGAGCACTATAAATGCGTGAGTTTCATCCGTATATGCATGGTGAGGCTCACCTTCGTAGTTCTCCTCCTTGAACGCGTCTCATACCTCGCGTTCCTTGTCGGATGTCGCGTCCGCAGCATCCACAGCATCTTCGGGGCCACGTGGCTCCTGTTCTTGTTCTGGCGTAACCTCGACCACTGGAAGTTGCTCTATCACGTTCTCCTCATCTTCTGGAAACGCTTGAGAGCGACGCTGCTTGCGGTTTTTGCGGTAGGACATTTGTGTGATCGTGTGGGTGACACGTCCAGCGGGATACATGTGGACCTTCGTGCCCCGCTCTGCCGTAGAGACCAGCGTGCACGGTGTGGAGAAGTCGAGCTATCTCAAGATGACGTCTCCAAGGTAGAGGTCCTGAGGAGCTGTTACAAGTGAGACGAGGTTCGCGAGGGAATAGAAGCAAAGTACGGTGTCGCACCACCGAGGCTCGAAGCAGTCTGCGTCAGTCTGTGTTGATGAAGAGCTCACGGAGTCGGAAGTCGTAGTCTGGCGTCTCCTCGAAGCCGAGTTTCCGGACGTAGTTCATGTAGATGGCGAACTCCTCTGTCATCCTCTCGAAGTTCGCCAAGTCCATGTTTCGTGACAGATGTCGGAATATATTGTGCTGTGGGTTTGTTCAGCGGCATCTGAGAGAATTGGGCTATATCTTGCTGTTGAGATGGTGCCAATCTTTGGACCACTTTCAACTTTCGCCAATTCCGACTCGTAGGCCAGATAAATACAGATTCCAAGAAACCCTGAGTACAATGAAATTACTATCAAGGCTTCTACGCATTCAATGATGATGAAGACATTCAACTTGCGGTTTCTGCCCATGCTGCAGTGCCTCCTGTTGGAGAAGATGCAGGTGGCGAGGAGTGGATGCCCGTGCTGGATCTTCATCATCCACGCGAAGGTCGCTCAGTCGTCAGGCATTCTGGGTCTCAAGTCAATGATGGTTTCTCGTCAGATGCCCCTTCCGGGCATGAGCACAATGAATGGACGAGTAGTGACACGGATTCGGACTAGTACCAACTTGCTGAATAGATATATACATGGTAGCTCTCCAGCAAATGTGAATTCAGATTTTTGGGCTACGATGGCCGCAAGCATCTTGCGCACTACTCATGCGGCTGATGGTCTCCTGATGTGATTCGCGGCAGTGCTATATCTACATTGAAATCCACGCAACACAGTGCTGGACTGTTCCTAGCCCATGCTGCACTCACCATCTCGAACAATATCTACCTGATGACGGCGAGAGCACCTTACATATTCATGATGAATACTTCTTGCTAATGTACTTATGTACATGGTAATTAGTGGAATGAAAATATTTAAGGGAATTTTCTGAGCATGTAGTGGAGCTCATCGTCAGTGACGATGAGCTCGAGCCGACGCACGGCGAGCATGACGTACGGCACAAATGGCAGGTGCTAAGGAAAAATACTAGCGCACGTAAGGGGTGACTGAGGTCTCCTGGATGAACCACGCGAGAGCCACGCATCGGCATCACGGCATCTGTCCATAAACGAACCGTAACCAAACGACCTCCATATTCTTGTTATTTCTTCATCTCCTGCGAAAGTAGCAGTTGGATTCGTGACCACATCATGAATGCGTTCGCTTGGCCGAGTTATGTTGTTGCAGATCCTCCGCGGGACAATCGAGCTTCCTGCAGTCGGAACGACGATACACATCCATGGCCGGAACCGGTACTCCAAAGTTATACTTACTTTGTTTCACCGAACCTGCAAGGCGAAAACCCCAATGAGATGATCCATCCATGTTTGAACGGCGTGTCTGCGTGAACAACGTGCCACATGATTAACCCTGTGTGCGTTGTTGTGGGTGTTGCCCACGTTGTATGCACGAGGCGACGCGGTCACGTCACTATGCAACTGATTGCGTGAAGAGCGAGGGAGGTATGCCATTCACTTCGCACGAACGAAGCGCACAGAAGACAAATTGTAAGGTATCTTTAACGAAGACGGAGTCCACTGCAAGGAGCGGGTGTATAACCAAAAATTACAAGGCCGACTGTAGTACCTTCATAGTGAATCCATAGTGTCTACCGGGCCGCAATAATGAACGAATGTGTGGCTCAAATAGGTAGCACGGTGTTGAAGACGTAGTCCCATATCTTGCTCGTCACGCCGAACCCGAGGTCGAAGTTCTTGTAGTGGTGCGCGAGGTGGTACTTCTTCATCTCTTTCACATAGATAGGCAGTTTGCTATGGTGAAGCCTGTCACCGGTGAAGTTAGAGTGAGGATTGTAGCGGCAGTCAATTACAGATTGGCACTTACGCGTAATGCATGCAATCATATACGATGTCTGATAGAGAACAGACACTAAATAAGAGCATGGCGGTAGGGCTGGAAAACTTACAAAAAGTGAAGGCGCCGGCGATGATGCCATTCGCAACTGCTGCTGGGAACAAGGCGTGGGCCAGCGCAGTCATAGGCGCTTCCAGAGCAGCGAACATAGCAGGAGGCATCACCAATCGCAGCCTACAATGTTCATTATTACCACGGTCTTGGCAATGTTCAGAGAGTATTACCTGTCCATAGGAAGATAATGATGAACGCCATGTAGCAAAAAGTGCACTGTTAATGCCGCCGGGTGATCCGGGAGGTAATAGTCCATGTGGAATAGGCACCGGTGGAAGATGTACTCCAGGATCGTCCACACGAAGTTTCCTAAGAAGAAACAGAGTAGTGTCTTCACAACTGACAAGAGTGGGATGGTGGTCGTGGTAATAGCAATGAGCGGCGCAAGAGGATCTTCTCTGAACAGGGGTAGGGAGTCATTGCCCAGTGTGAATTGGACCAACGAGCGGATAAAGATGTAGCTTGCAATGGGCGACCATACGATCGGCACAACGTACCACGCCGTACGTGAAAAAATCTACTCGATGGCATATGATGAAAATACTAGAGTGGAGTACTTTTGAGATGACTTGCCTCGAGGTAATCCGGTCCAAAGAGACGCGGAGATTCAGGAGTGTGGCGAGGTTGGTGAACCTGTTGCAGATAGTACGACTTGCTAAAGTTGGCCTCCCACACCTGGCGCAAAAGCGGCTGGCGAAGGTCGAGGAAATGCGTCTTCTCAAAGTCGGCAGTAGTGTCCGTGTTTTCGGGCACGAAATCATCGGTAGCTTCCCAATCTGCATATTCGCTCAGTGTCTTTGCATACCTTTCCCACAGCAACGCGGCACGTGTCTGGAGGCATCTAAGACATGTATTAAGGCGGCCTAGAGTGACTGAGAGCACTCTAAAGCCATGTCGCAGTTGCCTCCAAACGGTCACAGTGGTTGCATGGAATACGCACCCTCGCGCACGATATCCGCTTCAGAGCCAATCCTCCCAATGATGCATTCGTCCAGCATGTCATACGCTGAATCCGAGTGGTCGTGCTGGCTTGAGTCCTTCATGATTGCGCCAACGTCCCTTCCGGCGTAGCTCAAGAGGAGGTCGTCACCTCCCGGGTGGTCGGGCAGGAAATTGGTCACGTCGTAAACCTTGCCATCACGAGTGACCCAGCAGCTCGACGGAGAGCTGTGAGCAGCAACATCCTCCAGAGTATAGATGCGGACTCTTTTCGACATGGTGGAAGGAAGAGGGCGGATGGAGTTGAAGATGAGAGCTCCTCCGAATATTTGAGCGCGGAAATCTCGCCATGGAACATTTATTGGGATCATTCACACGGTAACGTGCAACTGCCTCACATGGTCTTTCCAAATCTGGACTTACCTGGACCATAATAATTTATCTGATAACGTCTGATGTCTGCAACTGCTGTGCCTTGTTCTCTCTGGCACTTTTTCTGTAGGGTCTGCGGGTTTAGCTTATGTGGATTCGCATTACGCTGTGTTCAATATCATGGGGAAGCTAAACTTTGACATCGACGATGCCGACCTGCTCAAGACTTACAATATATCAACTCTGTCGCCGGTGTATTGTGCCAGTCCATTCTGACTGAGAATCGTACTTTCCTAACTGTTATTCTGTTATCAGAAAGTGGGAAGAGATAGATCATGACGCAGACAACTCGCTCGCGGGTTCACTGACAAGCTCGAGCAACGAAGGGGAAGTCGACCCACTGGCTCTCGGAACCGTCATCGAGTATGTAGGGTACGCCTTAGTCGAATCATCAGTCGTTAATCATATTGCTAGTGTACGGAATATGGACCTAGATACCAGTCAGTCTAGTCGATACTTCCTTTTGCGTGAAACCAGACGTTCATTTAATGCTGCAGAGGCTGCTGTCCTCATTTCCTCCAAGTCATTCAACCCGAAAGCCTTCCTGTCTGCGGTACACCCTAATGCGACTTATCAGGATCTCGCGGCAGGTATCGCTCACCTCAGGGCTTCGATAGAGTCGAGATCGGAAGCAGTGAGGATTCTTGTGGAGGAGAATTTCGACAGATTTGTGGCCGTCAAGGCGTCGACTGATGGTACGCCATAATGTCCACTGTTTCGTGCTCATGAGAGGTGAAACCATTTCTATTTGCAGCGCTGCATGCAGAGATGCGGGAGGGACTCTTGGCAGGGCAGAACGACTTCGGAACGAAACCCCTACGTGAACACCTCAAGAGTAAGTTCTAATTACAGGATGTGAACACATTTTACTGAAATCCCACTATCGTGTGGAGATTCCGCACAGAAAGCAGATCAAGTATTTCTCCCGGTTCTAGAGAACGCCCTCAAGGCACAAAAACTGCGTACTACGCTCAGCGTTTTCGAGCGGTCGAAATTCTTTTTCAACTTACCAGGTTCACTGATTGAGTCAATCGATTCGGTATGTTTCGCACTGAAGTCAGCATCTCAGCTGATGTCGTGGTCGTGTACAGGGCCGCTATGAAGCTGCCATGAGAGACTACAAGAAGGGCAAATTCTTGCTCGAGTCTCGACCGGGCCAACTACTCCCAGTGGGATCTAAGAAGGATGGTCCGGCTTCTACGAATGCAGAGGAGCGTCAGAGGCGAATATTGGACAAGGTGTGGAGCACTGTAGAGAAAGTAATGGGAGAGATGAAGAATCAGCTTGTTGCGAAACTGGAAGACCCCTCTCGAAGTGTCGAAGAGCAGGAGAAGACGATTGAGTACGCCCTTTACCCTACCTGTTGTTGAGCCTTGAGTTTGATCAACACTGGATATAGGATATTGGTCGAATTGCATCCAACCGACGACCCAGTATGGACTTACTTCGACGCTCAGCACAAATACATCCTACAGCACATGCAAGAAACATACACCGCTTCCGTCGCATACGTTCAATGTAGGTGTGATATTCCGATTATTTTTCGCAACGAATAACTTACATGCCTGCCAGCGGTGTTCGAGAGAGCTACTCCCCAGGATACAAGTTTAAGAGCACTGACTCCAGCTTTGTCTGAGCAACTGCAGAGTTGTATCATCGCGTTGGAGTCCAAACAGAACGATACCATTATTCGTTCGTTGTTGCCTGTTCCAAGTGATCTCATTCTAATCTGTCTTGTGCATGCTTACAGCTCAATCGGGTGGACATGATATTTGGCAGGCCATTTTGGCGATGGTCAAAGGTGTCTCTGAGGCCATGCTGTCCTCACTCCCGAATTTTTGGCGAATCGCCAGATCGTTCATGGACGGCAAGTTCAAAAAGGTATTCCATCGTCTCTCCTCTGGAACGCGGAGCACTGAGTTTCATGGCCACGATCAGGGGCCTCCATCACGTCGGAGTCCTTTGCAATGTCGCACAATGGCACTTGACATCGTGAAGCTCTATATCTCTCTCCTATCGGAATTTTTCATGTTTTCCGACATGGCCGTAATGACCCCTCCGGGTAGTGCTTCCGACACAGCACCTCCCTTACTCCCCAAGGATTCAAATTCGCTCACGACTGCTCATCATCTGATGAAAGTTCTGGGGGAGCTGCAGGACAGCATCAATGATATCCAGGGTATGGAAATTTCCAACGAGGCCTCTTCGATCCTAAAGGAGTTGTTGGAAAGTGCTCGGTGGAAATTCGAGGACATATTCACTCAGGCCTGGCTGAGAGGTGAGAAAGAGAATTCCTTCGGAGCCCCGGCATCGCTCACTCCACTTCATCGTAGATGCAAACGTCTTCTACAATCTGGAGAACTGGATCGGCTCGGCCGTTGTCCCATACACGACTATCTACCTATCACAGATGCGGGTCTTCCAGAAGCATGTCACCACATGCGCGTTCAAGATAGCTGGTGGAGTGGATCTCTCGTCTTCCTCCAGCATGTCGTCATCGCGTGTGGGCAAACGAAGGCCTGTCGCACCAGAATTCACTGCCAAAATCGTCAAGGCTTTTCTAGATACTCTCTACGCATTCTTAGATGGGCTTGTGCATCTTGCCTCCGACGAGTCACCGACGGTGGCAGGGACACATCTCAAATTAGCGGATATGACTGTATTAACAGGGACGAACCCGCTGGAACTTGTCGACATACAGGATGCGGTATGTAATTGGTCCGTTACATTCCTACCCCCGATGCCAATTTCCTGCGTCTGTTGCAGGACAATCGGCTTCTGCTCGTTGTCTCGAACTTCGGGTATCTGATGAATTCGCTCATCCCGAGCATGACGAACGAATTGGAGGATACGTTCGGGATCACGACAGAAGATGACAAACGGGTGCGTGCCGACCTTAATGTTCCGACCCTTCCCCGGCTGTCCCTCTGAGAATATGCTTTGCCGCTAGACCTTGGCAAAGGTCGTGCAGGAACTCGACGAGACCCTCTTCGGGAGTTATGTCAATCCGAAAGCGGCGACTCTCATTGACATGGTGCGAAACGGTGTCTTGGATCCGCAGATGGACTGGTATGAGACGCCACAGCCAAAGGGTGTGTCTCATCGTCGGATCTCCACACTGTCCATTCCTGATCGCGTCGTTTCCAGAGATTCGCTCGTACGTGTACGAGGTCCTCATGTATCTGGTGGGCGTGCACGCCCAAGTCAGCGCCGTTGCCGCTCCGCTTTTGGAACGGACACTGAGCGCCCTTGTCGTGACCGTCGCAGAAGAAGCGCTGCGCTGCTTCCGCCAAGTTAAACGCTTTGGCATGGGAGGCATGCTGCGCGTACGTTCCTCACTTATGTCGCAAGTCCACGCTGACACACGTTGGCCATCCTTAGGCAACACTAGAAATTGAATTTTTGCATCAGACACTCTCGCGCTACGTGACCTCGTCCGCGGAACAAACACTATCCGATCTGTACACGACCATATCGCAAGCATACGCCCGTCGACCTGGGGATGAGAACCTTCAAGCGAACCTTGATGTAGTCAAGAAAACTTTGGCAGACACGCGTCGTGCAACTGGCATTGAGTTCCTGTGCTTCAGGCAGACCAAGGAAAAGTCTAGGGACAAGAGCTCCTCAGCCTCCAAGACCAAGGCAAAGACACCCCGCAAAGAAGATAACTTGGGAGCTGCTAAGGCGCCCATACAGTAAGACTCTGCCGACCCCGGCGTCATGTAGCATAGGGATGGATCTGGACGAATGGCGACAGATGTAAATTATTATACAATGTGTAGGCATGAGACTGGGGCATCTGCGAGTGAGCAAAGAGTCCGAGGAAAGAGGAAAGAGTCCGAGAGCGACTATGAGAAGAGATCAACTAAGATAGTGATGATACCAAGAACTAGACGGGAGGTAAGTGAAAGTGGAATATTGAAATCGAGGCAGATACCTACCAATCTCGACGACAATCAGCGCAATCACAATCTGTTCCAGGCGCTCTGCGTGACGACTTGAGACGGTTTCCTTGAGAAGTTGCAACATGTCTTGCAGGACCTACAAAAGCTCCGTTATCAGATAACCGGTATCCGGGGCGCACCCAGACTAACCTCCACACGCGTATTCAGCAAGTTAATCCGCTGGGGAATCTCCAGGTAACCACGCGCGGCATCATATAATGGTTGAAGATCCGGATATGTCTAGATCGAATATGAGGACACGAAGACAAGGCGCGGTGTCAATAGCGCGCACCCAGAAAACCTCCTGCGGGGATGAGAGGCGTGAACATACTGCATCATATGACTGATGCACTAGAGGCAACGTACAGGCGAATCAAGTACGGACCCCACGGAGTTAATATCTGACCGTAACAGGAATAGCTCCCCGATCTTCTTCATAATGTCTGGAAGAAGATGTAAGAGATGAAGTTCTTGGGCGGGTGACGTGGAAATACCCTTGTGAGGCATGCCAATTTTTCCTGTGGCACTGATTATCTCTGGTATGTCTTTTGTTTCTTCAATCGTCGTCGAGATGAGTTCTTCAAACTAGTGAGCATGGACGAATGTCAGCGTAGACTTCCACGCGAGTTAAACTTGCGCACCAAAGAAATCTTGACTGATTGCGACAACGCATGAGAGAGGGATAGCTTTGTCCTTTTGCCTTTCGTTAGAGCCTAGAGTGTATTTGGGTGCAGGTCCGCTCACATATAGCTGGAGCCTCTGCGAAGCGTGATCACGTCATTATATATCCTGATTCACAAGATGAGGAGCGAGTATTAACACGAGACAAAATGAGCTAGATACCGGCTGTAGTTGGCGTAGTAGTAATTGAGATCTTCCATCTCGACCTCGTCCGGTGCTGCAACGACGTTACGTTACAGTCTGGTGGTCCGTAGAAACTTCGTACCTAGTTTTTCCTCTTCAAAGCGCTTTCTTTACGGTACGATTGAACAGAACAGTACAAATGGATGCTATGAAACGCACATTGAAGACAAGAATCGCCTTTCCTGCGGTTCAGTCATTCCCCAAATAACCACAGTTCCATACGGAAAGATGAAGATCTCCGCTTCAGTAGGTGTCTCAGAGAACTTGCCCTTCCTCTTCGTCTTCCCGACTTGTGGAGGTTCTGCATCGGACGCAACCCGGTTGTCTTCTGGAACCAATTCTGGCACCCCGAGCAGGTCGCCAGTTTGGCTGGGTCGTGCTTGTCCTTGGAAGTGTACATGACGTTCGGATGCAGTGGGATCTTCCACAGGTTGTTCATATGCATACGGCGTATATATGACGTCGTGTATTATACGTGCATTGGTATGATAGGCAGCGCGTCGTGCATTAAAAAATTTCATAAGCTCAGGAAAGCGGTATGAGCTGCAGTCAGAGACTAAATGTAAAACAGGTCAAAGGTCAAGCAAACAATTCGAACGCACCCGGCGGTTGCATATGCGGTGACCCTAGGCAATGACTTGGCTTTCTTCTTGGTCAAGCGTAAAGCATCTCTCCTTGCTGACCCTGCAGGTATTAGATCTATCTGATTGTATACCTGACGATCCGTAGCATGCGGTCAGTCTGCCACCCTGTTATATGTGGTATAACTTACCTCCACATCCTCTTCCGGTTCATCCTCGTCGTCTCCTTCATCTTCGTCACTCTCAGGACTACCGGGGGCTTCACCCTCTTCCTTGTCTTTCGGCGGGGCCTGTGCTTCAGCTTGCTTGTCCTGTAACGCCGGTTCGACCTGGTCGGGCAATACCTTCAGTTTGCCTGCAACCTTGGTTGACCGGTTAGCACCACGGGGCTTAGTTTCCGCAGCGAGCGCAGGGCTCCCCCGGTGAGGTTGATTTGAAGCCATCGCGACCAAAGCCAGGAATGAGGGCCAAGTAGTTCGAGGTAAGACGACAAACCTCAAACCGGCCTCGAGCTTGCCTGAGCCTAACCGCGTTTGGGCAAATATAAATGCCGGTCGATCAATACTAGATGTGCACTGAAAGTGCGTTATAACGTTCTAATCGGAGGTTGTAGTGAGGTAAGAAACCTTGAAAGCCAAGTAAGAACTCTGAGTAGGCGACACTAATCTCGGTTAACTTTACCCGCCGACCTCAACCCATCCACCACCTGGGATTGCAGGCAAATCCGCCGTTCAGTCTGCGGTCTACATCCGTCACGAATTTTGAGACGAATTAATCTTGTGTATGCCCGACACGTCTCCTGACCTCCTAAATATTCCCGGGTCGCCCAACGACCGAGAATTTCTCTAGTATGTTGTTTACGCTCAGTGTTCTTATACTACTCATTATTTTCCAGCGCTGTACTCAACCTTCCCACTACTGCCTCCGATAATGAAATAAGGGAACGCTACAAACAACTTTCTGTTGTTTTTCATCCGGACAAGCAACATGACGGGCAAGCGAAGGATACAGCTACCAAACGCTTCCTGGAGGTGCAGAAGGCATACGAAGGCCAGTTGCATCAACCTTGATTAATGCCAGCTTTGGAACCAACTGATGCATTTGTAACAGTGTTGTCGGACCCTATAACGCGGTATGTCAACCGATTTTGGTCTCGCGCTCTTGCTGAAGCCACTCTAGGCGAGCATACGATCTTCTAGGTTAGTCTGTGAAGGTTTTCCTACTTCCGCGTGGTTGAACATGTGTCAGCGTAGGTCCTGATGGACTCAAAGACGTTCAATTGGCCGACTTGAGCGGCCTTTCCAAAGAAGAGGCAAGTCTCGGTGTGCAAGTCCTCTCCAGTGACCTTTACCGCTTACTTCCAACGTGTATAGCTCGATGCTGCCTTAATACACAACAACATAGAAGTGGAGCGGGCGCGTTTAGAGCCCATCGTTCGTCCGAGAGCCCACATTTCTCTCAACGTCGACGCTAGCTCTCTTTTTGAAGACGACGATTACTTCAATGCTAAGGACGAACCGCTGCATGGACGTTTGACGCGCAGGTTGAAGGAGGTTCAAAGAAGCAACCTCACCTTCCGCCACACAGTCCAGGTATGCGCCCTTCGTCCTTGGCATTGATGTAGTGCTGAGTCAAGAGCTATACAGAAAGAAATCAATGATAAGACTGTACTAGTATTATCCAGTAGTGGGGGTGGAACGTCGCGCGGAAAAATAATGGGGACTATCAGACACCAGTACTCTCCTCGTTGGAATTTCGAGGTCAGCAGCGAAACAGTCACCTGGTTCCCGCATTCTATTCATCACTCGCCATTAGGCCACAACGTCTCTTCTTAACATGGCTTCTCTTGGTCTCAAGACTACTTACCGCGACGACGATAGTACTGTCATGGTGCAGACACATCTTCCCGCCCTGTTTCGACGTTTCTTCTCTAGTTTACCTGAAGATCGAAGATTACCTCCATTCACTGTCGCCCTCTCACGCCGCCTCTTCCCCGAATCCCCCACACAGGGCACCATTGTAGTTACCACCAGGTCCCCCATGCCCGTGGTGTCTGTCAACTTGTCTTCTGCGCACTTCTTTGACCATACTCCTGAAGCGTCTATCCCAATGCCGAACTTGGGGTCAGAACATGGTGTACGTCCGCCTTCCGTGCATGGTTTGGCTCTTGGGACGACTTTCTGGAACGTCGGTGTGACGATGGCAGGTCTCATGACCGGCGTCAGTGCCCAGTGGGGACTAAACTTTGTGGAGTTGGGGTTGCAGGCGAAAGTGATTGCGCAATTTGCTTTGAACGGTTGGTCCTGGTTGGTTGGGTGCGAGTGGAGGAAGAACGATAGTGCCGCTGGCGCAAGTGTGGGTATGGGACTGGAAGGCATAGTGTTGAAGCTGGAGTAAGCATCTTTCCTTATTTCAACGACCCTACTCATGAGAAATGATATCGATCTCCCAGTGTGTTCTACCTAGGTCAACAGCTAACAGTGCCAATCACACTCTCCCATGACCGTGAACTTGGTTTGGCGCTATGGACTACTGTAGTGCCTTCTACAGCTCTTGTCGCCGCGTATTACTTTATCCTGCGGCCTCGCCGTCGCAGACAACGGATGGAGTACGTCTCCGCCTGTCTGATGTTCTACTAATACACTCAGCTCGCCCGTCATTGTAGGTTTTTCCGACGGGCTCGGCGGGACTTGCGAGACGAAAAATCTGATGTGTTGCGTGAGATAAAGGAGACGAGTCATCTATTGCAGGACACGGCAAAGAAGCACATGCAAGCAGAAGCTTCCTGTGGCGGTATGAGCTTGGGTCACCGTTCATGCATTATACTTAAGTTTGACATGTTGTGAAATTCCCAAGGTTTGATCATTGTCGAAGCACTCTATGGCCCTTCGGAGCGGGACGAGAGTACGAAGGGATTAGACGTCGATGTCACAGTCCCTGTCCAGGCCTTGGTGAACAAGAGTCAGTTATACATCCCCGGGAGGAGAAGTAAGGTCAGTCATATTCATATTGTCTGTGATACAATCCCTATTATGGCATTTTGCGCTGCTGGCCTTCGAGGTACTGCGCCCATACAAGCATTACTTATTATCGATTCCCTTTTGGGAGTACATGGCCGAAGGTGTCGTAAAAGCTATTGTTATCTTGACCGCAGAAGATGTTATTTGTGGGCAATTTGGATGTTAATTCCTTGCGTCTGATGGGTGCAGGGCTGGACGATGATCTGTGATGCAATGGCACGAGTGACTGAGCTGTGGGCAGTGGAGTGGTGAGCACGGCTGGGCCAAGTTCACCAGTTGTAGAATAAGGCTTCCGTGGGTTTAGTACTGTGCTCATATGAGCACGCTGGCCAGGACCCAGGAACGGGGTTACCTTGCTCTTGTTCTTCGCCACCATCCCTGCACCGTGCTAAATCTGTTTGATTGCCATCATGATCCCTGGTCTTATCTGACGGCCTTCCGGAATTGATTACTTATCCTGTGAATCGCAGGCTGGACTGCAAGGCTTCTACGACCCTGCCGCCATGGTCGCCAAAACGCTCCGAATACGTTATACGTTCCGTGGCCGCCTGCACTACGCAGAATTTACAGACCATATGCCCGTGGTGCTCCCTCTGGAAGGTACGGCACTTCGCCTGATCATTCTCTCATGTAGCGAACTAACGCCTTCGCGCACGTCGGACCTTTTCTCGGCTCTGATCGTACGCGTTGCTCCATGACAGAGCATCTTGTGGACTGAGCAAATTGTTCGAAGCTCCTTGTGCTGTCATCGAGAAGCCCTCATAGGGTCCCAGTTACCATCGGTTCATCGGCGCACACCAAATAAAGTCTTCTTGTGCCCAGTACATGCCTGGCATAACTACTAATTGGAATATGTCTTTACTTCAGGAATGCTTAATAACCACATCCCCATTCAGTCTCATGTTCTCGCAATTGAGCGCAGCACTGTACAATATCTGCGTCTCGACAGCATTCACTTGACTTGAAGAGATGCCGTGAATAGTGCGAAGTTCTCGACCGTGGTAGCATGCTTTCGAGGACCATATGAATCAATTTGGCTACTTTCATATTCTCATGTCAAGTCATAAACTTACCCCCGACGAGTCGCTCGCGATCGTCCTACTCTTATTGCATATGTGAACGCCTACCCGAGAACGTGGTGACCCTCGATTTCATGCTGACCCCTACTGACTATGCAGCTACTCAGATCGTCCGAAATCGGACTGTCCATTGGAGAGTTTGACGCGATCACCAATGATTTCAAGAGGTCGAGACTGGGAGCGGAGATCGACGCAGATAGTCAAGCATGATAGTGCTTCATACGCCTTCCCTGCCTACTCGACGGCCTCGACACGACGCACTTCCCCCAGCGCTACATATGCGGTATGTGGCACTGAAAAGCCCGTCTCATGAGAACGTTTCTCACCTTCACTTTGTTATAGGGTGTGCAGACGTGCTTTTCATCCCAAGTCGACCGACTTCTGGATGAACAAATGGGAGCGTTTACGTTACTAAACGTATGTCAGTATCGTCGCCAGAGTTTGAGCGCCGTTCGTTGCCCACGGTACGTTTTACTTTACTTCGTTGCTGACCTTGCACAACGCTTGACTTGGCGAGTTTCTTTTCCCATCAGGGAGGATACGCAGGATACTCGGCCAGATGATACAATATAATCACCGACGAGTCGCTGTGGAAGATGTCGTGAATGTGTGTCAAATTCCTTACAGCTCCGCTTCATCTGACACCTACCGTGCTTCTTCCTGATCATGCGGTGATGACGCCTACTGAAGCACCCATTGAGAAAGGTCTGGACTCTCGTACATGGTGATGCGGCGGTACGCAGGAGCTCCGTTTTTCATCAACGTTATGCTCGTCGCTGGGAGCCTTGCGCATGCTTTCATCATTCTGACAGGCGTCTTCTCCCGCGATGCTTTTCTGGCACGTCGGAAGGCATTCCGTTCTGGAGACGAACGTGGAATAAGCGTGCACAAAGTTATCCTACGTGATCTGTCATCCATGTGTATCAAGTTCCTTCATCTGACTAAATCGAGTGAGCTGCAGGGAATGATTCGTTCTATTTCCTTTGCTGGGTTACGACCGTCGGTTTCATAGTTGTTCTCATGCGTTCTAGCGCAAATTTCGAGATACCCTAATCTGGTCTGTTTCTCCGATCCACCTCCGCTCTCCATGATACGACTGATCTGCAGACTGCTGGCAGTTCAACCGTTTTGCATGTGCTCTGCGCAAGGCTGATCACCCTATAAAAGTGGTGCGTTCTATTTTACCCGATGTACTCATGAGCCGACAGGGGCATTACAAGTGAGCCGTCAAAGTTTCTCACGCTCGAGCTAATCAAGGTTGTCCTTCGATTAGATTGGGTGCGCTGTCTTGTACGTATTTGACCGACATTCGCGGGAGCGTTGAGAAAAGATCTTCCCTATCCGGGAATTTGCGAATGCCCACGAATGCCCACGAGATCTGAAAAGCGAGGACCTGATGAATTGTAATCAGGATAATTCGGTAAGCGCATTCTTCCTGCTTGGGCGTTCCAGGCATGCTGCGAGTTTTTTTACGGCTCGAGCCAGCGGCTATCATAGGCCACATCGCTACTCCGCCGTTCCACAGAGGCTCTGATGGCTATTTCGCGCCCAGCAACGGCAGCACAATTGCGAGACAGGCTCCTGAGGAGGCCGATGCACTTGGTGAGCGTCAATCATGGTCTCGCGCTCTTCATTGGTTTCTAAGGGCTTCTTTTGTCATATAAACTTTTGTTGAGGATGTGGTCAGACAGCGTCTGGAACCGAGCGGCGGAGGCAGACTTAGCAGAGGTGTCGTGCCGGAACTCAAAATTTGCGGTGGTACGGATTTGACTTTCGCGGCCTAGCCAGGGCGATTGCAATGGGCGCCGCATGACTTGCTGCGTTACCGCCACTCCTGCGCTAGCTCGTCGGAGTGAAAAGAGTGTGTATGAGGGATCGAAGGTCGAATACCAGCGCATGTTGGACAGACAGCCACGATTGAAGTTAGTCAGAGGTTATGTACTGCTGATATATGAAAGGGTGCTAGTCTGAGACTAGCGCGATTTATTCCCCGATCTCCCGGCGCGGCCCATTTTGTCTCTGCCCATGCGGCAAACTTAATGCAAACTCAATCGTAACTTCTTTAGATTCGGGGATCCCCTGCTCGTTTTGACCCTGCCTCCTTTAAGTATCTTGGCTATCGGCGCCTTAGACATCACTTATAAACAATTCGCAAATTAAGCATCTCCCCTCCCCATCTTTCCCCCGTCTTCACCATGCAACAGCCTACTCTTCAAAATGTCCACATCCGCTCCACGCGTGATGCCTTGCAGATATTCTATTCTGTGGCGCGGAACGTCCTGCCCATGACTACTCGTCGCCTAGACGCAGAGGAGCGCAGAGCGTAAATGCGGAATTTTCCGACAATTGTCAATCCTTTTTGCTCACTCAATACCCATAGAATAACTTCCGGGAATGTCTACGTATGGGAAGAACGTTGTGCTAATTCCGAAGCTACTGGAATGGGCATGGAGAGATGGTTTGTTCCCGTTTTTGTGAGTGTGGCGTAGCAGCTCATTCACATCCTTGCAGGACGGACGGCATGGGCTGGGGACCCAGTCGAGTGCGAGATGTGAGCTTTCCCACCTTTTTTTCGCCGACGCCACTTACTTTTTTCTTCAGGATTTTCTCTATTACCACCAGCGCGAAAACGAAATCAACGATGACCCTAGCCACCCATCTGCTCGATGGGCTAGTATGATGAGGTGTGTCTTGCGACACACGCAGATACTTGCCTGTCACTTACACGGTTACTTGTTCACAGGCGACGAGATTCCCGCCTGGGCGGGTTACCGTATTCGCGTCTAGACACCGAGCGGCTGATAAAACAGACCTATAGCGTCCACGTATCCCTGCCTGATGACCGTCTTCGCGCCATCACGAGAAAATGGCACCTCAGTGAGTTTTTTTCTGGCACCTCGACAGGACTGGTGCCGATTGACCCAATATTTAGCCGCGTACTTCAGCCAACTCACACTAGAAAATCTGGGCACCATCGACACCGTGAAAGGAGTCGGCGATGTGCGCGTTCCTGAAGGCTGGTTTAAGAGCGCGCGAGCGAGTAAGGCCAAGCGTCCCGAGTCGCATTCGAGTGATGAGCTCACTCCGGCACTTGAACCCTGGAGGCTTGGGCGGCAGCCATCAACTAGCAGAACCCAGGCTGCGAGTTTGACCGACGCGAGCTCGTTGCGGCACATGTCTCGTCCTCCGCCCGACGTGTACCCTGTGCACCAGACATATCACACCTCACCGTCAGATCATCGCCTCCCGCCAGACATACCCACCCCCATCCGCAAACCTCAAACAGCCGGTGACCCTTCCACGCGCCCACGCCTGCCAACGCTGTATGATACTGGCCTGCAATCGTATAGGGACCCTTCGCCGTGTACGCAATCGTCGTCGTCGTCATCATCGGATATTGTCTTTTCGCCCCGTCCCTATTCCACCCCCGTCACACCCCCGAGCACATCATCGTTGCATCTACCTCCTCCACAAAAGCTGATGAATTCCGATCTCGGTCCCCGAGAGCTCGTACCGCTCAACTATCTCCAAGGAATCTCCGGGCCTGTCAGGGATCCCTTGGACGAGGCGTTCTTGCGTCGCTTCTCTTCTTCGAACGCGATGAAGCCACCACCGTCTACTCCCCACCAATCGTGGTCGGGCAGGCAGACACCCTCCGTTTACGCGGGGTACGACACCGAAGACAGGAAGCCCAACCTGTCTCTCGACACTAAATGGTGATTCCCTTACCGCAGGCGGCTTCCCGACATCTACTCGTCCTCCCTCTTTCCCCCACCCTGTCACATTGACGCGCACACTATTGGAGCCTGCAGACCTATTTCTTGCGATCCGTCATGGTTAAGGGCCAGACTCGCGTCCGCACTTCTTGCAGCATGCTTTATTAACTCTAATTCGCTTGACACCTCGCTACTCATTATGTACGTTGTACTCTCAGTCCTCGCCTGCTTGTCGGACCTTGCCCCCTCGCGTCCTCCCGCGTTGCTTCGGCCATGATATTGATCTCGATCTGTACCCTCTCTATCTGTATTGTAGAGCTGTATGATGTGCTCAATATGGTTTGGCTAATTCTACCACTTCCCATCCTGTTGTCCCAAGGCTGGGCGCGCGTGTGTGGGCGGGAACGTTCAAGCCTCATGGGCCCTAGTGGTATCTTCCCCGCACGCTCATCAGAGTATGCTGAGTGCCGCCGGTAAGGAGACATTTGGACATATGGAGACATAGACGGCGATAAAGTCACGCAGCCGGATCCAACCGAGCTGCTGCGACGCGAGCAGGCACAGGCTGGTAGAAATAAACTACCGTTTCATCACCGCCCAGTACAGTACGTTCACCCTGAAATCTACGCACTCCTGATGCGCGGACCATGGGCTCTACGAAGAACATACCGAGTATGGATATATTGGGCACTTGTATTCACTTCCACGCTTCCAGCAGCTTGTGCAGAGCCTATATATACAAGCCCCGTTAATTGCACACTAAGTCTTCTGGCCAATCTGCACCTCGTCGCCATGGGCCATCATGGCCCACCGCACAAGCGAATAGTCCGCTGACCATCACCCAATCGCGGCTAATGCTAGGTCCTTGACGTCATGCGTTCTCCCAGAGTGTGCTTACCTGCTTCCACACCTTGAGCACGCCCGTGCCAACACTGCCACGAATTAATTGAGAGCATCTCGTGAGTATCACCTGGCCAGAAGCTACCTGGTGGGGATTCACGTACTTGGCATTGGGCACTTGCTCTATCGGCGTCCAGAGCGCCTGGGGAGGTGTGGACGCACTCGCCCGGGCTACCTTTGCACCGTCATCCGCCATCCTAAGCGTAGTCGTGCGACAGCGGTTGGCGGGGCTAGATTTGCGTTTGCCTTTCTTTAAGCTAGGCGGACGGTCGGCGTCCGCAGACGGCCTACTCCTTAACGAAGGGGGTTCCTTAGCTTCTCCCTCCAGGAGTACCCACTGCACACGATACGTCTTTCTGATGTGCGAGAAGATGTGTAGTACATCGCCTACCGGGGTGATATTCGCGATCCGCAGAGCTATCGATCCATCCGTGGCTGGGTGCTGTCCATCAGACTCGTCCCCAGGCGAGTACCGTCGGGAGGCATCCTCCGATGGTCCAGCCGCGGGTACGTGTCGGCACGGTGCCCTGTCGGTTTTGCCTTTTGGCGGTGGTCTTGATTTTGGGGGTGCCGCGAGCAGATCAGATAGTATTGTGGATGCGATCTCGATCATCGCGGACGGCGAAGTTGGCACGGGGACATTCGGCGAGGTGGGGAATTCGTGTAGGCCTGCAAGAAGACCTGGTCGGGCGGGGGCGCATCAGAAAGGTATGCGAGGGCGCCTCCTCATCCGAACGTCTAAGGACAGCGCAGGAAGGCAAATTGTACTAGATGACTCACCACCCTCGGGACGTCGGACGAGCAGAAACCAGCGCTGGTCATCGGTCCTGCTTCGCCATTCAATGACGCTCACGATGTCGAGCTCTTCCCGCGCCTTCTTTTTTCCTGTCTTCATCGGGAAAGCGGTCACCAGGCCAGGCGCAGGTAGAGCTTCGCAGAGGCTGCATAGCTCTTCGATGTCAGGCACCCCCTCGTCGCGCCTCGGAGCCATCCTGTCAGGCTGTCGTAGAGATGTATCAGCAGCATATCGTACGTCAGCCGCATTTCTCCATCTATCCGGGATTTACCTTTTCTTTAGATGTCTGATATTGATACGCCCGACACCATGCCCGCAGCGGACACGCGCTGCAATGAGGGTCTCGCACCTTGCACACCGTCGATCCCAGCTCGATCAGCGCCTGGTTGAGATCTCCTGGACGAGTGGAACCCTCGACCAGTGCAGTAGCGCCGGCCCACAGCACGTCGAGCGTCTGCTTCGCCTTTGGCGGCGCGTGCAGAGCCAAAACGCGACTCAGAAGCCGGTGCACATTTCCATCTAGCTAGAAGCAGGACACGCGGGGCGAACCCATAAGGAAAGCATGCGATTTAAAGTCAGACGACGGGAATGGTTATATGAGCCAGATTAACCGCACCACAGGCACACACTGGTTGTACGCGATAGAGCAGATAGCGCCGGCGCTGTAGCGTCCGATGCCTGGGATTTGCGATTGCATGTCTTTTGCGTTGTCTGGAAGGCGTCCATGGAATTGTTCTACCGCTTTCTTGGCCCCGCTGAGGAGGCGGGCGGCGCGGGAGTAATATCCTAGACCCTTCCAGATACCATTCACCATCTCTATGTCAGATTCAGCCTGAAGACTGTATTAATGAGGGAAATCAGACCCTTCAGGACATAGTGAGAGACGTACAAGATCTCTGATAGTGGGAAATCTGTGCAAACATGGTCAGCTGGATATTGTGTCAAGTTCCAACAAATTCTAATAACATACTTTCCCATCCATCTATTGTAATATGGTATTACCGTGGCAACCTGGGTTTGCTGCAGCATGATTTCCGATATCCAGACCTGTGGGGAGAGACCTGTCTCCAATTATTCGGGCGCCGTGAGACAAACGAACGACACTGACCTCATAGGCTCTTTGCGCCTGCTCGTCAGGACCTAGCGTGGGGTCATATGGCTTTCGCCAAGGCATACCGCGTGAAGTGTGTACGCCCGCGTACCATTCCAACAAGGATTCTTGCAGTGGCTCTGGCTGCGCAATCCGGTGCATGGAAGTTCCGTGTGGACGCTCCTGGACTGCGCCCATATCATCCAAAAGATCTTCTGTGGGTACTGTAAAGCTGTCCTCCTCGGATTGGATGCACTTTTGCCTCTTGGCTGCGCTGCGCTTTGTATTGCCCGACTTCTTCGCTGCGTACTTTCTCCGCTTGGGTTCATATGGTTCGCTGTCGGCTTCGGACTCGTCGTCTGATTCCTGTGCTCGTTTGCGGCCCATTTTTGTCTCACCTTTGCTGTTGTAAACTCGGGCGAGTGACAAAACTACGAAGTTGAGGGAGGCCAGAGTTGAACGATCCTGTCCAACGCGTCACGAAGCGCGGTACATCACGTGATCACGTCGTGCTGAATGTTTGTACCGTACGTTTTTCATATGTTCGAAAACATAGAACATATTCACGGTGCATCATTTCAGAATCTTACGCGACCTGTGCGGAAAATCTGAAACTTTTTATTCTGATGATTGGAGGATCACCGAGGCTGTGCGCCGAAAGTGGTAAGTAGGAGCGCTGTAATTTCCCACGCGCACCTTCCGCCACGTCGCCCTCTCGTTCGTCACATCCTTCGCTCTCTCCAACGTTCCGCCATGTCCGCACGCATCAGCATTGCACGCCCCGCCGCACCCTCAGGAGGGTACTCCTCCGACCCACATGGCTTTGGGAACTCACGAGCGTCGTCTGGATACAGAGCAGCAAATCCAGACGAACCCCTCGAGAAGCTCCGCACATTTGCCCGCACATTCGAGGACAATGTTGAGATATACACACAACCGCTGAAGCCGCATCTGCCAGCGATCGGCAGGTTTCTCATAGTCGTCACATTTCTGGAGGACTCGTTGCGGATTATCACGCAATGGAACGACCAGCTATGGTACCTGCAGAGGTACGTGGTGTGACATTAGTCGCACCTTTGCTCTAAGCACACATATGCAGGCATCGCCATTTCTACTGGGGTCTGTCGCACCTGTTCTTGATGATCAACGTCATTGTGAGTTGCAGTGCACCTTGGGTCTACGCTACCGCTGAGACATTATGTTACAGACGATGCTTGCTGGCTCAGCCTCGGTCATCCTGAAAAAGCACTCAGAATTCGCGGTCGGTGGGCTGCTCGGCGTAGTCATCATGCAGGCATTTGGCTATGGGCTTATCTTTGATCTCAACTTCTTCCTTCGCAACCTCAGCGTCATCGGCGGGCTGCTCATGGTCCTGACGGACTCAATGTACACCCGCAAGAAGATCTTCGCCGGGTTGCCGTCCATTAGTGAGACGGACCGCAAGAAATAGTAAGTGTTCGCCCTGGTGTGCGCTATGCCAATTGCTGACGACTATGGCGCACAGTTTTCTTCTCGCGGGCCGCGTCCTGCTCATCTTCCTCTTCATTGGGTTCATGCTCCGTGGAGAATGGACAATCATCCGACTGTTTGTCTCGTGTTTCGGCCTCGCAGCATGCGTCATGGTCGCTGTTGGGTTCAAGGCGAAGTGGTCCGCCGCGTTCCTGGTCATCACTCTCAGCATATTCAACGTCTTCATCAACAACTGGTGGAGCGTGAGTTCGAAACACCCGCAGCGGGATTTCCTGAAGTGAGTGTGGTTCCATTTGAACGACGCGTACCGGTCTGAGTCTGTATCTTTACAGATATGATTTCTTCCAGACACTATGTTTGTAGTTTTCACATATATTCTTTCTGGATACAGAACTTACACATCATCTTTTAATAGCAATCGTCGGTGGTCTGATCCTTCTCGTGAACATGGGCCCTGGTATGTTTGCATCTATGCACAGTTATTCAAATCTAACATTCCTAACTTTCAAACAGGGGGTCTATCCGTGGACGAGAAGAAGAAGACATACTAGACGAAACGTAGGGCGACATCCTTCTGTAAACGGCAGCGAGTGGCGCATGCGTATAAGATCTGGCTCCTCCGTAATCGTGTTCGAGCCAGAATCGCTGTGTGTACCCTACGTGTGTTCCAAAACTTGGCGCGGTCTCGTGTATTGACGTGGGTGTGTTCTTGTCATGTTGCGGATAATGTGAGGCGGGGATGGACTCGGGGATTAACTTATTTACGACAAACGCCATGAGACATTCAATAATAACGTTGCACCTGGAATGGCACCTGTTCGTTAACCGCAGAAATCTCAAGTGCGATGTGTTTTTGAAAGTGACGGCAGTCCGATGCGCATAACTTGTATGTACGGACACCTGAGGCCCTAGCCAGCTGGCCTCGGTTACAGTGCTTTGCATATTTGTCTGGGAGAAACAAGCTGGCTCGATAATCACAACGCGATTCTGGTTTCCTGGTCTCGGCACAAGACCTCATTCACGGTCTTGTGTCAAGACTATCCGGTTTCCAGCTATTCGCTAACGCCCAAGTAAAAAATCAGACCATAGGTCGGACATCAAACAGGAAGATTCCGAAGCCGTCTTGGATCACGTCCAAGGCAGCTCCGTCTGCTTGGGAAGTGAGAACTGGCCAATCAGTATATCCTCTTTGGATGTCCGACCTAAGGGAATATTTTTCGTGCGTGCCTATTGATTTAGCAACTAGCTGTCATATGAAAAGCACTGTAATCTGGGATTCACGTTTTGTAAAAATCTTGCCTAGGACTGACCTTGAAATATCAGAGGAATAAAATGGAGCGCTCGATATGGAGGATGGTAGACACGAGGCGAAATTACTAGATCGGGGAGGCGACGTCACGTGCCATGGGCAAGAAATTTCTGAATTCTTGCAGACGCGGCACCACCACTCCTCCTACCGTGTCTTAACTTACTCTTCCTGAACGTGCTTCCTTTCCAACTATAGCGGGAACATTAGATTTTGGGTCCATTGATCACTCTTACTTTTACCGTGGGGCAGGTCACAGTGCTAACAGTGTCACACTGCACTCGGCGGCACATCGAATATCAGTGGCGGAATAATAATCAGACAACGGGTGCCAGGTATGCAATAAAATTCGGTCGAGAGTTTGCCCGTAATTAAGCTAGAAGTCGTCGTACTTCAGTAATTGCCGCTTCATTGGACGCCCAGGATGAGCACACTCCCTGATCCCTCCTCGGTCAAAATCTACACGGTAAATGGGGCCGCATCGGGTTCCTCGTCGTCTCTCCCAGACTGGCTCACACGTAAACGTGCTGCAAATGCGAAAGGAAAGCGTGCGATACGAGAACATGTCGAGGGCACCATCGAGCTCATCCAGCACTTCGAGTTCCCGGAGGCGAGCAACCGCATCAAGACCACACGCGATGGACACCATGCGGTAGCGACGGGGACTTACAAGCCACAGATGAAAGTGTGGGACCTCGACCAGCTCTCCCTCAAGTTCGAGCGGCACTCGGAGGCGGAGAACGTCGACTTCATTGTGAGTAAGTCCGCGCCCCTCCCGTCTACCCTCTTTCGTTCCTTACGATGCATACTCGGCGCGCAGATGCTCTCGGATGATTGGACGAAGTCGATACACCTGCAGAACGACCGCACGATCGAGTTGCACACGCAGGGCGGGCTGCACTACCGCACACGCATCCCGCACTTCGGGCGCGCGCTCGCGTACCATTTCCCCACCTGCGACGCGCTCTTTGGAGCGTCCGGCGCCGAGGTCTACCGGCTCAATCTTGATCAAGGCCGCTTCCTCAACCCACTGGTCCTACAGAGTCCCGGCGAGGATGACGTGCCGGGCGTGAACGCGATTGACATCAATCCCGCGCACCAGCTCTTTGCGTTCGGCGTGGAGGGCAATGGGACCGTGCAATTTTGGGATCCCCGCTCGCGCGCGAGGGTTGGCGTGTTGAGGCTACCGCGTGAACGCCTTTTACCTGTCAGTAGCTCTACGCAGACAATGCCGGGCGTCGGGGGCGAACCATCACCGTCGGTTACGGCTATATCGTCCCGTCTGGATGGGCTCTCGTACGCCATAGGCACGTCGTCCGGGCATACTCTCCTGTATGATATCCGTGCTGCGCGTCATCTAGCGCTGAAGGACCAGGGATACGGCCTCCCTATCAAAAAAGTTATCTGGATTGAGGGAGGAAGCAGGATGGCGGGCGACGGGCTCGTGCTTAGCGCCGACAAGAAGGTGATAAAAATCTGGGATCGGAATTCGGTGGGTGGCTGCACTCGCTGGTTGCGCTTACTGTAACTCAAATGACGTGCGGCACGTAGCCTGATACTAATTTCGCGTCGATTACACCTGCGTACGACCTAAACGACGTGCACCATGTCCCCGGGAGCGGCCTGCTCATGATCGCCAACGAAGCCATCCAGATGACGACGTACTACATCCCGCAGCTCGGGCCCGCGCCGCAGTGGTGCAGCTTCCTCGAGAACATCACAGAGGAGCTGGAAGACCAGACGACGCGCACGGCATACCAGGACTACAAGTTCGTGGAGCGTAGCGAGCTTGCAACGTACGTGTGCCGCTTCTCTGTTCATCTTCACATTCTCACACCCAGATTAACTATTTCAGCCTGGGCCTCGACCACCTGGTGGGCACCCCTGCGCTCAAGCCGTACATGCACGGTTACTTCCTCTCGCTCGCGCTCTATGACGCAGCGCGCGTCATCGCGAACCCGTATGTGTACGCAGAGCACCGCGAACGCGTTGTGCGCGAGAAGATGGAGAAGATGGCGGAGAGCCGTATCCGCGCCCGTGCGGACCCGGGCGTGCGTGTCAACAAGGCGCTGGCGGAGAAAATCAGGAAGGAGGGGGAGCGGGAACGCCGACGAGAAGAGCGGCGTGTGGCCAAGAGGGCACGGGCGGCGGAGGATGCCGAACATGTCGATGTCGACGCGATGGTCATCGACGAGGGCGTGGAGGAGGGCAACGGCGTGGACGTCAATGAGAAGCCAACGTTACTGAGCGACCCCCGGTTCAAGGCTTTGTTCGAGGACGCCGAGTTCCAGGTGGATGAGAGTAGTCGCGAGTACGCGCTGATGAACCCGTCTGCAGTCGCGCAGCGGAAGAACGGAGACGCGAGCACGAACAGAGGCAGGACGAAGACAGCGGTGGAGGAGGAGGAAGAGGAGAGTGACAAAATGTCGTCTGACGGCCTGGGTGAAAGCAGCAGCCAGAGTGAAAGTGAGGAGGACAAGAAAGAAGAAAGCGAAGACAGTGACGCGGCAGACGGTGAGCACTGTCGTATGTTGATCGGTATGTAGATCCTGATTTGATTTGCAGAACTCTGGCATGATGACATCCGTGCTCGAATGGCAGCGCGGACAAGTTCCAGGGCGCAGGCGCGTTCCCGACAACCTCAGCAGCGGCAGCCAAACGTCCGCATGGTCCCTCTGCGCGCGAAGTCTGATGTCGCCAGCGCTCGTGCGGACAAAGACGCCACCTTTGGCCAGCGGCGGTTCACCGGCGGAGTTGACGCGAAGAGGAAGGGACGCGCACCACCTCGCGATACTCAGCTTCGGCACAGCGCCGACGGTGGCATGGAGATGTCCTTTATCCCCAAGGCTTCCTCACACCACGCCGACGATGATATCCTCGACGATGATCATGACAACGGGATGAAGCAGCGGGTGAAAGGTACTGCGCGGAGGAAGGGCGTTGAGACGTTCGGTGCAGGGATGGAGAGGGGAGGTAGAGAGGAGCAGGAGATGAGTGAGAGCGAGCGCAAGGGCAGGACGCACAGGCGGAAAGGTATGCGGAGTGGGAGCAAAAATACTTTCAGAAGGATGTGAGTATTGCCACGTCGTTTCCTATCTCTACGCGTAAATTCCCTGTCGTACACACCAATTATCCGAGTACTTACGAGCTCAGTGTATATTTCTCGCAGCATGCATGAGTGGTCGGTAGTAATCATCACTGTGACAATTCAATCTCCGAAAGCCATCATCCACGACAGGTGGAAACTCGATCATGCAGACATTGCATTGATCTCCGCGACCATGAACCTCCAGTACCGAACATTATTCTCTACAACATTCTTCAGGTCGCCATAGAGGTTCACCTACGCCTTCTTGGTTGTTTGCCTGCACGGAGAACAGGACTAGAAGCTATTATCCAACCTTGTGCTCGGAACGCCGCGAGGACGACTGTGCGAGGCGCACAGATACGCTTCTTCTGAGCTCCAGTGCATTCATCTCGACTGGGCCATACTTAATTGTTACAACCTCACCACCATGCCTGGGGAAGTACAGCACCCGAATGGTGTAGAGGATCTCACAGAGTGGCGTTCTATCCGACCGTGGCGACCGACGCTTACCCTCTCTGTGCGTGAAATCACATCTGTTTCCGTAACGTTTGTCCTCTCCTCGCCCTATACTGGTGCTGAGTCCGCGAACTCGGAGCCGTCTCTTGCCTCGCTTGGTCTCCAGTCGTCTGACGACGATGCAGACACAGACAGCTCCAGTGCCGACGCCGCTCAGAACCAGATTGTATCGAACGTCCTCGCGAAGGGCTTGTCCGTAAAGGTGAACGGGATACCGTGGCAGAGGGTGCTAATGAAGATAGACGACGAGGATGAAGCAGTCATCATACTCTTTGGTCTGATGCCCGGAAGGCAGTATGATGTCGAATTGGGCTTGCTTCCTGGTGAGAGAAGCATTCACGGGCAAATAACTACGGGTGTGTACAGTAATCCATCGTTTACTCCAATGTTGTTGACCATGCCTCTGCGTAGATGCCGAGGTGACTACAAACTCTGCAGAGCCAGAGTACCAACCTGAGGAGCCGACTGGTCTCGGTACATCGCCACCCTTGGAGACATTACCCGCTCCCCCGGTGGCCTCAACTCCCTCCAACGGGGATGCCGGCTCTCCTTCACCTCCGCACCCTAATGGTCACCCACCCTCCCCTGTACCAGCACTGACACTCGAAGATCGACGCCAGCAACTATTGCACACACTCAACATGCTCACCTCCGAGCACTCCGCCCTAACGACCTCACTCAAGACCGCCCGGCGGGAGTCGCAGAAGGCCGACGCTGCGCTCCGCTCCGAGATCGATACACTGAAGCGCGCGTCCGACCGCCACGCTGCGGGCGAGCACCGTGGACGCCAGAAGGTGCTCGCACTGCAGGAAGCGGTCAAACAGACGCTCGCCGCAGCGAGGGAGATCGAGGAACTGATCCGCGACAGGGAGGCTGCGCTGCCTGGGCTGGAAAAGCGGAATGACACGGTCGAGAAAGAGTGGATGCGGGTGAAGGAGGGTGCGGCTAAGGTGAGGGAGAGCCGCGAGGAGACGGAGGGTAGGGAGAAGAGACGAGTGGAGGCCCTGCAGGCGGAGCTTGCGGTGATGGTTAACAAGTTGGACAAGTTGAACGGGAAGCGGGAGAAGCTGGAGGGCGAGGGAGGGGTCGTCAGGGAGCTGGAGGAAAAGCTGAAGAAGCTGGAGGAGGAGAGGGAGCGAATTGAGAGCGATCCGTTTGGGTATGAGGGCGATATCGGGGCGAGCGCAGACGCGGTGAGGAAGGATAGAGATGAGGGCAGTCGGGACGAAGGCTCCATACTGGATCCAGATGGCAGGGGGCCCACAGAGTCTACTTCGCCAGAACGACATAGCCAAGCTCATCACCATAATCATCATTTACACCTCGTCCACCAACGAAAGCGCCACAGCCATCCTCACATCCATCACGGCCCGCACTCCCAATTTACACCTCCAAAACCGATTGGGTTACCAGATCCTATCCAGCGGCCGCAGAACCATGCACCTCGCCAGTCCCTCCCCGGACACATGCACGCCATCCCGGGCGTGATCAACCTCAGTCCTCATGGCCACAGCAAGACACTCACTACCCGCTTCGCCGGGCACTCACCTGCATCTTCATCGTCTGCATCGACCTCATCCACCCCCGCCATCCCGCTGGGGATCTCCCCACATCCTGTGTCGGCCGCGTCAAGCTCGAATTTGTCCAGTCGCGCTCCGCCGTTCGAACCGGCGGGCATCGGGCGCCCGCACCAGCAGTCCTTTAGCTCAGTGTCTACCGGTCCCGGTGGGAAGTCTGAGCTAAATCCCAGCAGCATCCCCTTTTCTCCGCGCTCTGCTGCGGCACAAGCGGCGACAGAGACCGCTGCTCGGGTTGCCGACAGCGGTGTCGCAAAATCCGTGCCAACTGTGCAGTAGAGCTTTGGCACGACGCTCTGGCACCTCATGATCTTCCTGGACCCTCCGCTATGTCGTCGTATGTTCTGGTTAATTGTTGAATGCTGCGTTGCTCGATGTTACACGACTTGCATACATCTGTGCTGTACGATCTAAAATTCAATACGCATTTGGGAAGTGGTCATAATTTTAGATCGAGAATGTTGAGGCTTACACTGGCTGTAAGAGGATCCTCAGATAAAACATGAAGGGAAACGGTGAACAATCACCTCGCGTTGGGGGGGGGGGGGGGTTGTTTCAAGTGCTTACTGAAAAGTTTGCCTCTTGTCGGAGGCGAAGCTTCGTGCAACAATTTGTGAAGGCTGGGTGATTAATAAGGTCAAATCCAGTATATGGCCACCATCTATAAATCATTATAAATTCGATAGTGTAGAGCATAAAAGAATGGGCGTAGAGTTCACGAGGTATCCGTCCAGTAAACGCTGCCTGGTGCCCTCCATGTAATCTGCACAAGGCGCTAGCGTTAGTGTATGCATCCCCACAGATGCGGAACCTACTGGTATTGGACACAGTCGCTAACACGATATATCTGAGTATTCGTCATCGCTCTCGTCGTCGTCATCGTCTCTCTCAATCCTGACAAGCTCAATAACGAAGTATGGACCGTCGTCGTCGTCGTCGATACTTATCTCCATCCCATCCCAACGCCTGCATGTGAGGCCAAATGATTAGGGAGAGACGAATCGAGATAACTGCAGACGTACACAACGGAGAGCATACCCCGCAGCGTGCACAGTTCGTTGAGCATGGTCCGAACGTCCCAATGCTTAGGTACATTGGTTTCGTGCCACTCCAGGAATTCCGCAACACCACTGGCGAGGATTCCCGTGTCCAGTCTGCAAAGAGTATGAGCGTGCCCAAAAATCATGACCGCCAAGGGACACACTTCTTCTGCAGCGTGGACTGCACGTCCCACACGGTCACGCCGGTCGTTCTCTTGGTCGGGTGGAACTCCAGTCCATACAACTCCGAGAAGTTCAGCCGCTGTATGGGCGGAAACGTCGCGAAGCTGCGGCACGCGATGGGATGCGCGTGCAGGCGGCGGCCCCAGCTGCTCTGCGCCTCGGACGGGCGCACATACAGCTGCGCATCATAGTCGGGCTTCATCCGCCACGACCATTCCTGATTGCTCCGGAACTTGATGTGGCTCAGAAGGGGACTGCAGTCCAGGTCCGGCCCTCCCTCTTTGTGCGCCAGCGCCTGCGTAGGTCTTTCGAGGTTGTAGTCGGCAGCCGCCATTAACGCCACTATAAAACACCACTATAAACAACACGCTCGCGGGTGTATTACAGTGCACACGCACCATTCTTCACCAACGCGTTTCCTCCACAGTCGGGGAGATCGCAGAACCCGTCGTCCTCGACGCACTCGAACGCAATCTGCTTCCACGAAACGGACTTGCATGACTCCCCCGGTAGCAAACCGAGCCCGTTCAGCCAGCACAGCTTCTTCCAGTACTCTTCCTGCTCCCAAACGTTGCCGTACATTCCAGCGATTCGCGTGGAGCTGTTGTAGAAGCAGACGTGCGTACGGAGGTCGGTCTCAGCGATTCTCGCCTTGATCATGAGCAGCAGCTCATTAGGAAAAACATCCAGAAAGTCCTTCTCTCGCCGCCGACGTGTCATTTTGTGTCCTGGAACGTTTGTTGGCCCGTGGCACTGCAGTAGGTCGAGTAACTCAAGGTGGTAAACACTGAAGCAGACCACGTGCCTTGGAATCTAGGTAGCTACCAAATTTGCACTGAAAGCCAAACTGCAGACCTTCAGTAATCATACACCGCGGAAACTCAGCAATGATAGTTTGACATTGGACCCTATCTGTCTGAGTGATCAAGGAGCCAGGACCGAAAATTGAATAAGAAAGGTCCTGTCGACCTTCGAGTTTCCGAATGAGCAACCATCAATTGAAGCTCGTCGACGCGTGACCTTTGTCTGAGGTCGTACCGAATCTCGGGCGAAGCTCAGCCACCAAGCTCGAGTTGAGATTCCAGGCAAGATTGGAGAACAGTTGAGAAGTCATGGTTATGACATTGTCTTCAATAGTCGTGGCAGCACACTCAAGGATTTCAGTAATGACATGCACTGCACTGAGGGAATGTGTGGTCGACCTTCACTTGAGGTGCCTGGTAACATGCATTAGATCATATACCTGAGGGCAATAGGTAATGCATTCTCGGCACCTACATCAGATTCCACCAGCTCTTGGTACAGGATTGTGCAGCCAATAAAATAAATTGCATTTATAGTACATAATACATGCAGGTGCACGCCCGACGAACCCCATATCTACCAATCCTGCACTCGGCTCTCTGAAGCGATGTTGAGGTCCGATGAACACAGGCAAGGCACTGGCCGCCGTGAGTGGATATGTGAGATAGTCGGGCTCGCCATAGGTGATCCTGTCGTTGTTGTAGATAGCCTGATAAGCACTGAATCTGAGTGTTGCAACAAATCGCGAGGAGGTCGAAAATGTACTCACGGATAGCACTCAGCATCTTGCATTTCTGGAATTTCTTTCATGAATTTGATGAGAGTGCTGATCTGGAGGTCCGGGCCATTTGCTTCATGGTGCCTTCATAGGTTTGTCGAGGTTGTAGTTCACATCAACCATGCTTCTCACTGTTCGGCGAGCAAAACATGTCAATCACTGATCCATGCATGCACCGTTCTGTTCCAGCCGTCTGCCTCCACATTTGGGATGATCGCAAAACCCGTCCTCTTCTATACATTCAAATGCAATCAACCTCCAAGAGACGCAATAATATATCTCCCCAGGCATCAGCCCCAGGCCATTCAACCAACACAGCTTCTTCCGGAAATCGTCGCGGCCATACAACGCGCGAGAAGAACTCTTGTAGAAACAGACGTGCATCCTAAGGTCCTTTTTGTGGATGTTTCCTTTGATCACGTTAAGCAATTCGTTCGGAAGGACGTCAAAATAGCTTCTCTCGCATCGCTGAGGTGCCATAATATTGATACTGAAGCGAGAAGGGGTGATGGTGGTCGTTCGAAATGCGCGCCCACGTGAACGCACCTCTTTGATTGTGTAATATTCCCATAAACAGCCATCCCCTATGTGCGCAGAGGAGCCGCATACAGCTTTCACTCTTACCGTCATCTTGTTATTTTCCATTGACTATACACGATGCCCTCAGCTATCATACTGATCGCAGATGGAACTGAGGAGATGGAATTGTGAGTAAATTTGCTGCGACTTTCAAGAAGATCTAATTTCGTGGGGCAGCACGATCCCGTACGATACGCTCGTCCGCGCTGGTGTATCGTGTACCTCTGCATATGTGCTGGCAGAGGGTGCGTCTGCGAAGACTTTGAACCCACCCTACACCACCCCTTCGTTTGCTAGCGGGTCGCATGGAATTAATATTCTGCCGGACACATTCTTCTCTCCCCAGGCAGCTACGCCTGCACGTATCGGCTTAATGTAGAATCCGGTGCATTCTGACCTGGAAATCATGTGCAGGACAAGTATGACCTTCTCATAATTCCTGGCGGGGCGAGGGGTGCGAAGACTCTATCGGAGAGCTCACCCGTGCAGCATCTCGTCCGGGAGTACCTTGAAAGGGGCAAGTTTGTCGGCATGATATGTGCAGGTGTGCATGTCCGATATATCCACTAATGCTTGTGGCTCATCATTCTCATCCATCAGGTAGCCTGACCGCTCTCACTGCTGGGCTGCCGAAGCAACCTCTGACTTCGCACCCCAGCGTGAAGAAGCAATTGGAGAAGGGTACGTCGTGATTCTTGGCCAAGTTGCTGCTAATAATGCCCTGACCTCATTTTCAGACTTTGAGTATTCGGAGGAGCCAGTAGTAGTTTCGGGCAATCTTGTCACAAGGTGCATATCTTGCTCTTTTTTTTGTCTTAGCTCATTGCTAATGTGACGACAGTCGTGGTCCAGGTAGGTCCACCAGCAGGCTAAACCCTCGCATTGGATGCTTGATGCGTCTTGAATCTAGGTACTGCCTTCCCCTTCGCGCTCACGCTCGTGGAGCTTCTTTGCGGTAAGGAGAAACGCGAACACGTTGCCGCTCCGATGATGTTCCCGCGTGGCACGTTCGCTTAGTCTGGACGCCGCCATTGTGTCCTAAAAGTGGGTTGGAACTCCGGCAAATCACCAGAAGATTTAGCGCAAGTAACTCAACACTTGTAACCTTACTCTGACCGAACGCCATGTATTATTACTTTGATCTTATTGCCCAGTGTATTCTCAGATGTTTCAAGAATTCAGCGGACTTAGGGTGAAACACCATAATGCTGTTCAATTGATGCTATTCAAAGTAGTGCCCCATGAAATCTTCCATTGAACTCAGCAATTATGGGTTTGTAGCGTAGGGTACCCACCTCTTTAACAGACCGCTAATAACGTGGACGTGATCAGCCCGGCTGGCAGGGCAGTCGTTGGATACTGACTTCATGGATAAATTCTTAATTTGGACCCGGCGAAGCTCGAAGAGACGATATTACAAGCGCAACGAATTGTGATCTACTACTTCTATCCCTACGCCACGTCTAGTATGACCGCCCGAACATGGTCCACTGCTTCGCGTCTTTCCCGCACGCCGGGCACTTGGTCTTGCCCGGTTCAATTGGAGGCCATTTCGACTGGTCGAAGGGAATACAAAGAGACTTGGCGCCAGCCGAGGGGGCACGCTCATCCTGGGGCTCAGCACTGTGATTTGCCGTTAGTCAACGTAGAGTCACGATTAGGATGCATCAAGACTTACGCCCGTCCACTGCGCTCCTTGATGTCGTCCTCGCACGCCTCCTCTTCGCACCATGGTATCACAACGACGCACTTGTTGTCGAGCGTCGGGACGACGTCCTCCCAGCGTGTAACTGGCTTCACTCTAGAAAAGTAGAGGTCCTGCGCACGCTTGAACATATCTGCCTGAATTGTCTCCAACAGTTTCGGCACAGATGCCGTGATGCCCGCCAATGGCAACGGGGACTTTACGCCATTGTCGCGCCGCACTGTCAGCGTCTGGTCTTTTGCCAAGTCGGCAGGGCCAACCTCGAGACGGAGCGGCACGCCCTGGCATTGCTCTCAGTCACCTGGAAGACTTGCATATGAATTACGTGAACGCGCCTTTTGCTCCCAATCGTTGAACTTGAAGCCGGGAGTGTATCCTTCACGCAGGTCAGCCCTTGTCCTCACGCCGACCTTGTTCAGCGCTGCCGCAAGCTCGTCGCACTTGTCGTTGACAGCCTTGCGCCCCTCATCTGAAATCTTCGCGGTAAGACCGCATGGAACGATCACGACTTGAATCGACGCGACACGAGGAGGAAGAACGAGACCCTGGTTGTCACCATGCGTCATGACCATCACGCCAATAACGCGGGTCGACAGGCCCCACGAGTTCTGCCACACGTACACCTTACCCTGGCCGGTGGGATCATTGGGGTCCTCGACGAAAATGTTGAACATTTCCGGGCGCGAGAAGTTCTGCCCAAGACAGTGCGACGTCGCGCCCTGGATGCCACGCCCGGTAGTCGGCACAAAGCCCTCAACCGTCGTCGTGTACAGCCCGCCCGCGAACTTCTCCTTTTCGGATTTGACGCCAGGGATGACGGGGACCGCAAGTAGATCTTCGAATACTTGTCGGTAGAGCTCGAGGATATCTCGCACTTCAATGTCGGCTTCGGCCTTGGTCAGATGCGCGGTATGACCTTCTTGCCAAAGGAACTCGCGGGTACGAATGAACGGCTCTGAAGCACGCATGAGATACGATGAGCGCCGGAAATGCCGTCACTTACGGGGGTTCTTGAACTCCCATCGTACTACGCTATTCCACTGGTTGAGCTTCAACGGAAGGTCTCTATGGCTCTTGATCCATTTCGCGTAGTCTAGAAGCCGCAATTAGGAGGAGGATGATTTTCAGGGTAAAGGCACTCACAAGGATACATGACGGTCTCAGATGTCGGACGGATGGCAATAGGCTCTTCCAGATCAGAGCTTCCGCTGTACACGAAGAGCGTCATAAGATTCTCTTGGTGTTACAAGAGTACAACATCACTTACGCTCGTGTAACCCATGCCACCTCCGGAGAGAAACCTTCGACGTGATCCTTCTCGCGCTCCAGCACCTTTGACGAGACAAACATGGGGAAGTAAGAATTTTGCACGCCCATAGGGCGGATTCTCGCGTTGAACCAGTCTGATAACGCGTAAGACGTCTTCGTGTACGTGGTACGGCTGTGGCGCACCTTGAATCACCTCCCAGATGCTATACGCCCATGGACGTAGGATGTAGCATCCACTGACGTTGTAGTAGTCCAGCATTTCAGCTTTGATGAGGACCTGTAGCACGGCAAATCATTCAATCGTTATCACGTCCAAAGTTTTTGGAACATACGTTAGTATACCACGCAGCAAAGTCGACCTCTTTCTTGATTCCGATAGCGATCTGCACAGCGCCCTCAATCCTCGCGCCCTCTCTCTCCTTCTTTACCGGCGCAGCTTTTGACTGCCCTGCAGGAGCGGAGGGCTCTGTATCGGCCTTGAGCGCTTCAAAGTCGACTTCGTGTAGAGCGGGACCGTGAGTCTCCAAACCCTTCAGATGCGTGTGGATATCTTTTCCCGTAAGAAAAAAGGTCGAGCTGGAAGACAGGGCATGGACAGCGAAAACCGAGGAAGACGTGAAGATCGAGGCATCCACGACTGTAATGACTTTGGGGTATGTCTGCTCGCTCAATGCGAGGGGAGAAACTTACCAGCATATGTTAGTCCATACGTCGTGGATGCGAAACGAATACATACGCGAATTTTTGTCAAGCGCAAAGAACTCAGTCAAAAGCTCTTCTGATCCTAGCCGCAAATCCTTCAAATTCAGCTTTTTGCCCAACAGACCTGATATCACATCCGTTCCTTCGCGGGCGATCACAACCACAGGGACCGGGGTAGCATTTTTTGCAGTCTTGGGTTTGTAGACCAAGGTCTTGATCAACTCAAAGGATTTCGGGGCAGACCCGCTTGCTTCCAGTGCTTCACGCCATGTCGCCGGAGAGTTTGTGGCACTGTGTTCCACGAAAGCAGCAGGGACAATAGAGGTTTCATTGAAAAATTGCGCGCCTCTAATAACGGAGGACATGGCGGAAGCTGTAAGAGATCTAATGCAGCAGAGTCTCAAGCCTCCAGCGCTTTTTGAACCTGACTCGGCGCGGTGAGGGAAGGTTATCGGATGGGGATTTTTCCGTGAAACAATTCTGCCCAGAGGAGTCAAATATCTTGCACCATTGCGCGGTGCAAACATGCGAAGGCGGGAGGGAAAGGGTAAGAGATTTTGAGTTGTGACGAGCGCTATCTACCCAGTCGTTGGCGACCGGGATGGCAGCGATCGCTTATTCTCTCGTCGGAGAAACATCCACGTCCAGAGGAACGGAGGAGAGGTGGTGATACATTGGGGTGCATTAGTATGTAGGTATTACAGGGCAATATAGTAAGTCTAGTGAGTGAGGACGTCGGAACATCTCTTGCACAGCAAATCGTCTTTTGGGCGTGTATACGTCCAACAACGCGGGCACTTGCTCAGCGCGGCAGGACGAACAAGTACACGAATTTCCAGGTCAGAATCTGAGAAGTATGTGCGCTCAGTGAAAGAATATGACAGTGCGCCAATATGCTTACCCCGCTGGATCGGAAGGGATCTTGTATACAGCCAATCTGGAGATTGCGTGCCCAGCGATCCTTCAGTAGCCAGGTAGGCGTCGGAAACAATAAATAGAGTTTTTAGGAAGTTCTCTGGTGGAGACTGCGTAAGCTTTCACGTTGACCGCTAAGGCCGACATACCTTCCCGACCGAGTAAGCTGATTAAAGTGCTCTCCTCTGGTATATCGTCAGGTACAAGCAACAATACTTCGGCTTCCAACGAACTCTTGAGCAACCTGGAAGCAATTCAAAGAACGCGCACAGATTGTCATCGTAGAAGAAACGTACTTTGCTTGGCGAGCCTCTTCCATCGCAGCCATCACTCCACCGCGAACACAGAATAGCTGATTCATATCTTGTTCAGCATTGTCATCCTGCCATTCGGTGTTCTACAGAATGAGATGGAATAGATTAGAAAATAACCTTGTCAATCAGGCATGGTGCAACTCGCCAAGGGCGTCCATTTTCGGGAGAAGACAGACGCTCCCTTTGCATTGCCCAGCGTCTCATGAATTTCCTCCGCTAGGAAAGGTAGGATAGGAGCCATAATAGACGTCATTGTGGTTAGAACATGATGGAGAACACCGACAACGACGCGGCGCTCTACACTGTCTTTGCTGTCAGCGTAGAGACAATCCTTGGTGATGTCCAGATACTGCGAGGAGAGTGTGATGTTCACGAAGTTTGATAGAGCATTGACAACTGACGCAAGACGTATCGATTTTGGGCACGAACGTGAGATGATGGAACGCACCTTTAGGGAAGTCATAGGCTGCATACCCCTCCCGCGCAACATTGTCAAGTTTCAGTAATTCGTGCATAACATAACGCCCAGCCTGCAGGCACAATCAAGACCAGGGAATCCACAACCAATGGGGCAAAACGCATACCAATCCGAGATCCTTGCGATCCAGTTTGTAATCAGGATATTTGTCCTCTAGGGCACCAAGGATGAACCTTGCAGTACCACGTATTTTGCGGAGAGCTCTTGAGCACTGAGAGAGCACCTCGGGTCCAATGGACATGTCCTTCGTTAAGTCCATAGTAGCCGACCATAAGCGGAGCACTTCCGCGCCATACGCAGGCTCCTTGCGCTTGTCCTGTTGCTGCAGTGTCAGCCAATCGATTTACACAAAGATCAAGCGATATGCATAAGAGGAGAACGCACCTCACCGCCAAGAATAACTGTCATTGGGCTGACGATGTTGCCCAACGATTTGCTCATCTTCTTCCCAGCCTCGTCGAGGACCATGCCATGCGTGATTAGTGTACCATAAGGGCTCAAACCTTTCCGTTCTTCGCTCTTCGCCGAACCGATCGCGGTTAGCAACTGGCTTTGGAACCACCCGCGGTGCTGGTCGGAACCTTCCACGCACACGTCGGCGCCAAACGTTCTGCCCTTCGCTCCCTCACCTGAGCCGTACTTTGCATGCAGACCCTCAAGCATCGTCCAGGACGACCCACTATCGAACCACACGTCTAGAGTGTCTGTCCCCTTACGCCACATTTCCGCGAGCTGTTTCTCGTCCATGCCCTCGCGGAGCGCAGGCGGAATGAACTCCTCAACAGGACCATCCCACCAGTAGCCAGTTCCCTTCTTCTGTAAGATACTGATGATGTGATCAAGGCTAGCCGTATCGAGCACTGCGCGTTCAGTGGGTAGGTGATGCAATGCAGGGATGGGCACACCCCAGACACGTTGTCGCGAGATACACCATTCCGAGCGGTTGCGAATAAATGATTCCAAGCGGTGACGTGCTAGAAGGAGGAGGATATGAGTAACTAGCGGACAAAGAAAAGAGCTGCAGGCGCACAGGCAGCAGGGACGAACGAAACATCCTGCAAGGCAGTGATCGCGTCATCCTTGACCTTGTCAAGGTTTGCAAACCATTGAGACGTTGCGCTAAATACGTAGCATGTGTTAATTCAATCCATGGCGTATGTCGGAATAAGACAGCTAACATAGTGATCACAGGTTGATCCGTCTTCCAATCATAAGGATAACGATGTCGAATCCTCTGCTTCCCGTACAAGAACTTCGTGTCTTGAAGGAGCGAGACTATTGCTTTTCCTCCGTCGCCAAGCACCTCCTTGCCGATGAGAGCCCGTGCTGCCTGCGCGCCCACGACTTCAGCAACATCTGGTGTAAATCGACCAAGGCCGTCAACGTGGCATACAATCTTCGCGGCGTCAGATGAGAGGAGCCCAAGAGATTGGAAGACTGAGTAATCCTCTGCACCGTGCGCAGGAGCGCAGTGTACAAGACCAGTACCAGCATCCGGGGTCACATGTGAAGACGGTATGATGGGCAGTGAGGGAACATCTGTATGCTGCAGGGAAGCGAAAAGAGGGCGATATGTAGCACCAACAAGTTCGGAACCTAGCAGGTAAGAATGTGAATGAAGGCCTCCCCACTGATAAGAGAGCGAGTAACTCACCGTTGACCTCTGCAACGGATATATTGGATGGCGTTACCACCTCTGGCAGGTCTAGAAGAGCGCTTTCTCGATCCACGGCGAATATTGTCAGCGATGATGAGGGGCAGTTATCTGGCGCAACTGCTCTATACATCATATCAGGATTAACCGCAATAGCCTGAAGACTACAGAATTAGCCAAATTGACAGCAGAACTAAGAAGTGACGCATGGACCATATTAGCAGTGAGGGTCCACGGCGTAGTTGTCCAGACGAGCACGCGAGCACTGCTGCGGCCAGCAATGAGGGAGCGCAGCGTCGCACTCATATGTGGACTCTCAGAATCGAGCTCAAAGGCCACATAAACCGTGTGTGAGACATGGTTCTCGTTGTAAGTTAGCTCTGCCTCAGCGAGAGCAGAAAGCGAAGAGGGCGAATAATACACAGGACGGTAACGCCGGTAAATCAAGCCTAGAGACACAGAGAGTGAACAGATGCAGATGTAAACAGCAGTGTTAGCGAAGCCACCTTTCTCAACCATTTTCTGGAAAATGCGGAGCTGCCTGATCTCATAATCCGGGTCTACGACCAGTCAGTCAGGCAACAACTGAATTTCGAAACGAGGCTACCTAGTGTGCGATAGGTCGTTTCTGGACTCCAATCCGCCATAATACCGAATTGCCGGAACTCGCTCGTCTGCAACTGCACCTCTTGTCGGGCGTAGGCTTCAGCTTCTGCGCGAATTATATTGGATGACAGTTCGCGGGAATGCTTCTGTGATATTCTTCAATATAGTATTTCGCGAAACAACTACCAAACTCACTCCCAGCTTCTTCAGGACTTTGTTCTCGATAGGAAGACCATGACAATCCCACCCCGGCAAGTAGCTTGAGAAGTACCTTCATTAACAGAAACCACTGCAGCATGATAAACGATGGCGTACTGCACACGATCCCCCACTGACACATGATACCTGTTGATAATATCTTTGACTACCTTGTTCAAGGCATGCCCTGCACCTCGGTGTGAACGCCGCAAGGAAATCATCATCGCAGTCGAGCATACCGATATGCAGCCGGCCATTGGCGTATGGTGGGCCGTCGTGTAGGACGAACAGTGGACCATCAGCATGTTCCCACTACTTGAATGAACACAAGTCAAACTTTAAGTAAACTTGGGTACTTGATTCTGACCTGCCATCGGTATAATTCGTCGCACGTACGGGCACGCAGAGCCTCGTTTTGTGTAGGATCATTCCAGAGAGTGAAGCTGGTTTTTGGGAGTAGAAGGGTGTCTGAGAATGCTTTGTCGTTTCCAGACTTCGCCGCTACGTGCCCCGCACGGCGAATCCGAGTGGATAAAATGTTTCGAGGAGAGCCATGTGCTGCTATGTCCTTCGAATAATAGACGCGCCATGCATGGTATAACCAAGGCTTCATAAAGCCAGGAAGGCCAAAAGACGTCCTTTGATGCAGAAAATAATGGACCGAGTGCAGTATGTAACGTGATCCCCATCACGTGATAAACGCGGCCTACCGCGTATTATTTACATCTATTTGTTGTCTCTGTTCAACAAAACGAGGTAGTGCATCTCCTCCTTCTCCGCGTCATATCCACAACATATCTTTCTCCGTACACCTCCCCGCATGTCTTCAAATATACCTGTATGTGCAGAGCCGTAATCCTTGTATCTTTTTCTGACAAAAAACCGCTACAGACACGGCGGGTGACCCGAGCGACCCGGGCTGTTGCCGTACTCAAGGATAAGGAGAATGCCACAGCTCGTAATCTAAGGGCTACTACCGCTCGCACAAAACCATCGAGCTCCGCGGCAGCAGGTGCAAGTGCGGATGTGAAGCCGACAGGAATCGCTCGGGCCACCGCGTCGACCGCAGCCACGAGAGCGAAGGCGGTGACCGCGGTCAAGGCAGATCCCGCTGTGCAGGCCAAGCGGAAACGGGAAGCTCTCGGGGAAGTTGCCAAGCCGTCAGAAAACAAAGTGAAGCCGGTCAATGCGGGGCCGGGGCCAGCAGGCGTCAAGGGCAAGGAGAGGGTGAAGGAGCTGAAGGAGAAGTTCGAGGGCGTCGTGCTCAAGAAGACGACGACGACGGCTACGGTGCGGCAGCCTTTACGAACGGTGGTGGGCAAAACGACGACGACGACGACGACGAACACGACTCGCAGGACGAGGAGCGCGACCACAGCGGAGCAGCAGCAGCAGCACGAACAAGAGCAAGAACATCAGCTGCAGCTGCATCGCGAGAAACTACAGCGCGAGCGGCAGCACCGCGCACAAGCGCTACGCGAACGGGAGCAACGCGAACAGGAACTGCGCGAACAAGAGCAGCGCGAGCAGGAGGAGCTCGAGCGGTTGCGGCGCGAGCGGCTGCGGTTGCAACGGGAGAACGAGGAATTGCAGCGACAGCACGAGCTGATGCAGCGGCAGCAACAGCGGCGGTCGCAGCTGCCACCTCCGCCCCATCGCCGCTACCGCCAGCTGGAGCGAGTGCAGGAGAACGTCGAACCCATGCCTGAGCAGGAGAATGAGGCGATGGCCGTGGATCCGGTTATGCCTGTGCCTTCGCCTCGCAGGTTCGTCGCGGCGCGTGCGTCAGCAGCGGCGAGGCCTCCTCCACCCTCTGCCCGTGCTCAACAGAGGCGGCCGCTGTGGCGGCGGCAGGCAGAGGAGGACGAGGATGAGGAAGCTGGGCGTGTATTCAAGAAGCGGCGCACGTCGTCTGACGCACCTGAGGAGGCTGCGCTGCACGCGTTGGAGGTGGAAGAGGCGGTGCGATTCGTGAGCGAGCCCGAGGCTGACCCGAACGGGAAGGAATGGAAGGACTTGGATGCGGAAGACGAGGACGACCCTCTGATGGTGAGTGAGTACGTGGCGGAGATCTTCGAGTACCTCAAGCAGGTCGAGGTGAGTCCGTCCACTAGCGTGCGCGGAACATGGGTATAACATGCTACAGCAAACTACGATGCCGAATCCAAATTACATGGAGAACCAGAAAGATCTCGCGTGGAAGATGCGCGGGATTCTAACTGATTGGTTGATCCAGGTGCATGCACGGTTCAAGTTGCTGCCTGAGACGCTCTTCCTCTGTGTAAACATCATCGACCGTTTCCTTTCTGCTCGCGTCGTCTCGTTGGCTAAGTTACAGTTGGTCGGCATCACGTGCATGTTCGTCGCAGCCAAGGTGGAGGAGATTGTTGCGCCTAGCGCGACCAACTTTCTCTACTGTGCAGACTCGTCATACAGCGAACACGAGATTCTGCAGGCCGAGCGTTACGTGCTCAAGACCATCGAATGGAATCTGAGCTACCCGAACCCCATTCACTTCCTGCGTCGTATAAGCAAAGCGGATGACTATAACGTCCAAGTACGCACCATCGCAAAGTACTTCCTCGAGATCCAGTGTCTGGAGTGGCGACTCATCGCCGCGCCACCTTCGCTTCTTGCAGCTGCAGCTATCTGGTTAGCGCGCATTGTACTCAACTACGTTGATTGGGTACGTTCATGCGATTATCGCGCGTTAGTGTACTCACCGTCTACCCAGACGCCAAACTTGGCGCACTACTCGACGTATCCCGAGAGTGCGCTCGTCCCTACAGCCAACCTGATGCTCAATTACGTGCTCAAACCCGTTCGACACCAGTCATTTTACAAGAAATACGCAGCCAAGAAGTTTTTCAAGGTCTGTAGAGTGTCTAATATCCCGTCTTTTTTATGGCCCTTACTTATTGAACTTCCAGGCAAGCGTATTTGTGAGAGATTGGGCGTTAGCACGCTGGAGGGAGGGCACGACGGTGTCTTTACCTGATGTGCTCCACGAAGTGAAGGCCCTTGCTCGGGAAATCCGAGAAAGGGAGGAAGAGGCGGCGGCTCAAGCGGCAGCGGCCGACGCAGTCGCCGTGAAGTACTAAGGGTGCACCGGTGTAAGCTGGATGCACGCCGAGTCTCATATTCACGAATCTGGAACACCATCTCATTCAACGTTCAATCCTCGCATTCTCTTCACCCCGCTAATGGACAGTCTATAGCATAGAATTCCGCGGATGCCATTGTGCCCGAAAACGCATCTCTTGCATACCCTCGCATCGATGTTTATTGTTCTCTATCCTCTCTTTTCCCTTGTGTTATCACCGTCTACCACCTGTTTTACTCTGCCGCGACACCCCACCTACTCTCCCGCCTTGCCCTCGTTCCCGAGCATTCGCCCACCGCTCCCGAGTCCACTGCACGCGATACCATCGTCGTCTTCATCCCTCACCTTCTATCATCAATCCAAGGTTTTCCCCAGACTGTTTAATTCTCTGTTCCATTGCTTTGTACAATAATAACAACGATTCCGGCCAAATGTTAGATGTGGCCGTCGCGGTCTCTCAAACGGCCTCTGGTGGGTCGACTGTGCCTTAAGCCTCAAGGCCTCGAGCTTCGACATTCTTGCTACTTCGGCTTCGGATGTGTTGTCACTCGAGTCGTCAAGATTGCTAGGAACATCAGTGTATCGAGCTTCTTCCATCGTGACGTTCAGGGTGCGCAACGTGTGTACACTACGTCTATGAACTAGAAAGCAGTGGCCTCCTCAAGATCAATAACGGCCCCGGTCCCTCTATCGTCCATGGGCGAAATGGAGATGTACAGCAGAAGATTAGAAAAGGGGACTAAATAATGATGATACAAGGCAGGGCCATTAGATCGTGAAGCTTCAGACATAGTCCACCGTGAGCAGTGACTTGAAGGGTATCCTCTAACAAAGAAGAGACGTCAGGCCCCTTCTTCTTCCTCCAATTCCTCTTCAACCGCCTTCTGTCCTTCGGCGGTGAGGGTCGGGTATCCAGAATCTATGTCGCTCTCAAAGTACTGAGGGATGAACCTACAGTCTCGTCAGTCTCGTCAGTCGCAACGAAGAATGCAGCACTCACTTGGCACCCCTTCGCTTGCGCTCGGCAGCCTCGTCCCTCTGCCTCTGCTCGATGAAGAGTTTGTGCTTCGTCGCCTCCGAGTACTCCTTCTTGAGCAAACCGCTGGTGACGTTCTCCCAGAGCTTCCGGCTCTCTCTTGGATGTTGCTTCTCCAGTGGGCGAACCGACATGGGAATAGCATGGAGTGTCGATAGGTCAATTAGTGTCGCGTTCTCTGTGGAGTCGACGCGTCTCCAGCGGATGAGGTGCTTCCACGAGCCGTCGAACGTCGCGACCACGCATGATTGCGGGACATGCTTGACGCGCGTCCACTCGAGATGCTGCGTCTCGCCGGGGGAGTACTCGTGCACGACACCCTCGACGAGAAAGTGCGCGCGGCCGAGCCACGACTCCTCCTTGTACTCTATGATCGCGCGCAGCTTCTTGCCCTCCGCGCCGCCGCTGCAGGTAATGATCGTAGCCTCGCCCATCGTGACGTAGAAGCTGCCCCGCAGCATGCCGTTCACAGCCCCCACGGGATGCGTGATGTGGTACGTCTCCCCCGCGTCCGCGCCGCCGGTGAGCTTGACGAAGAGGCCCTTGTTGAGCGAGCCCGGTATGATCCGCAGCGCCGTGCCCGAGACCTTGGCTGAGATCTGGTCGACCCCGCGCAGCTCGATGTGGCGGCTCGGACACCGTGCGACAAACGCAGACACGGGCGGATGGTGCGACACCTGCTCCGTGAGGAACACGACGCGCACGCGCTCGTGCTCCGCCTCTGCGGGCGCCTCCCCCGCCTCGATCAGGTCTGTGCGGCTCGACGCGCTGCTGTCGACGAGGTCGAGGTTGGACATCGCCGCGTCAATATCCGTCTCCCCAATCGACGGCGACGTCCCCGGCGTGCTCTTTCCCGGCGTCGAATATCCCCGCGACGTCGACGTGAGCGCGCTCAGCCCGCTCAATGTGCTCATCCCGCTTTTCCCGCTCTTCCCGCTCCGGATGCTCGCCGTCTCTGACTTGGGCGTCGGCGCTATGGTGGAGTAGCTGGATTCCGCCGCCGCGGGGGTAAGATATAGGTGCTGGATGGGCGGCTGCAAGGGATCCGAGGAATAGGCTACAGGTATAACGTCCCAGTGCGAGCGGAAGTGCTCGCCGAGCACCGAGTTGTATGGCTTGACGACCCTTCCGCGCTTCGAAGGGGATGAGCACAGCTATGCGGGGCCAACGAGGGCACTCACGATGAACTTGATATCTTTAGAGAACGCGAAGCGTAGCACGGCGAGCATACGCTCGAAGGGATCATCTGAGTCGTTAATACTGCGCTACGGTCAAATCGATGATGACAGGCGAGTCGGATAGACCTACGCAGCGAACAGATCCGGCCTGTCCAAGTAGTGCCAGTACTCCAGATTCGGGATGGGCTCCAGCAGTGATGCTGGAAGCGACAACCGCCTGACAGTCTTCAATTAGCATCCACACCACAAAACAGAGATGGATCACGTACATGGCAGCAATATCCTTGACGCCTAAGCATTTCTTCAAGAGCTGCAGGATCATCTTGAGCTTGCCGCTCTCCCCATCAGCGGAATCCGGAACTGCGATGGGTTGGGTGGACACATCTTCGTCCTGAGGAATTACATTGTCGTCGTGGTCGGCCATGGCAACCTTGAAGGAATTGTAATGGGGGTAAAGAAAATAACTGAATGTAGAGGGCAGGCTTGCAAGAGGAATGAGTTCAGCGTAAACCAGCTGGTGAAGTCGAAAAGCGCACACCAAGGCCTCGTGCGTTATACTCACGATACTATTCGCCACTATCGTTAACAACACTGCCAACAAACAATACAAGCACGAAGCACTCGCGTCGAAACGGAAGGAATGAAGCAAGCATCAACGTTCAACGTTCAACGTTCAATCCGACGCCGCAGCAGCAACATAGCCACCTTAGCTGGTCCTCAGAAAGGAGCAAAAATTTGGTTCAACCCGGGTTCGAACCGGAGACCTCCTGTGGACCACCCAACCGTGGACAAATGTGAGACAGACGTGATAACCAACTACACCATTGAACCCTCAAAGGATTGATCCTTTGAGGAACCTTTTATGGGTTTCGAAGCATGTAAATACTGGTTTATCTAAGATAGACTCCAGTTATGACTATGTCACGTGATTCATTTTGTCACGCCTGGCTGGAGAACAGTACCAAATGTTATATTCCTCGGAAAGGAGGCCACTTAGAAAAAATATGTTTCCTGAGATTCCATGTAAACTTAGTTCCAAACAATCCCCGGGAAACAGATTTTTTAAGTTGAGGCTGGTCAAACTGATTATTGACGATCTTCAGCGCAGTCCACTGGATACAATTTCCAATAAGTTGGCGGGAGTATGCAAATGTTATTTGAAAGATAGAGTGAATAAATTTAGTGTAAGTGGCACTGCTCACAAGAGACTTATCTCAAAGTTATTTGAAACCTATCTCAAAGTAGAAATAACTTCATAATAAGTTTTCCATTTTTAGGATAACTTTCAGATAAGTCTCTTCTAAGCAGTACAACTTACACTAAACTTATTCACTCTATCTTTCAAATAACTTCTGCATAATCCACCCAACTTATTGGAAATTGCATCCAGTGAGTCTCACCCATTTTGGAGGCAGTTGACCGGCGCCTGCCTGTCACGCTCTTGCATTTCAGCGGGAAGCACGTGATTTGTCACGCGTGACAGGTGTGGTCGTAATTGTCGGAATGGGTCTATCTTATGTCTGTGCTTTGCTGGCCAAAGTCACTGTACTGTCTAAGTGATGGACGTAACGAATATAGCGTAACTCACCGTTGGCACTTCCTTTCAATTTTGTTCTGATGGGCCTGACCAGAATGGTCTGCGATTTTTTCCACCCGAATGTTGGCGGAGTGGAGAACCACATCTACATGCTTAGTGCCAACCTCATACACCGAGGACACAAGGTGCGCGCGTGCTCTTTACACCGTGACAATTTGAGCCATATTTCTACAGGTAGTCGTTATAACTCACAGCCATCCTCCAGACCGTGTTGGCGTTAGATGGCTCCTGCCATCTCTGAAGGTGTACTACGTGCCCTTCCCGACAATCGCCTCATCTGCCACTCTGCCAAATTTTTTTACCTTTCTTCCTTACTTACGGACTATCGTGTTGCGCGAGGACGTCAGGCTGATTCATGCCCACGCTAGTCTATCCTCCTTCGCCCATGAGGGAATCTTGCATGCACACTTGATGGGAGTGCGCACCGTGTTCACCGACCACAGTCTTTTTGGCTTCGACGACGCAGCTAGCATACTGACCAATAAGCTGCTGGAGGCTGCACTTCGGAATGTCGACGCGGCCATTTGCGTGTCGCACACAGGGTATGGCCCTCTATCCTCAGTCAGTTTTTCACATGCGTATCTAAGTATCGAACAGGCGCGAGAACACGGTGCTGCGAGCGAGGCTTCGTCCGCATGATGTATATGTTATACCGAACGCCATAGTGGCCAACCAGTTCAGGCCCTCCTCCTATGTAAAGCCCTCAGATGCGGGTATGAATGCCTTGATTCTGTACGCGCTGGTTTCGAAACTGACTTGTTACAATGCGCCCTTTCAGTTACTATAGTAGTGGTCTCCCGTCTAGCTTATCGGAAGGGCATTGATTTGCTAGTAGCAACCGCTCCTCGTATTTGCGAGTTATTCCCGAACGTCAAGTTTATTATCGGTAGGTTATTAATGCAAATCGGCTCTGAACTAAAGCTGATATGAGATTGTACAGGCGGAGATGGTCCCAAACTGATTGATCTCCTGCAGATGAGAGAAAAACACATGCTACAAGATAGAATCGAGATGCTCGGACCTGTTCGACACAGTGACGTCCGCGATGTAAGTTTTGATCTGCCCAACCCGTTTCAGAACGTCAAGAAATTGGTTTGGATTTGTTACTAGGTGCTTGTGCGTGGATCCATATTCATGAACACATCACTCACCGAGTCATTTGGAATCGCCATTCTCGAGGCGGCCTGTGCTGGACTGTACGTGGTCTCGACCCGTGTCGGGGGAGTCCCGGAAATCCTACCAGAAGACATGATATCGTTCGCCAATCCCGACGAAGATGGTTAGCACTCTGAAACCCATCCCTTCAACCAGATTTCCAATTGTTCATTTATTATATGCAGATGTCGTACGCGCGATGTCGGAGGCGATCAAGCTGGTATCGGCGGGAGAGCACGACCCCCAGCGAGCACACGAGCGCATCAAGGGGTTCTACGACTGGGCTCAAATTGCTGAACGTACGGAGAGGGTTTACGATACGGTGTTAAGATCACCTCCTCGAGACTTTTGGACTCGGATGCGGCGGTGTGTCCCACATCTTGACTGTAAATTGCAAGTTTCTTGTCATTCATAACGTCAATATCGTAGGACGTTGGACCTTGGGCGGTTCGCGGGTCCCATTTTCGCGATCATCCTGGTGGTTGACTGCCTATTCTTCATGATACTCGAGTGGTTGCTGCCTGAGAAGGATATCGACAAGGTGCAGATGCACTGGAATCAGAGCAGATTCACAAAGGTATGGTCTCTGTATTTTACTCAATTGTTTTGTAACAACTTATACATTGCAGCTGGCGCGAGACTACGAAAGGCAAATCGCCCAAGAACCAGACAGCTAGAGAAGTCAGGAACTAGGTGCTAACGCCGGGAGTTCTCAGGCACCTGGCAATTAGCTCATCATTTAAAAGAAGCATGCAACAAGCCTTTTCGTATCGGATCGTGCTCCCTCATGCACTCACACTTCGCTCTCCGTTCATTGCTAGCGTCTCGTCCCACCAGTGAGTTGACAGAATCTGATGAATTCCTCGGGTCTTCCGTTTACCGACCACGAGATCCTAGGTTCTCGTCTACCCGACCCGCATCCCACTCTCTCTACTTATGCACAAGCGAGATTTGGGGTCTGGAGACCTGGCGAAGATCCGGTCCAATCAGAACTCTGTTTTCATTCACCCACGCACGTCTCTTCAGTCTAGCTCTCTCGAATTTCTTTCTCCTTTATCAACGGAAGATATATGGCAAGCGCACTGTACTATCGTTTTACGTATCGCTGGGACCTTCGTGCCGCAGTGCATACATTCTCTCAGCTCCACGTGACTAAGCATCAAAGTCGGTATATATACCTTCTATCCTGGCCTTTCAATCTTCTTCGCGTCTTGTCCTCTGATGGTGTCTCTGTTGGACGACGAGAAGCGTCCCGTTTGCGACCCTGATTTTGGCGACGATGTCTCTGCGGACTCTACGGCGCAGAAATTCCTGAAAAAGGTATCTTATGTCTTGACGCGTTGGGGAATCGAGACCAATGGGTATGTCCTCGCCACGCAAGCCTGCACAGTGCGTCTGAGCTCTTCTCCTTCTCGAGAATCGATCCCATACCTTCTGCGGAACGATCGGATACCAGACTGTACCAGATGTTCTTCGTCTGGTTCTCAGCGAACATCAACATCCTCTCGTACATGTCTACTTCTTACTTTGCGAATCGATGTCACCCCTCTGAGCATGCATCATTAGCTTCGGCACGGGGTCGGCAGGACCTGCTTTCTACGGCCTTGGGCTTCGGGAGTCGATCGTGGTCCTGCTCATTGTTGATATAATGTATGTCACAAGAACTCTTCGAGGCTGCTCTTCCTGAGAGTTTTGTACTCCAGCACATGTGCTATCCCCGCATATTTGTAAGTGCCCCACTATTCCATGTCAGCGCCAGTGAACTTTGACTTGTAGTGCGGTATTTGGCCCCAAGCTCGGCCTGCGCTCGATGGTGCAGGCACGGTTCTCTTGGGGGTGCGTGGATTGCCAGTTCAGCTTGCGTATGCCTGTGCAAATGCCGACTGTCTTAGGTATTATCCTGCGATACTCCCGAGTGCCTTGAACGTGTTCTCCATGCAAGGTTTCCTCATCTTAAACTGTATCATTGGGGGCCAGACCCTAGCTGCTGTCTCGCATCACCTCGACGATACCCTCGGGATCGTGATCGTAGGCCTTATATCTCTTGCAGTGAGTTTGGATCTATGACGTCATTACATTTATTTTGAAAGTCTAAGTTATTACTGTTCGAAGGGTTACGTTCTGCGGATACCGGGTGATCCACTACTACGAGATGCTGGCGTGGATCCCGAACGCCATCGTGTTCATTGTGATGCTCAGTGTAGGGGGTAAACACCTGGTGAACGCCCCTGCGCCTGGGCCGGTGTCTGCGTCCATGCTACTCTCTTTTGCTGGCACAATCGCATCGAGTGTTATTAGCTGGTGCACGATGACGCCCGATTATGGCGTGTATCATTCAGCGAAGGCTTCCAGGTAACCATTCATTCACATCCATCTCACGTTGCTGGTTTATGCAGAACCGCTACAGTGTTAGAATATTCTTCTACACCTACACCGGGTTTTTCCTTGCAAGCGTACGTCTAGGTGTGTTCAACGACACTTCTGTTCTTATGCACTTCTCGTACAGATCATTGGCCACATCCTTGGTGCAGCGTTCGCAGCGTCGGCCACCTTGTACTCCCCTTGGACATCTGGATTCGACAACGGCAACAACGTCGGCGGCCTCGTTGCCGCTATCCTGGCACCCTCTGGAGGCTTCGGCAAGTTCCTCACCGTGGTCGTCGCGCTCTCTATTCCGAGCGCATGTGCCCCGACGATGTACACGTTTGCTTCGAGTTTCATGGCCATCAGTCACTACTTTGCGAAGGTGCCGAGATATGTCTTCATTGTCATTTCGGAAGCCATGTGAGTGGTGGACATGATTTGCTATGGGGAATACTCATTATGTGGTTGTTTCTCCAGTCTGATTCCAGTAGCAATCGTGGGGGCAGTCCATTTCTACGAGACATTCGCGGATATCCTTGGTATGTATGATTCAGATGCACCTCAGCGTGGAGGCAAAATAATAATCACACCTCAGACGTCATCGGCTACTGGAGTACAGTTTACGCTGCCATCATCCTGGTCGAACACTTCGTGTTTCGCAAGAATAACTTTTCCCTGTACGACACCGAAAAGTGGGACCGTCCCGGTGAACTTCCGCTCGGTATTGCGGCTCTGCTGGCGTTCTTGTGCGCGTTCGGGATGATTGTCCCGTGCATGTCGCAGGCGTGGTATGTGGGGCCGATTGCTGCCGCGGGTACCGGAGACATTGGTGTCATAGTGGGATTCACGCTTGCGTGCGTGGTGTATGCTATATTCAGGGCAGTCGAGAGATCTGTGTTGAAACGGTAGGGGTGCGCTGGCGTTCAAACTGTAAGTACGTCACTCATTGTCTTGGTTGTATTCAAAAGGATGCATGGAATGTGCCTGCCTTGGCTTCACGAGCACGAGTCACTCTCGTTCGTAGTTGTACAATTAGGAAGTACAGACTGTGCAGGTGACGTTGCATGTCACTTTCTTCTACATCTACAATGCGGTTTCAGAAATACATCGAGTACTCTTCTTCCTGGGCGTGAATGAGTGCTGAGCCCTAAGCATGTAGCGCGCTGAGGGCGACAGCGAATTTTCCGCAGACAACGATCGCGAACTTCATGAGCCCGCTCACCATGAGACCTGGGGAATGTAAAGAATTACAAGATCTTCAAACACTGCAAATACCAATCTTGTCACTGGGCCAGCCTTGCACGGAGAGATGTAACAGCTTCCTTACCTACAACTTGAACCTTTACTACCCAGCAGAGCCGGTTGTCACGCTCCTCCCAGTACCATTGAAAGTCCCATCCCAATCTTAACCTTGCCAAGCTGGGAAACAAGCGCAAAACGTATTCCAGGACGGCATCCGAATCGGCGCACGTCTTTGACCTGGGAGGATGACTTCTATGATGATAACGGAGGATGCTGTTCTACTGCGTTGATGTCGAATCCCACATCGACCAGGCAAGAGCATTACTGCGCGAATGGCCACTGGCAATGTGCCTTCTCGACGATGCACTTGCCCCCACGTTTTTTGCGGTGCGCATATTCATCACGATCTCTGAAGCTATTACAAGAGCATTTGCACTTGGTCGACGCGGTCGGTATTCCGTGTACTGTCTGCCATGTCTCAAGCTCTGTTCTCTCTGTTGATGTGTTTCGTCCATCTATCGTTTGTCTCATAAGCTATGTCTTTACAACTCTACTCTGTATCCTGTTACCTTCCTCGGTCTTCGCTTCTTGCGCCACTCCGCCCAACCTACCGTCGTCTTCTGTCTCTTTGCTGATTTTTGCACCTTTTCTGGCCTCATCATTCGTCTTCTCGTCTTGCATTTCCCATACCGGCGTTTTCCCCTCTTCCAAGATTGGTGCGCGAGACCTAGACATAATTTCGCCAGTATTGCTCAGCTTGTGATCTGCTTGGCGACGCTCGCGGTTGCGGATAACCTAGCATCAACCTATGTGATTTATTTCGTGCTTCCCCGGTTCTGTATACGTCTGTGGGTTCTCTTGAACTGCGGCGATGGGTTTCTCCGAGTCGTTTCGAACCAGAATTCGGTTATGCTTGTCGCATAAATCGTATGTCCTCCTAGCCTTTGCGACACGCTCAGGCTTTTTAATTGTGAAATATTCTTGCCCCGTGTCAAGGACGACACAGACTGAACAATGTCTCCAGGACAGACTTTTGTTCAGTCTAGAAACACCATCACGTGATCGCGTCCACACAAATAGAACATTGAACAATGCTGCGAGTGGCGCGCCACACTTGAACCACATCGACTTCACCCACATAAATAGAAAAGCTGGGCACACTAATAACTTCTAATCCTGAACACATCATGGCTACTCTCATTAACCAACCTCCCAGCCCTACCCTCTCCGCGCAGACCCAGCACTCCGACTGGGCCCACGATACGGAGCCTGCCAGTGCACGTTCCTCGTCCCTCACCGCGTTCACGCCCGAATCAGAGTCAGAGTCAGAGTCCGAGTCCGAGTCAAAAGCCCAGAAGGATATCTACGAGACCATAGCAACGGCGGCGGATAAGTACATGCTAGGGCCGATGCCACTCGCGCAATTCCTCGATTTTCTGCCCCAGAAACACACGGCACGAATGCCGACACACCGCGGAGCGTTTGACAACGTATTTAGTGGGGACGTCGCCTCCAATCTGGTGCGTACTACAGCGCCTGTTCTTGTCGCCACACAATACTGAGACGCCAGGTTACGCCGCTTGTCCCAGAGAGCGGCCATCAAGGACTTCAGCCGGTGCCCTGGTTTCGACGTCGACCCTTTGCCGCGCAGAGCGAACTATCCCGCCTTTACACCCGCCATCGTGTTCCTCGCAGACGGGACTAGAGATGCAGCGGAACAGGAATCACAACTGGACTACCACTCCAACGCGGAGCTGTTCATCGATATCCATGATGCTGCACGGGGCGACTTCCTGTGCGACCCGCCTCCTGGCACAGATCGCGCAACCCACAACTTCTTGCTGACGCGTGAGCAGGCGGAGGATACAGGGCGTGAACGAGCCCGCTTGGCACTCGGGCGACACGTGCTGTGGGCGACGAACGTATGTTCGCGCCAGTATCGGCAGTTCTGCTTCACTGTCGCCCTCCACGGATCATCTGCGCGCCTGTTCCGAGTCGACATTGGTGGAGCGATCGCGTCCGAGGCGTTCGACTTGCGCGAGCGCCCGGAGGTGTTTTGTGAGTTTTTGTGGCGGTTCGCGCACGCGTCGAGCACCGAGCGCGGGTACGATCCGACGGTGAAGCCGGCAACAGAGAGCGAGGAGGACCTCTTTTACGATACTATTGAACAACACGTCAGGGACCAGCTGGAGCTCGATGACGAGGAGGACATCTGGAAAGCGATGGGACAGCACCATTTGTCTGGGACGGGGCGCACAGCAGCGATCGGCATCGTGCTAGAGGACGGGCAGGTCGCGCGCTGCATTGTATCGTGCCCTGCCTCTGTGGGCTTCTCCTGGCAAAACGGCGGGATGCGTGGGTTCTGGGGCGTCCTCGATGGCAAGGTCATCTTCCTGAAGGACACATGGATAGAGACGAAGCTTGTGGAAGAACCCGAGGGCGCTATCCTCGAGCGGCTGCACAAGGCGGGGGTGCGCAATGTTCCGAAGTTATTGTACCATGGCTATGTCCCCGCGCGGCTGCCCACCGGGAAGATGACACGGAGCCAAAGGGTGGCAATGAAAGGTATGTGTCCTCCGTTTAAGCTCTGCACTGTTATTGAACAGTTTCCCGCCAGTATTACAGGAGAGTCTCACGGACAAATACCTCAACGCCGAGTGGGTCTGCCGTGGCGGCCGAGATATTGAGGAGCGCACAGTCGTCCACTATCGTATGATCCTGGGCACGGTCGGGTATACACTCCGTCGTTTCAAAGGCACGAAAGAACTGTTGCACACGACACACGATGTATTTCAAGGTGAGCAGCATGTTTCCACCAGTACAGCATCACTTACAGCTTATCTGTATCCCATAGCTATGATTGACGCGTATGAGAAGGCGAAAACCTTGCACCGTGACATTAGCATCGACAATGTCATCCTCGTCAAGGAACCTGGAAGTGCTGTCCGTCGAGGGTATCTCATCGATTGGGAGCTGTCCGCCCCAGTAAACGAACGTGGAGAGTCAACCCTCATGCCTTCAGCGGTGAGCATCGCTCGGAGTCACCTTGAGCTTCCGTCCAATTCCTGAATGCTGACTGCGGTGCTGCACACAGGGCACGGATCCCTTCCTCTCCCAGCGTCTTCTTCAGGTGATGAAGCCACAATTAATCCAGGACGACATGGAATCAATGATGTATGTTGTCGTATTCTGTGCCGTGAACTGGCTGTCGCACGACATTCCCGACATCGAGCGCGTAATCCACGAGATGTTCGAGGACGAAAAGGCGGAGAACCAACAAGAGCAGGGCAAATTGAAGGAGTATGTCTCGATGGATCCGGGATCGGGGAAGGAAACGAACAAGACAACACGGCAATATGTGGATCCCTCGCAGTTCAGGGCGCCGTTGTCGGTGTGGCTCAACACAGTCATGAACTACAATTTCCCGTGGGACAAGTTTATAACGACAGCAGAGAAGCATCGGTTTGAGGGTAAATGGGAGAGCCCGCAGCCGCTGAACGAGTTCTGGACAGAGTTCCTGAAGACGCAGGAATTGCCTGAGGAAGACAGGGTGAGCGGCGTCAATTCCGATAAAATCAAGGTGTACACTGCGACGAAAGTATTTGCACATCGGGCTGCAAAACTTCCAGCCAAACGGAAAGCGCCGGCACCGCGGGGAACCGTCGACATGGACAGGCCGACCAAGAGAGCCAGGATCGGGGCCCGATAGACTCTGCATATATGCAGCACTGCCTATTGCGCGGGATGCAGTGCACAGGGGGAAGATGACCCCGTTTCGCCCTGCATTGGGATTATACTAACTGGTCCATTTGATCGGTACATCTGCAGCACCATCCTAAGCGATGCGACCGTGGTAGAGCGCTCCCTGCGTGAAAGGGCTTCCACGTGTTAGCTTCCGGATGGAGTTGGATTCTCCAACTCGTCTTGATCCTGGCCTGTATTTAGGGTATCACTGGACGCATACAAGCAGAGTTTTTAGGTGTTCTAATGAGAAATATCATTCTTGCTCGAGATGAGCCCGACGATGTAAATATCATAGCTCACGTTACAAGCACCGCCAGCTCCTCTAGATCTCTTCCAAGCACAGCTGGTGGTACACTCGGGCACTTCGAAGAGCCCTTTCGTTGCAATGTCCTAGAAATTTTTCGAAATATCGCCGATGAATTCAAGAAGAAAGGCTGATGAGGTGCTGGCCTGCACGTCCGGATCGACGAGATACAGAAATCAGTAGAAAATCAAAGGCGAGCGCTTGCAAAGCATCCAACAGCTGTCATAGAGTCTGACCCAGTCCCTCCCCATTCCTTCAATGGATTTCGCGGACCCACCGATCGCGGTAACCTGGCAGTTCCATGTTTCTGAATGGCTCGGTAGGGAGATGCCGTGGGATTTGGAGGAGAATTAGAGTGTGGTTGATGAGCATCTGGCGCTGCACGCAATATAATCCAGGCAGCAAAGGTTATTCGTAATGGTGGAGAGGTGCGTCGACCCGGGCGAGATGTTTCTCGCCTTATGCCAGATGTGACGCTTTTCAATCTTGGGAAGCGTGTGGGCTAAACGGGATAGGAAGGTTATGTCGAGATTGACATTCAGGCGGTGAACTTCCAGACAGTGCCTTCAGCTTGGCACAGGGTGCAGAGAGATCCGCAGCAAACGTTTTATTGGCCACATTTTCGAATACTGTAGTGCGATGTACAGCTGTAATTCCTCTAATTTGGTTCCAGGGAGTTTGACAACCAAGGGGTAGATTTCTAGACGGTGCTCTTTCCAGACAACTATGCAAAAATTCGGGAGAAAGCCATCGGGTGGTGCACACTGTTCGAAGACCCACAGCATACACGGCCATTCGTGCACAAGGCAAATATCAGATGAAATCAGCCGGATCCCGGGGAGGGCCGGTGGATGCTACGAGGACATCCCCACCAGCTGATCGTCAGACCGAATACGCATATTAGACAAGACTTACCCAAGGTCCCAGCTGGCCGGGAGCTTACACCACCACCTCTCCCCGAGCTGACCACTCGGAGGGGCCCCAGGCTGTCTGCGGATCCCGAATTGCAGACAACCGAGAGATGGTCACTTCGTTCAGGCGATCGACTTTGGAGATCTGCCGCTACAGTAATTGATATTTCCGGGCAGTGATCAAAACATATGCAAAATTCAAATTTTCATAAAATATATTTCTATTTATAGTACAGAACTGCATGTCCGTCGAAGGACTCGTCGGTATCCTTCGATATGCAAGTTGGAGCAGCTGTTACATCTAAGGGTCATATTTGTAAGTCAACACAATACCCAGAAGACAAGTGGATGACTGTCTTACATAGCCAAGAGTCTCATCTCCTCCGTTCAGCACGACAGCTCGAGGATGCTCAGGTTGAAACGCGCTGCAAACTGATATTGTGAGTGAGAATCAAACGCACCTCCAAGCGCGTCACTCAGCGAAGGCTCGGACTCGAACGACCTGCGCGTGATGTAAGACAGCTCTCCGGTTTCAGGCTGCAAGAAACAGATTAGTTCAGATGGCTCACCTTAAGGTACACACGCACACAGAACCACCCCAGATACAGGAAAGCGAGGGGACGTCGAAAGTGAAGGAGGAAGAGACGTGGGAGGCATTATGAAAATTTCATCACTGTATCGTCAACTTTCCCACTCCGCCTCGGCATCTTTGCTTAGCGAACACGGCGTGACTGGCTTAGGACTTCAGGAAACAGAGCTCAAGTGAAGCCTCCCTTTGGGTGGATCATTGAGCATCTCAAATCAAGCTTTTCTGAGGACATGAACTACCACTATGGACATCACACAGATCATTAGGCTACTTAGTTTTTTTATTTGGGGCAGAGGGAGACATAGATGACCTCCCCCGAAGCAGGGACCTGGTGGTGACATGGCCAGCTTCCTGTTTCGGAGCAGACCGCGGGACATCTCAAGAGGCTGAACATCAATCAGGTGTCCTTCGGATGGGATGCAGCCTGGCTGCCAGACCTTTTGACTGCTGGTATCTCGCAGACTCAGCCATGGAACAATCAGCCTAAACAGAGTTGGCGGTGTACATCAGGAAAACCCAACTTTCTCTTATGGACTTATTTAGACTTTTGGGTCTGAGAACCCTTATTTAAGGCCATAAGTGTTCATCTAAGTTGAATTTCAGACACTCAGGGAATATGCCTTAGGTCCATTTTGTCCTTATGTCCTTAAATAAGGACCATAAGTCCATTTAAGTTATTTAAGTGTCTTTTTAAGAAAAAGTGGGGTTTTCCTGATGTAGCAGAAGCAGCGATATCTTTATTGGTATCCCACTCCTGACGTCTGATCTGCAAAGCATACTGAGAAAGCCGTTTTGTGTATAAGTCGGAAGAACTAATCAGCTCTAGTAGCGTGGAGATGGGAATAGCTTCGCCTTTCTTTCTTTGGCCTAAGTAGCAATTTACTGTATTGGAAGATGCGATCCTACGAATCAGTCAACACCTGCGATTAAGATCGGGTTCTGCCAAAAAAAAATTCAAATGAGCCACTCACATAGCGAAAGTGAATAGTTGAGTTCCCCTTCGGAACTAGAAGCAATCTGAACAGAGATGCCAATGTATACATGTTTTCCCCATAAAGTATTCAGCGCTAGCTCAGTGATGGTTCTGCAGGTTACTGGTAAGTTGCCAAGAGCAATCCTTCTGGTATGGTTATATTTTGGGGAAGACTGCATAAAACGATAGGTGATTTCTCACACAACCTCTTCAATAGCAAAGCAACGCTCGGCCCAGGATTTTTGAAACACTTCTGGAACAATACTGAATGTATCTTCATGGAGTACGGGTTATGGCTTCACGGTGACTCTCTCTTATGCAATGCATTATAAGAGTGGTAGATATTGTCAGGAGTGTAGAAGAAGAAATAATGGCTATGTAGTAAACAATCTTTATGCCTATTACTTCTGGCAAAGCAATTGAGGAAGACAAGCCTTCGCCTATTGCGTATTCTCTTCTTCCTCTCGAATTAATTTAATTAATTTGCCATATGCACTACACCTATAGTTAGAGTGCCAAGCAATTCAGCGGACAGAATCACATGTCACACATTACGGGGTCTGTCACATTGTGACCAACGCGTGTGGCGCTGCAGTTTGTGGCGGCATCGACTTTCTCTTCACACCTCACTCACACCTCACTCAGACCAACTTATATTATAATATAAATGGCATCAAACTTGCTCAAAAGGTCTGCCAAAGATGTCCTCGAGGCTGCAGACTTCAGGCCATCAAAACAGGCTCGCACAAGTGCAGACCCAGGAGCTATCCAAGAGGAACAGAAGGCAGTCGAAGCGAATGACACTGCCATATTACTGCAAGCAAAGTTCCTGGATCTTCCTATCGAGATTATATTCAAGGTAAATTATTCTTATTGTCACGTTTGAGCTTTGCTATAATGTGGCCCCAGCAGATATTCCTCAATTTGTTGCCCATGGATCTGTTGAACCTCGCGCGCACCAGTAAAGCGTTCAGAAACAGTCTGATGACTCGTGATGCCTTGAAATTTTGGAAGAATGCTCTGGCAAATATATCATGTCTTCCTGACTGCCCAGAAATTCCTCCCTGTCCGTCATACATGAATAAACCCTGCTATATCGACTTTATGTTGGGCAGTCAGTGCAATGGCTGTGGTGTAAGCAACTGTGAACAGCGGACTTTTTGGGAATTTGGATATCGCTATTGTGCTGCGTGCATAGTCAAATTGTACGTCACACTACCTTATGGATTATCTCAACTGATTGACAGCATGTAATAGTACCATCTGCCAGGCCGTCACAGGCAACAGCAGTTTTCACTCTCTCCTCGTGATTGCTTTGTGTCTGATGTTGAGTACGATCTGCTGCATTGCCTCTTAATCTGTTAACCAACCACTGAACCCAGTTGAGCATGTTGAAACCAATGTTCATTGCACGGAGTATACTCTTCATTGAGAGTATTACAATGTTCTCAGAGAAAAACTGGGAAATGCTAGCAACCAATTGGAATACACAGCGATCTTCAACGAATACAAGCTACTTCGGAGGGAGATGGTGGAGGTGCGTGGACATCACGATATAGGTGTGACGACCGCGCTCAGTTCTTGATTAGCACGGTGCTCTATGTCATTCTTAGATACATAAGAGATGCGATGCAGAGCATGCAGCATGACAGCGTATCATTCATATAAGGGGCCTCACGTAAGAACCTCATGCGAACATCAAACACCACATCCTCTGAGATTCTTCTTTTCTTTAGCTTCTCTGATCGCCTAAGAAAAATGGGCTTTGATGACAATATTCCCTACTTGGGTCCAGATTGCAGAGTGTTACTACAGCACCCCATTTTCAGCAAGGCAAAGGCTTTGACTGAGGACCGTATGTTTATCTTTTCATCTCATTTGCAGCCCTTGCACTTATTATTGTATTTAATTTGATAGTCTGGCAGGAAATTCGTCCAGCATTGACTGAATTTATGCGAGACCGGAAGTCCATTCGTCGGGATTGGGAGCATGTAGAGGTGCTCGAGGATCGACTGCAGACCCTCAACAGAGTACTGCACCGGATTCAATGGAACGATTTTGGGCATTGACCGGTAGCTCACGTCATCGACATCTTGAGCTTCAGTGGCATCCGAGAGATGGTCAACTCACCAGGTGCTAGGGCAATTGCCAAGAAAACTTTTGAGACACTGCTGCACAGAGAGCTGCCTGTTTGGCAGTGGAAGATTGAAGAACAGACATCAGGAAAACCCAACTTTTCCTTAGGGACTTATTTAGACTTTTGGGTCTGGCAACCCTTATTTAAGGCCATAAGTGTTCAGATAAGTCTCAATAAGTTGAATCTCAGACACTCAGGGAATATGCCTTAGGCCCTTTATGTCCTTATGTCCTTAAATAGGGACCATAAGTCCATTTAAGTTATTTAAGTGTCCTCTTAAGGAAAAGTGGGGTTTTCCTGATGGATGGCAGAGTATCTCGAAAGGACGCAAGGAATTCCTTCAATCCTTCTGCCTAATGGGCTAAGGACTAGTCCGGCCTTCAATCTTGCCAGAACAGCATTCCGATGCCCCCTCGGTCATATCCAGTTTTGGCCAGAAATAATGTCGCACAGTCACTGCCGCCCTGATCTCAAAGGCCAAAATGTGCTGACCCTGAAGGAACATCTGGACTCCGGTGATATCGAAGGGTTCTTACCTCCCTTGCAAGAATCCTTTCTCGAGACTGCCATAAAATGCCAGTTCCCAGAGCGCACGCCGTGGGACCTTGTAGATATCTAGCCCGTACTTGACAGCGATATTGTCGCACCCGTCTTGAAAATGTGTGGAAAGAATGTTACCTTGATGACATGTGCTGAGATGGATGCTCTGGATGCACAGTTCATCTGCATGACATGTATTGACCCTTTGCGTCCTTTCCAAGTAATGAGGTGGAGGCAAGCGGTGAGTGCCATTGATGGACGTTTTCCCTATGCTATGTGATTGCTCATTGTGCTCTAGGTGCACCATTATGAGGCACGTCATAGCACAATTGGAGCGGTTCACCCGAGGTATACCCAAGTCGGCCCTGTGCTCACCATGAACGCAAAACAGCTGGAAGCATTGATCATTGGTGCAACAGGGGGATTGCTGAAGGCCAAGTATCTTCCTCATATGGATGGGACCGAGTCTCAGTTGATTATGCACCACTGTGTCGACCTGGTGCGATGGGCCCTTAATGTGCTGAATGCAGCAAGGATCATTTCTCCCCACCATCATCTTATCCATAGCATCACGAAACATGGAGAAGAAGCTGGTGTCCTGGAGGTGGATCACATTTCTTTTATCAGTCCAGAATTACTTTTTTTCTTGGCAAAGATGTCAGTCGCCTCGCTGACCCCAGGACAATGGGAGAAGGTTATCAAAAGGGATATGTTCATCGATGATCTTCGTTGCTATATCCCGTAAAAGAGACATGGTGTTTTGGCACGAAATTCGAGAGTCTAGATAGAGTTTGTAAACATATGTTTGTGTACCATGATGTACACGTGTGGTGGAACCATTGATATTTATGGGATGCGAGACTGAATTACATCAGGAAAACCCAACTTTTCCTTAGGGACTTATTTAGACTTTTGGGTCTGACAACCCTTATTTCAGGTCAAATAAGTCTCAATAAGTCAAATTTCAGACACTCAGGGAATATGGCTTAGGCCCTTTTTGTCCTTATGTCCTTAAATAAGGACTATAAGTCTATTAAAGTTATTTAAGTGTCCTCTTAAGGAAAAGTTTGGTTTTCCTGATGTACTGGTGTTCCTATCCCATGAATACACTCCTAGAACTCATGTATGGCTATAAGCCAAAGCACCATTGTTGTAGTTTATCTATTGCTTATTGGCGATTCTGCTTTCTGAAGTCGTGATTGCCCTATGAAGTCCTGTTGTTCCCCAACCACTGAGTTCAGCGGCGATCCATAACTTAGCCGCACTGACAAAACACGATTAATATTGCCTCAAGGTGCTGAGAGTAGATGATGGATGATATTTTTCTAGTGCACATTATTTACGTGAGGATGAATGTGTGCTCTTGTAGAGGCATCACGAGATGCAGACCCTGATGCTCAAACAAGAAGGACACTTACTGCATACAGTCAGTTTCTTTTGTTTTACCTACAGACAGAGAGCGGTTCAAGTTTCACTGTTTCCCACCCTCGCGACAATAATGAAAGATGCGTACGGATAGCTATAAGTAGTTGCCTCAGGCCTATATGTCATATTGATACATCAAACCATGAACAGCTCAGCTCAAGCTTGATACATCAGGAGAAGTAGCCACAACTCACCAATACTGATACATCAGACTGACATATGTGACAAATCAATGATTTCTTCCTGATTGGGAACATTGGGGAGCAGATGATGAAAGTCCAGATGTGTATCCGCTTATCATAAAGGTCACCTCTGTGAGATCGAATGGCAACACCGGGTCTACGCCATGCAGCAAATAAAAGGGGCTAAATCCTGTTGACCGCCTAGTGGTAACTCTGTCTGCAAAGAATGCATGGTGTACTTTGTTTGGCCAGGACTTGAGATCCTTCCTTGCATCTTTGAGTATTCCCTCGCGTATTACAAAATGACCTTGCTTGACTAGTACATTTGCATGCTTGTTATAGGGAGAAATTCTGATTTGTGGAATGCCATATCTTTGCAAAAGCTTCTCAAAGGCTCCAGCCACTTCTGAACCATTATCCGTTACAACCTCTGTGATATGTCCATAGTGGCATATGATTTCCTCCCAGAAGAACCTCGCTAACTCCTTGGAATTGGCTTTCTTTAAGGCCCATCCTTCTGCTGCAGGTGTCAAATCATCTCTCGCAGCAACAATGATATCCTCGAGCTGGTGGCATAAACATAATGTCAAGATAAATCTTGGAAAATATAGTTGCTGGTGTGCGTATAGTGGGAGATTCCTCTACCCTTTTTGTACTCCATAATTGGCATTGGTGGCATGTACTGATATGGTGTTTTATATTTTGAAATAAATGGGGCCAGAAGAAGTGGTCGCGAATATGATAGAATACTCCATAAACTCCCCTATGACCTAGTTCTTCATGTGCATGTGTTAATATAGAGATCCTATGATCCTTGTCTAATATAACCAATAAAGGAGTGTGATCACGTCTTCACTTGAACATAGATCCACCTTTCATAAAGAACTGTCCTGCACGTCTAATAAATCTTCGCTTGGCTTGAGCGTTAGAGAAGTCTGGTGTCTGTAGAGTCTGAAGGAAATGTCTGATATTTCACAATGTCTCCTCTTGCTTGGAATTCACTGCTAGTGATGAGGGTAACTGGTGAACCAGGGTTTGATCCGGCTTGGGCACGTGATTAAGATACAGTGATAGAAGTGCTATCTCATCCAACCAATCATTTGACTCAGGAACTTCTGCCAATTCTTCTTCTGTTGGTTCACACCGTGAGAGAGCATCAGGTCCACGATGCTTATCAGCAGGAACATGTCGCAATTCAAAGGTAAATAGCAAAATGCCCTGGATCCACTGATTGATCGCGGCATTCAGCTGAAGATCCGGATTATTCAGCATGTCTTTGATGTACTTGGCATCAACTTCCAGAATCAAGTTCTTGATGCCTGCTAAATAAAGTCTCCAGTGTCGCATGGCTCTATAGCATCCATATAGCTCCAACTTGGGCTGACTATATCTGGACTCACGCTCATTAAAAGGTAGAGAACCATAGCGAGCTGGTCTCCGTCTGCCTTGTTCATCATCCTGCGACAAGATAAAACTGACTGCGATGACACTAGAGTCTATGGATATGTAGACAGGTCGGTCTGATGAATAATCAATAGGGTGTAAGGCAGGTGCGGATGCAATAAGATCCTTCAAGCAATCAAATGCTTCTTGTCGCCTATCATCCCATACAAATTCAGCATCCTTCTGTGTTAGTTCAGTTAGCGGTCGTGCAATTTTGGAGTAGTCCTTTATCCAAATGTGCACTGTACCACATAATCCTAAAAATCTCCGCACATCCTTTGCAGTCTTCAAAACTGGCCAGGTAAGAATTTTATTTACTTTTGAATTTTCTGGAAGTCATCCTTCTGGGGTGCATGTCTGTCCAACTATAACTGCATGGGGTTTACATAATTGAGTCTTAAAAGCGGAGAAGGTAGCACCTACATGTTCAATACGATGCATAATCCTATGTACGTCAACTGCATGTTCCCATATAAATCGCCTAATTCCTGGGTTTTCTGGTAATGTCTCTGGCTCTCCATTTTCTTGTATATACATAGTTTTTGGTCCATGGATGGGTAAATCATCAATAAAAACATTCGCGACATGGGGGATCTCGTCTTGTAAAATAAAGACCATACAATTCTGGAATTCTGAAGGAGAGTTGGTGAAGCCTTGAGGCATACAAGTGAGTCGTAATAAACCGAGTGGAGTTAGGAATGATGTAAGGTCACGACTTTTAGGATCAACCTTGTGCGCATCGAATCCAGAAAATAAATCAAAGACTGTGTAGCAGGTGTGTCCTGCAAAGGGTTCTACAAAGTCATCCAGGATGGGCGGGACACCTGCATCTCGAATAGTTACCCGATTGAGTGGTTGTAGATCTTGGACGATCCGCAGTTTACCGCTCTTCTTAATTACGCAGAACCATCGTGATTGATAAGATGATTGACTAGGCTCGTAGACGCCAGCTGTAATCTTATCTCGAAGAAGTGCAACTACTTTTTCCTTAATTCCAGGGGGGATAGAGATGTTAGGATAGGCCCACGGTACATGCAGTGTGACTGGAATAATATAGGGAGTAAAATAATCTTCCCGAAATGTACCTCTGTCTTCTTCGCCAAAAGCGAGTGTCTTTTCGTTAAGCTTGAGAATATGTAAAAAGAGCTTTTCTTCCTCTGGCCAAAGAAATCCATCTTTATTAATGTTCATTAGTTCGACTCTCTCCACAGTAAGTTTTGTGGTAGGAATGAATTCGGGTGGAACTTTTGATAACTCTGTAAGTGAGTCCAACAGATTCTCAGGGAAGCGCCGTAGTACACGCGCATCCTCTGGAAGTACTCCTTGTACTGGCTTTACCTTTCTATCGACTGGTTTGTATGCTCCGAATTCCAATGGGACACTATTTAAATAGGGCTGACCAGCAGAAGGTATATTGGGAGTTTCCAAGGTAGTGGTACATGACATGATTACATAAGAGACCATAGGTATAGAATTCCTGTTGAAGGAATTTAGAGGTGACATACGCAGAGAATGAGTGGGGGTTGATAACAGATCAGACATAGGGCTGGGTATACTTAGCGACAAAGGGCCGCGGGTAGCTACAGGTAAAGGAAAATGGTGCATAGCGCTTGATGGGGGGTCCTGCTCCCTAAAATGTGGTGTTCTGAATCTGCTAGAATTAGCCGCGAAAGGAATGCACTGAAAAAGTCGGACTTACATATTCAACGACTTCTTCGGTGATGTCGCGCATGACCTCAACGAGAATTTCCTCGACACGCTCGTGCATCAAATCCTCGCGCTCGTATTCCGACTGTAAATGGTTATCGTTGTCGTCCGTGTCATCCTCGAGGTCCATGTCCGATTCACTGTCGCTACTGTCATTACCGTGCGAGACACTTATCAAACCCGATAAGTTGTCGTCGCCATTGTACGAGTCTGGAGATGAGCGGCGCGCATGGGAGCCGGGCGGGTGCATTGGCCTGCACAGACGAGTGTCAGGGTCATGGGTGACAGAGAGAGTGGAACAAGGAAGCGGAAGTGGGCGATTGCATGCTCACATCGCATGGCAGTCGGCCTCATGCATGCACGCGCACGCGGATAACGGAGGCGATGAGGACGATGAGAGGATCGGTGATGATGGAACGTAGACGGGTGATGATGGCATGTACTCGGGGGATGGGGAACATGATAGGGGTGGGGTCGCCGGGATATCCGCGGGGTCAAAGTGCGACAGAAAAATGAATGCTGTTGGGCGCGTGTCGATGAATGAAGGGGGGCCGTCCGCGCGGTCGACGTGCATATTCTCAATACTGTAGACTGAGTCATCAATGAAACTAAGGGCTGGATTTTTGTGGCTGTGAGATGGCTGAGATTCACACTGCTCAACTTCTCTGAGCACGATTGTTTCCTGCAACCTCTACAAATCCCAAAACTGTGGCGACATTTGCACTCTGTCGATTTGCCCACCTGCTGTCCACTCAGTCGAAGATGTCCGGTTACGAGTTTTATCAGAGTCTTGTCCGATTGACTGATAACACTGGTGTGCTATGTCGTGTCTCAAGCTCCAAGCTTAATCATTGCTGACAAAGTGTAGGATCGTTATCCTGCCTACATGCGTATTATGCACATGTGGAGGCATCTCAAAATGCTGAAATGAGCAGGCCGGTGCCATAAACCTGGAGGGGTGCAGGCGACCAAACCTGGGTCATGTGCAGTGCTTTGCCCGGCGTGTTCACACCCTGGCAAAAATCTGCCCCCAGACTGGGAGGAAACCCCAGAAGACCAAAGGTGAGTTAGTGATCAGTAATTTCGGTCGATTTACGCCAAATACTAACATGCAGTGACAGGTGGATATACTGGCTGTTTGTCAGGCTAGACGCAAACTTTCACCTCAAACGTAAGAAGGTGTCTTCCGACAGCGTCAATCCTGGACTCAACCATGGCTATGCATACTTTGTGGAGGAAAAAGCATACAAGGAGTACCTCAGCACATGCGACTCCCTTGTGATGGAAGAGCAAAGTACTTGCAACAACCATGATGCAGTCAAGTTGGCCAACATGAGGGGCTCAGTCACAGGTACAGCGGCAAGTGGCGTTGGTGCCATCACATGCACACGCCATGACATGAGACTGCCATGCAGTGTTGGCGACCTTCAAAAAGGAGAGCAGTAAGTTCATGTTCACAATTGTTCATGTCCTTGTACTGATCAGTACTGCTTAGCTACGTCAATATGGATTATATGTTCTTCTCCACTCTGGGGAACGATGCACCATGTGATGTCGTGGTCTCCTATGACATTGCATGTCAGTGGTCCAAAAATATACAGAACTGGCACTGAATATACGAATTTTGTCCATTTCAGATGGATGACCACAATTTCGTGTTCCTTGTCCCAAAATTCCATATCTATGCCCATCAACAGTTGTGCCAGGACAATTACTCATTCCACAACACCCCCCATGTGGCTGAGACAGATGGCAAGGGCATTGAGCGGCCATGGTCAGACTCAAACCAGTACTCTTTAAGCACGAAGAAGATGGACCCTGGTTCACTGCATGACTTTCTTGACGATGCGTTCGCAGACTACAACTGGAGGAAAATATGTGGAATGCGTGAGTAATTGCAATGAGTATTCTGCTCATCTCTAAACTAATAATATTAAAGCCGCCTTGTTTCTGGCCAGCATCAAAGGTGCTTTGCCGGAGCGCAACAATCAAGTCTTTGCATTTGCGGAACTTAACGATGTGGTGACGCAAGAGGATCATGACGCATGGAGGACTGTTGTAGCACTAGTGGTGGCCACCATTGTATTACAATTGCCCACAACACTGGTCAGGCCATTGTGCACAACTCACCAGCCATTGTAATTGTAATAACACTGGGCACATTGTAATACAATGGCAATTACAATGCCGGCCACATTGTAATTGGAAAAAGAAGTGTTCAAAGTGAGAGTTGAACCCCTGACCTCATGGCCGGAGTTTTGCTTATATAAGCTACACAAGACACGTGCTTTAACCACTAGACTATCAGTGCTTGCTGTTACTTTAGCCTCAATTGTATATAATGAGTCTGTCCACTACAATATAATATACAAGCTTCTAATGCACATTTTAATATTATATCTAATACTATTACTTTAAAGAATTAGAAAAAGAGATAAACAAGTAAGAGAACATAAATAGACACTATAATAGTATTTAACAAAGAGTTAAGAAAGGAACAGTAACAAGTGTTAGTATTTGTAATAGAAGCTTGTATATTATATTGTAGTGGACAGACTCATTATGTACTGAGGTTGAGGTAACAGCAAGCATCAATAGTCTAGTGGTTAAAGCATGTGTCTTGTGTAGCTTATATAAGCAAAACTCCGGCCATGAGGTCAGGGGTTCAACTCTCACTTTGAACACTTCTTTTTCCAATTACAATGTGGCCGGCATTGTAATTGCCATTGTATTACAATGTGCCCAGTGTTATTACAATTACAATGGCTGGTGAGTTGTGCACAATGGCCTGACCAGTGTTGTGGGCAATTGCAATACAATGGTGGGAACCACAGCTGGTTGTAGAGACATGGGAGAAGGACCCTTCGAAACCTAACCCGTTCGTTGTTACCCGTCCTGGTATGTATTTGCGGCATATTATGGAATGTTGGCCTGATATTCTGCACCAATACAGCCATGACCCAAGCATCTGTGCACCTGCAGCTGGTGAATGAGGAGGCTGTGGAGTTGGAGAATGGTGAACAATGTGGCGTGCTGCGTGACCTCATTTCCCCGAGTGTCATAATCATGGTCGGGATTGAGCTGCAGGAACAGCAGTAAGTGCGAGCAGTCATTACATTAGTTATGTTCTCATAGCCTGTCACCAGGTATCGCCTTCGACAGGACACAGAGGGCCTTGGAGCACATTCCATGGATCTCCAATAAGCCAAGATCATCGAGCAGTGCAATGCTCTTCATTGCAAGATAGATGCATGGGCAGACATGCAGCAGTTGTTCATGCCTAGCACCGTGGCATTGTGCGCACAAACTGCAGCCGCAGCTGTCAAGGAGGTCCCTGTGCAAGAAATGGTACTCTATTTACCATCGGAGTTATCCTCTGATACCCCTTGCAACTCTCATATCCAGAGATATGAGTTGCGTCTGAGGGTTGCGCAAGCACACGATGCGCTAAAGGATCTCTGGTGACATCTCCATGTGCATGCCCATCTGTACAAGTTCAAGGACCGCTTCGTCCATGGGCAACGATATCTCACCCGAGCGAAGACAGTCATCGGGTGCACGCAGAATAAGGTCAACACTGATGCAGCACGCTATCGCTGTGCATACAAAGCCATCATCTCGTTGTCTACCCTACTTAATGAGCCTTCAATGCTCCATGACTTGTGCTCGCTGCAAGATGAAGATGTCCGAGGAATGACGGAGGGGATGCAGGGAGAAACTCAGAGCCACAAGACTTTGTCTTGGATATGGCGGAGACATGGCATGGGGAGTAGCAGTGTGACTGATAGCAGCATCAGCAAAGGTTGGCGTTTTTTACTTATCTGTTTCTAAGACTTCTCAATGCTCACGAAATCTTTTAGAGCTTCGTACTGAGTGGTGCAAGGCCCGTGTTGCCGGAGGAGATGCGCAGGGTCATTTCTTTTCACAATTGGCTCACGCAGTGGTGGCTGGAGCATATAGACACGATCCCTGCACAATCGCGAGAACACCTGGAAGGCGCCACCGCATATGCATACTGTCAGGCGAGTATCCGAGTGTCTATGAGGGAACACTGTAGGTTGGTATGGCATCATATACCTGCCTGGTTGCAGGCAGGAGGTGATGTCAGCATAGATGTAGATTCAGTCGAAGCCACCATTGCAGAACCCCTTCTGGCAAGCAGTTCTGCTACTATGTCGACAAGTCCTTCGACTTTCCTTCCTGCATGTTAGGTGGTCAGTAACTATATGGGTCCACAGGTACTAGTGTCGTCCGAATGAAAATAAAATATTTGGCATTACACTGAAGTGAGGTTCTCTAAAAGGAAATCTGTTATCTGGAACATATAATGCGGAAGATTACATGCTGTATTCTATGTGGAACAGCTCTACCCGTGGGACACAGGCGAAGTGGCGCGACAGGGCATAATTTTGCCATGCAATCGAGAATAGATCTCGAGCAAATCTCGGACCTATCAGGCTGGCGATGAGGTTGGCGGCACCCAGAAATCCACAACGAAGGACCGAGAGCAGCCGAGGGAGAGGGGGGAGAGCACAGCATAAAGGAGAGTTGTAGGAACCACTGAATAATATATCAGACCTGTAGTAGCTATCACAGTCAATGTATCAGTCCCGAATTGTTATGACCTTGTTTGATATATCATTATGCCAGGGACAGGTGGTTGCCTGCTGTTCCCCATTCTTCTTGTCCACTCCACGATGACATTACAATGGGCATTCGAAGCGTATCACATAGCACGTGGTTGGTCACATCGTGTTATTGTGTGAACGCTTTTGGGGCGATGTGCCACACCCGGATGAACTCGCGTTCAACACACTCCATTTTCAGCATTCGCTGCTCGCATTACATTAACCTCTAATCACTTGAAATGTCACTGACTTGGAGCAACCCAAGTCTGATGAGCCACCCAGGCCACAGAAACATGCCAAACGCCAATCGGTAGCACTTTCAGATATTCCTCAAGAACTCATACTTCATGTAAACCAGTATTTTTGTTGATTTCTGAACTTTTCTCTGATGCGGTATGGCAAGCCCACTGCTTTGTCCACCCTGGATGAATCTGGCCCAGTATGCCAAATTCATGTTCGGAGTCGACTGCACCGACTATGGTAACAGCGGCCGTAACTGCATGTTACACGAGGAATTCATATGTCACTATTGCTCAACGTGTTCTCACAAATAGTGCATGGAATTGGAGTACATATTGGTGGCCTTCAGAGACAACTAACTTCACACCACAGTATTGTTATCCAGAGATACGGTGATGTATTGTGAGGTTGATCACTACTACTCACTCGGCTGTTAGGCCATGGGTCACAAGCACATGAGGGGCTCATGCGGTTGGGGCCATATATTTATACTATGCAGTAATTTTAGGAGATTCCAGTATGTTCTCTGACATACCTATGTGCTGACTAATATATGTTTCCTGATTGGGAAACCACCAGCCCTAACACTCCCCCTCAATCTGGAAACACCTTACTATGCTCCCCCTCAATCCTGGCATCTTCTATGCCATCCAATATATTTTTTCCTTTTGACCCTAAATACCCCAAATGTTGTGGGAGCCCTATGCTTGTGACAAGAGAGCCAATGCTACCATCTTGCCAGATTCTTCGACCACGACAACAGAGCCAATGCTCCAGTATTCCCACAGATCCTTCCAATTTAGGAACTCTGTCCCTCATCCGCGACACATGCATAACATTCAGCTCGCCATTTGCACACTGTTTTCAGTTGCACCTAGCTCCAAGGGTTCTCTGCACAGTGCCAGTATACCCTGCCGCCATGCTTCACCAACTCCGGCAGTGGCGACCCTGCCTAGTTGCGAAGACTTTCAACTTGACCTGCTCGTGGGGTCCTACCCATATCGCAGTCCAGTCTCCTATGCGCCTACGGCCTCAGCGACTTTTTGCAGTACAGTCTGTTGCCAGACCGGGCCATATACAAACTATCCTCCGTGATGTGAATAGTAGGTATGCGCTTATATTGTGAGGTTGATCACTGCTACTCACTCGGCTGTTAGGCCATGGGTCACAAGCACATGAGGGGCTTATGCAGTTGGGGCCATATATTTATACTATGCAGTAATTCTAGGAGATTCCAGTATGTTCTCCGACATACCTATGTGCTGACTAATATATGTTTCCTGATTGGGAAACCACCAGCCCTAACACAATGGACCAGGCTGTATCTCTCAAAATGTCGCCAACTTATGTCCACGCTGGGGTCAGTGCATCTATATTCTTCCTTGTTTGCACCAGCTTACTTTCAGCGACTTACAGGTGACAGGAACATCTGGACCAGCAGTCACCACACCGGTTGCATCCTACATTGAGACCATGTCAAGCTGGTTGAAACTAGGTTAAAAGGTGCCAAGAGCAGGACAGAACGTGCCGCTGTTGTCGATGAATTATCAGATCGGTGGGACTCTTTTTTGGGGGTATGTGTGTTTGCCACAAAGCACGCACGACGGCAGTCTCACTCGACGATCCAGTACTCTGTCATATGCCGCAACTGGCTGATCGAGTGGCAGCAAGTAGAAAATGAAGTAGAGCAGCCACACTTGATCGCTCAATGGATTCGCCTGTAAGTAAATGCATGGCCATTGTTACCGGTGGAAATTTCTTATGCTGTGATTTCTAGCATCTCTAGCAAGCTGGAGGAACTGAGATATGCTGAGGACCTCAACTATCTGGGTGGGAATGACGTAGTGATGTGGCAACACCCCGTCATCGGAAAGGTGGAGTTTCTTACACAAGCCAGTTCGTAATCCTGTTGGCATGATTCTAAGCTGGTGTGCTTATCAGTGTATGTTCTTGACAGTCTGGCTGGAAATTGGTCCGGAAATAACTAAATTGTTTGCACAACGAAAGAAGATCTGTCTGGACTGGGAGCGCGTTCACGTATACCAGCAGTGTCTGCAAGAGCTTATGACAGCCTTGTATAGAGGGCAAACCAGTGCCATAGGCAAATACCCGATTGCTCACCCAATTGACATATTATACTCCAGCGATGACATCAGAGAGGTGATCACAATGCCTGGTAACAGAGATGGCTGGAATGAACTGGAGGAAGTCTTGCCAGATGTGATCATTAATTGGAAAAGTGCGGTCACAGAGCAGATGGCCAACTACTTCGAGCAAGAAGATAGCCCGGGGAGCACTGAAGAAGATACTAGTGAAGACGGCCTCGGTGCATCAGGAAAACCCAACTTTCTCTTATGCACTTATTTAGACTTTTGGGTCTGAGAACCCTTATTTAAGGCCATAAGTGTTCAAATAAGTCGAATTTCAGACACTCAGGGAATATGCCTTAGGCCCTTTTTGTCCTTATGTCCTTAAATAAGGACCATAAGTCCATTTAAGTTATTTAAGTGTCTTTTTAAGAAAAAGTGGGGTTTTCCTGATGTGAGGACTACGTACTAAGTCTCTACCTTGCTAAGATGGCATTCCGATGCGGAAGCTCAACACGACACTTTTTCTGGCCTGAGTTGGCTTCTCATTTGACCAACTCCTTCAGTCGCAGAGCAGCGTGCTTAACAATGAATGTGGATGAAAGGGCATATCAGTATTCCTATCAGGATCCCATGGTGCCCCCACCTTACTCTGCCTACGATGTTGCAGTCATACGACAATACAACCTGCGCACCCCGTGGAGTCCTGACAGTCTCAAAGTTGTGCTCGATACACGTGCAACTGAGATTGTCATCAGGGTGAGTGGCAAGGACCCTAACACCACAACAGCTGCTGAGATGGACGAGATGGATGGGCAATTTACGTGCGAGATGTGCTTCTGGCCTCATGAGTATGTCAGCGCAAAACCTTGGAGGGAAATGGCGAGTGTTCAAGGTTTTTATCCTCTTGTCGCTCCGATTGCCTATCACGCTTCAGGCAGAGCACATCGCTGGTGAACATAACGGAGACACGGGAGCAAGATGTGCCTGAGTCGGACCGCTTCTCACCCGAAAACTACAGAAGATAGAACAGAAGAACATGAAAGTCTGCATTAACGCGCAGGACGATATGCGGTTCTTGACCTGCATTTATTGCCCTGAGAGGGGAGCAAAGGGTGCAATCCATGAACACATCCCGAACGAGTTGAGCCCTTGCCTGCTTCCCCTTCTTGTTTGATTCTGATTGTTTACATCTGTAGACATGGCATTCAAGGTCCGGAAGTAGGACTGGACCTAACACATCAGGAAAACCCCACTTTTCCTCAAGAGGACACTTATATAACTTAAATGGACTTATGATCCTTATTTAAGGACATAAGGACAAAAAGGGCCTAAGGCATATTCCCTGAGTGTCTGAAATTCGACTTATTGAGACTTATTTCAACACTTATGGACTTAAATAAGGGTTGCCAGACCCAAAAGTCTAAATAAGTCCCTAAGAAAAAGTTGGGTTTTCCTAATGCACCAGAGTTTAGTGCACAGCGTCACACGGTCCCTGACTTGATTCTCTTTTCGGAGTGTTTTAAGTCATTGAATGCGCAACAATGGGCAACTGGCACCAAGTCGAATGCCTATACCAAGGAGTTGAGAGTGACAGTGGCTGCCGCAGGGAGGATACACGGTTTTTTCCAGTAGTCGAAGTGAGTGCATCATCTACAATGGTTCTAGTTGTTTCTTATTACCCAATAACAGCATAATTACCCACTTACTTATAGACAGGGATTGTGTATTACTCGATGTCCAGCTTCGTCTCGCGTGCTTCAGTCATGTACACAGCTATGATGGATGGTCCCAGCGGTAGCTGGGAGAACCGGAGCAGGTTGAGCCGCCGGGTGGGCGAGGAGCGGCGACCAGATTTGGATAGTGTACTGTATACATGACTGAGTAGTACTAGTTCAACTAATGTAGCCACTGTATGTGCATATGACTCATGTGCACATGGTGAAGAAACAAGGGAGGATGGTGCCAGTGTGGGTGCAACAGAAATAAGACAAGCATCGGGGAGCGATCAGGGCATGGTGGGAGTCCCGAAGTGGTGCCTCGTGGTGGAGAAAGCGAAGGTCGAAAACTGCAGCTTTGCGCACTTACCACTCAGCTGTGACGTTAGGTCCAGCCCCGCAGGCTCGGCTGGCCTGCCACTCATATATGTTAGCATAGTTCAGGTATTCTTTTTTAATGCAGAAATATCAAAATCGAGTCAAAAGCCGCCTTTGCGAGGCCCTGAAGTGATGAAAAAGAAAACACATTTTGGCATGATCGAGAGTATACGAGTCGTTGAGACACCGACAGAACTTGCATGTATACCGTGTATATGTCCGATCTGCACCGAACACCACACCTTCCAAATGCGGTCACCAGTGCGTTCCACGTGGGTGAGCACCTCCGAGTCGTCGACTTCGACGTCTGACTGACCACGTATCTCTGCTTTCAGCTTCCTTTTCTCTGGCGGTCAATTATTTCATTGTATGATTTAAAATTGACTTCAAGAGTGTGCTTCTCAGTTTTCCAAATCTCCGTCAAATACGTGCTATTGAGCCCAATCTCGTGTTGACCAAAGATGTCATTCTGGGATGAGATTCGCAAAGTTCCTCCAGTGACTCGCTTTTTATGTGGGTCTTCTCTGGCGGTCACGTTGCCTGTCATGTTGCAGGTGCTCTCGCCTTATCATGTCGTGTTCGTGCAGGAGCTGGTGACGAGGAGATACGAGGTACGTGCACTCCCCGTTCTACCAGATTCTGATGGTTCGAGTGAACATCACAATGGCGCACTGTATATGCTGAGGCAGACCTCACGTTTACTCGTGACTTCTGTGCAGCCTGATCGCTTGCGCCACTGTGTACTCGCACCTGTATAGTTATACTTTGGATCGTGCTGATCGTGGACACAGCTATGGCGCGTGTTCACCAGTTTCTTCCTCGGGAGTAAGTGTCGCGTATCTAGGGTTGTAGTCGATTGATACTTATTTCACATTCTACAGGTTCGGGGATAAACTACATTTTCGACATCGTAATGTTGTAGTGCGTGAATCTACCGTATCCCTCCTCCATGAAGTCTTGTTGACGAGGGCCGGTGAAGCCGCAACTCAAATGAACTCGAATCGTCGCAATATGCCGGGCGTTCCGCAGACTACGGTTGGCAACTCCTGCTCGTTGGTGTCTCCATTATTGTGCGTTCTTCAGTTTCGTGGTCGAGAATTCGTGGCGCTCATGCCACACAATCTACAGGCTCTCAATCTACCGCTGCGTTCCGTAGTACACACGCGCCCACTACTACTTGCCCTGACCTACCTGTCATCGCGTCTTGCACCCGCAGGCAGTCAGACATCCCTTTTGGGGCTCATCAATTTCCCTCTGCTCTACCTTCCTTACGTTCTGATCGGCCTTGACCTCATAATGGGAGGCCCTGGAGCTGCCGCACAGAGCTTAACCGGAGTTGTGGCGGGACACCTATGGTGGTGGGGTGTGTGGGATACCGGCGCGTTGAGGGGGCTTGGAAGCGCACCAGGGTGGATGCAGGCGTTGGTTGGCAGTGGAAGCGCACCTGGCGGGGGTGCCGCCGGTGGAGGTGGAGGTAGAGGTGGAGGTGCCGGTGGAGGCGTCCACGTCGTTCCACCAAGACAGGTTAGGGAGCAGCGAGAGAGCGCGCATCGGTGGGGAAGCGGACATCGTTTGGGAGAAAGTTGATCATTAACTTCAGCTTGATGTTGGGTATCTATCCCTTACATGATTTGTTGACCTGTTGCTGATTATTACGTTGGGGCATGTATAAGATCGTCGCACTGTTTATCCTCCCTGCGATTGGCTTGATATTCAGTCTAAGAACCCGAGACTTCTGTTGACTGAGATTGTGAGTGTCGTTCTTTAAAATGCGGATTGCATGGATTTTTGACAAGCACTTAGACGATTGGTGACATAGTATTTGGCACGGACCATCAGCGGTGTTTGCGAACGTTTGTATCCTTGTGTGCGAATCAGCCTTGTGATCAACGACTACTACTGCGCATACTGTATATAACGCCACATCGATTACTGCAACCATTTGTACCCGTCTCAAGCCGCGCTGGAATCATGCATTTGTATAATTTGACACTACAGCCGCCAACAGCTATTAACCAAGCTGTGGTTGGCAACTTCTCGGGAGGGCGTCAGCAAGAGATTGTCGTCTCATATGGTACAAGGGTTGGCTTCATATGCCCAGATCCTGACACCGGAAAGCTTGTCACGGTGAGTGAAAGTGACGTCTTTGCATCGATCCGCTCCCTTGCGTCCTTCCGCTTGACCGGCGGAACGAAAGGTATGTGTCTGCGTGTTACCTCACGTCTGTCCTTCCGATGCTGATGTCGTTGCAGATTATGTCGTTGTCGGATCTGACTCTGGGCGCATAGTGATTCTCGACTACGATCCGAAGACTGGCACCTTCGTGAAGCTGCATCAAGAAACCTTCGGGAAGTCTGGTGCACGCCGTGTAGTGCCTGGCCAGTATTTGGCTACGGATCCCAAGGGCCGCTGCGTCATGATATCTGCTTTAGAGAAAAGCAAACTCGTTTACGTCCTCAACCGAGATACTACATCCAACTTGACGATATCGTCACCGTTGGAAGCCCATAAGAACATGGCCATAGTACACCACATTGTTGGTCTAGACGTCGGTTTTGAGAACCCCGCATTCGCAGTTTTAGAGGTCGATTACGCAAAGTCCGATCAGGATCCAACTGGCGAAGCCTTTCAGAATGTAGAGAAGGTAAGTGGTGCATACCATCTAACTCATATATGAGTTACCACACATTCCTGCAGATGTTGACCTACTACGAGCTCGATCTCGGTCTCAATCACATTGTTCGTAAATGGAGCGAACGAACAGATTCTCGCGCAAATCTCCTCGCTCAGGTTCCTGGTGGACAATTGACTACTTCTGAGCGATTTGACGGTCCGTCGGGTGTATTAGTGTGCTGCGAAGACCATATCATCTACCAACACATGAATGCACCTCAGCATCGGGTACCGATCCCTCGAAGGGAGCATCCACTTGAGGATTCATGCCACGGGCTTTTGATAGTGTCCGTAGTGATGCACAAGTTGAAGGTGCGTGCTCTGTTCATTGACAGAAGCGTAGTATGTCCCTGACTTTCTGAGTTCAGGGCAGTTTCTTCTTCCTTCTGCAGAGCGAGAAGGGAGACTTGTACAAAGTGACCATTGAACATGAACATGAGAACGTGAAGGCTCTCAAAATCAAATATTTCAGTACAGTGCCTGTATCTTCTAGTCTTTGTATCCTGAAGTCCGGTTTCCTCTTTGTGGCTTCGGAATTTGGTAATCAGTTGAGTGGATTTATATTCAAGTGCAGTCTCTGCTTATTGGAAGCAGTCTTCTTTATCAGTTCCAAAAGCTCGGAGATGAGGATGGCGAGCCGGAGTTTTCGTCGACATCATACCCGTCCTTTGGCATGCAAGCTCCTGCTGAGCCACTGCCCCGTGCTTACTTCAAGGCTTGCGACGTCGATAATCTCGTCTTGGTGGATGAGGTGGACTCACTGAATCCCATACTTGATGCCAAAGTGATGAATGTGCTGCCCCATTCTACTCCTCAGATAATTACTGCGTGTGGTAGAGGAGCTAGAAGTTCCCTCCGAACGCTTCGGCATGGTCTCGACGTAGAAGAAATAGTCGATTCTGTCCTTCCTTATGTCCCGAATGGTGTGTGGACGGCGAAGAAAAAGCGCGACGGTGCGTGCCCTTATTTCTTTTGCGTTATTCTGCTGGAAGCTCACTCAAGTGCCAAGATACTTATGATTCCTACATCATCCTATCGTTCACTAATGGTACACTAGTTCTCGCCATCGGTGAAAACATAGAAGAAATACAAGACACAGGTTTTCTTTCTTCCGTACCTACACTCGCCGTGCAACAGATCAGCGAAGACACTCTCCTCCAAGTCCATTCCCGTGGGATACGACATATCTTGGCTAGTCGGCATGTCTCAGAGTGGAGCGTACCTGAGGGCAAAGCTATTGTTGCTGCGACCACGAATAGGCGACAAATAGTTGTGGCTCTGAGTTCTGCAGAGCTAGTTTACTTTGAGCTTAACTCCGATGGACAACTCAACGAGTACCAAGAAAGGAAGGCTATGGGCAGTACTGTTCTGGCTATGAGCGTCGGAGAAGTGCCAGAGAGTAGACAGAGAATGCCTTATGTGGTACGTCGATTGATATTCTTTAATGCCTCGCATCTGATGTCCAGCAGGCTGTAGGTTGCGAAGACCAGACTGTTAGAATCATCTCACTCGGACCGGAGACTACGCTTGAAACTATCAGCCTGCAGGCACTGACTGCTCCGCCGTCATCTATCAGTATGATCAATTTACTGGACAAGAGTATCAACAAGTCTCTCCCCACGACATTCGTGTACATCGGTTTGCAAAACGGCGTGCTACTTCGCACAGTCCTCGATGTTGCCGATGGCCGGCTGACTGATACCAGGACGCGGTGCGTCGTGACCCCATTGTGATGGACAGACAGACTAGAATTATGCGTGTTTGTTCCCCAGTTTTCTTGGCACCCGGTCTGTGCGCCTTGTACGAGTTGAGGTCCAGCGTACGCCAGCTATTCTGGCACTTTCCTCCCGGATGTGGTTGAACTACACATATCGAGACTCCATGCACTTCACGCCACTCCTATCGGAGCCGTTCGAATTTGCGTCAACGTTTTCTTTCTCGTCTTGCCCAGAAGGATTTATTGGAATAGCAGGGAACACACTTCGGTGAGTAGGTTCAATCTGGCGCTGAGATCTGCAGGTGTTACTGACGTCGTCGACATCATATTAGTATACTCCAAGTACCCAAGCATGGGAGCGAGCTGAAGCAGAACAGTGCCCCGCTGTCGTACACGCCGCGCAAAATCGTGTCGCATCCGGAGAACCACTACCTGTATCTCATTGAAAGCGACCATCGCACTTGGAGCGAAAGCGCCGCCAGAAGTCAACTGACAAAGCAGGTTAGCATCTCTATGATACTGCGTCAGAGACATTTCTCATTGAATACCGGCAGCAAGAGGGGTTGTTACTATCCGGAGAGATAGGCAAGGGCTTAGGAAATCTATTGAACGTAAAGGCGCCTGCAGGTATCTGGGCTTCGTGCATACGAATTGTCGATCCAGTTCAGGTGAGTGAGTGGCCCATCAACAGCGGATAGTTTGATCACCTGTTTCAGAACAACACTGTCGCCGTCATTCCGTTGGACAACAATGAAGCCGCGTTCTCGCTTGCCGTCGTGCCGTTCACCGTCCTCGGTGGTGAGTTGCGCCTGGTTGTCGGCACAGGTCAGGACACTGTTCTCGCGCCGCGCTCGTGTACACGCGGCTTCTTTCACACGTATTGCTTTACCATGGACGGAGCAGGATTAGAACTCCTGCACAAGGTGAGTGCGATGCGGAGTCTCACATAATGTTCTAACTTATATTGGTTGGCAGACTGAAACCCGAGATATACCCCATGCTATTATGCCATTCAACGGAATGCTTGTTGCTGGAGTTGGCAGTGCTCTTGGAATTTATGATACTGGAAAGAAGCAGCTACTCCGGAAGGCTGAGAACCGCGTGAGTCGCAATGTCGCTTATACGCTCTCTATTCTGATGTCCCGTCCGTAGAACTTCACCTCAGCCATCGTGACGCTCAGCACACAAGGTCACAGAATCCTGGTAGGAGACATGCAGGAATCTGTCTCATTCGCCGTCTACAAGCCTCCTGAGAATCGATTGCTGGTATTTGCTGACGACACACAAGCACGATGGGTTACCGCGCAAGCTATGCTGGATTATACCACAGTCGCTATCGGTGACAAATTTGGTAACATCCTTATCAATCGGTTGGACATGATGCTATCGGACAAGGTCGATGCCGATTCCACCGGCGCTGGTATCCTGCAACGAAAGGCCAACCTGATGGGCGCACCTCTCAAAACCCAGATGCTGTGTCATTTCCATGTCGGAGACATAGTCACGTCAATTCAAAACGTTGCGTTGGTTGTGGGTGGACATCAGGTCGTGCTGTATACAGGTCTGCATGGGACCATCGGCATCCTCGTGGCACTCGTGTCCAAGGAAGACGTTGACTTCGTCTCGACACTTGAGCAGCATATGCGGTCGGAGCAGCTTAGTCTGGTGGGCAGGGACCACCTTGCCTGGAGAGGGTACTACGTCCCTGTGAAGGCAGTAGTCGACGGTGATCTGTGCGAGATGTTTGTGCGACTGCCGGCAGCTAAGCAGCGCGCTGTTGCCGCGGAGTTGGATAGAACGGTGGGCGAGGTGCTCAAGAAATTGGAGCAGCTGCGTGTGATGGCAGGCGGGTTCTAGCAGTGTGCGATCGGTTGGATGTTGGTCGCACGCCCGGTGGCGAAGATTTGGCTGGTTGCAATATCTCGTGTCATGTTGTCAAATCTTCGTGTTATGTGCCCAGAAAATAATCAGACAGCTGCAGAAGTTCAGTGAAGGAGGTGGTGGAAGGGAAGGACGAAGTGTAAGAGGAAGTTCTTTATCTCTGGGCTAATTACCTTCTGAGGTCGCAACGCGACGTGACCATCCACGTGAAGTGTGACAAGCGTTATCCAATATCCACGTAGTTTACATTCACGTGAATTTATATTCTGTGGGCATCTCCTCGTTCAGAACCCCGCCAAGAAGGTTCTTCACAGCCAGTGTCGCCATGCCTAACCGCGTCTCCGTCGTCGCACTGCCTATGTGAGGGAGCACGATGCACCTGTATGAAATTACAGTGAATTCCATCAAAACAGCAGGCCAGGTGCTACATACCTCGGCTCCTTGATGAGCGGATGGTCCACAGTAATGTTCGGTTCCCCTTCCACGACATCCACCCCCGCGCCCCATATCCAGCGCTCGCGGCACGCCTTCGCCAGGGCGTCCGAGTCAACCAGCGGGCCCCTGCTCGTGTTCACCAACACGGCGGAGTTCTTCATCTGCTTGAGGAACGCCTCGTTCACCACGTGGAATGTGCTTTGTCCGCCAGGCGCCAGCACGAACACCACGTCGCTCTCGCGCGCGAGCTCGTCCAACGCGACCCGCCGCACGCTGCGCAGGCCAAACTTCTCTGCGAGCGCTGCATCAAGGGTGGGATCCGCAGCTGAAGACGGGTTTCCTGTGTACACGCAGTGGGTGAAACCGAATGGGACAAGTCGAGTGAGCGTTGCCTGCGCGATGCGCCCGAAGCCGATGAAGCCTGCGGTGCGGATCGGGTTAACGGAGTTTGCGCTCAGCTGTGGACCGCAGAATGCAAACGGCGCCCAAGGGTTATTCGGCCACTGTAAGAGAGGCTAAGCAAAGAAATGATTGATACGTAGATGCACTGCACCTCTCCGTTCCTCACAACCGCAGTGGCAATTCCGACGTCCCGGCCCACCATGAGCGCAAGCATGACAGACACATCGGCGACTATTGCAAAGGTTTATCTGAAATTGCCCAGGAAAATGGAACATGACGGGTACCTGCTTCTGTTAAGATATCGGGCGTGTATCCCAACCTGATTCCTCGCTTTCCCAGCTGAGAAACGTCCACATGCTCTGGATGACGTCTAGCGTCTAAGACGATGGTGCAATGCAGCATCATATTGAACGCGCACCATAGCCGACGGACATGGTCGAAACGACACGGAGGCCAGCTCCAGCTGCCGACGATGGTCAGCAACAGCATCAAGACCATGAAAACCTGCTGACATACCTGCATCCAGTAGCTCAGCGTCAACCTAAGCTCAGAAGGGTCAGTCGGGCACCAGACACTCCCTGAATACTCCAATAGCACTGATACCCACCTTGTCCGAAAGCATAATCAACAGCCCGGTCGCACCAACAACGTTACTCAGTAGCCACTTCCTATGACAAGCTTTCGTCTCCGATGGCCACGCGACGACCTGCGTATTCAACCGGGTTACATCACAGGCTCTAAAACAAACGCACGATCGCTAACACTCACGTCAATATCCGGCCGGTCAAGCATGGCCATCACCTCCGCCCCCAAATGGCGCGCAATCACGACTTTTGGACGGCTCATCGTGCTCGCGCTGGTGCTGAGATGCGCAAGCAAGGACGTCAGACGGCGCGAGACGGACGGGAAAGCCATGCCGTTACTGGGCTATGTAGCCTGCCTGCGCCTCGGAGTCAAGAGTCCCGGGGTTCCTTGCTGGCTGGGATAGTACAGTAGTACCACGGCAGCCCGCTGTGGTCTATACAGCGGTCGTTCTGCGCCCGGGGGCGGGCCGTGACGATCCGGGGAGCTACTAACTACGGACGACTTCGAATTCCTCTGTGGATGAGAGAGCGGTCGATTGTTCGGATTCGATTGGCGCCCAGCGGGCGCCTGGTCACGTCACGTCCAGCCGAAGGGCCCCAACTTCCGGATCTTTGAAATCCAATTAGTAAACATACTTAGGTTTCATTAGAGACATTTGTTGACATTAGAAACCCTCCCGTAATTCGGCAGTGGGATAAGGCAATTGGCGCCCAGTGCCCGACGCCCGACATCCGACTGGCACCGCGGCGCCGTCCTCTTTCGACACTGATGATTGCGTGGAACGTTCAGCGCATTGAACATGTTAATACTAGTACTTGCAGCCTGCACGACATCACCGTATGTGTTGAGATTGTCATTGGAGTATGGGCTAGGGCTACCGGAACACCCCCGACCAACATCCAGGCAACGGCCCAAGACACTACAATCTACTTACAAGACTTTACTGACTTATTGCAAATGGGGCCGACTACTCCGGCGTAAGTACAACTAAAAATCGAGGTGATGTGACATGAGCGCCCGCAGGGCGCCAATCGAATCCGAACAATCGACCCTACACTCTCTGTGGATGCCAGTTGAACTTGGGTAATCACCAGTAAGATCACTCAATATTCGGTTAACATTCCCCCGTTCAGCGGGTGATTTCAAGCAGTCTAAGAGTCACCCATTTTCCGAGTACCACACTTCAGGTATCTATGAATGATGCAAAATCTGCCTTAAATGTCGGAATACTCTGAGCGCCCATATAGTGTCACGATTTAGTCACAATTTCATTGAATATCCTTGAGTTACAAATTTTGTTGCCTTTTAAGGCCATTATATGGTTTTGTCCCGAAGAAAAATGCCCAAAAATGGTTTAAATGGTACTCAATGAAAATGTGATGCATTGTGACTGTCACTTTTTGGTCACATTGCCATCAAGTACCATTTAAACCATTTTTGGGCATTTTTCTTCGGGACAAAACCATATAATGGCCTTAAAAGGTAGTCTAGTGCAAGGGAGACCCCAATCATAGGGCCTGCGGCTTTCGGAAGTCACCGGTGCATGTGACTTGAGTAAACGCGCCCTCGAAAATACTAAAACACCACATTAACATGCACCGAAAGGGTAATAAAAGATGCAGGAGACAAGAAGAATACCAGTCCTAAAGTTCCCTAGAAGTTTTTGTGGATGTAACGTGCTGCTGTTGTATTGCAGGGCACAAGTACCAAGCGGTACTTGTGCCCTAATCTTATCTAATCTCATCATGTATTACATAATTGTTGTGTACTATTTGTATGCGCTCTGCGTGTATCGAGCGCACGTCGGTGTGTTGAAGTCAGAGACTTAACACACCACGACCTTGATACACGCACGACGCTCCAGAATAGAGCTTGGTGCACTGTATCTGAGGTTCGGTGTGATAAGGCCTCGCCCCCCATTATACTTTTTTACAGTCCATTTCGCCCTGCGAAAAATTCTATTCGACAGTGAAGACCCCCATCAAGAAATCAAGAACCTTAACTTGCCACCCAATGGCAAGTCAAGGCCCCAAAAACACACGAATAACATGCTCCCAGTCAAGACAGGCAGAGCACGCGGCTCTGGCAGACATGGCCGAGAGCGCACCCAATGATGGCATGCACGCGGACACTGGCACACCAGCCCCAGAAATAACGGACCGTGGGCAAGAACTGGCATCACCAGCCCCACGATCCCCTACACTGTCGTACGTCGAACCCCCCCACTCAACACGAGGAGGCCGAACGGACGAGCAGTGGCGGGAACCCGCCTCTGGCCGTAACGTCAGAACGCCGGTGAGATCCACTGGATCTCATCAGGCCAGTGAAGAAACAGAAACAACGAGAATGGGAAGGACACCACGACATCCTTCGCATTACTCGCAGAGATTTCCGTCCCCGACCCTGCCAGCGCAACCGACCTCTTCCTTAGCGGACGAATTACGTCGCGCTAAGGATAGAGCCCCAGGAAGCACTGCAAGCACGAGTTCGTCTGAATGCGTGTGCAGAGAGAGAGCCTGAGAGGCACTCCAGCGGGCTCGAGAAGAAGCGAACCGCGAGCTCGACGAACTACAAGAAAAACAAGAACGTGAGATGCAGGCCATTCGTGAGGCATACGAATGGACCCACTACGCGCAGAACGAGCAGTTTGAAAAAATAATGGACGAACTCGAAAATTCCTCAGGAGACGAAGTTGACCCAGTGGATCAACCCGTCCCCTCAGGAACGAGGAACTCCATCGAGGAGATAGCGGTAGAGCAAGGATTATACCCCTCAGAGGTCGAGGACCCGATGGCTGGTGCTCCCGATATAGTTATCGAGAGCGCGTACCGTCGGTTGGCCTGACCACAGCAAGAGGGAGAGCCAGACGAGGAATACAATCGAAGGGTGTTAATATACACCAGATACTTGGACCGGATGGCCTCAGAGTCCGAAAGGGCGTTAAGGGCATTCAGAGTACAACCACCAGTATCATCGACACCTCGCCCGACGTGGGGATCACTCCAATCCGGAACAGCTCCAGTAGCAGCTCCTGAAGAAGACCCTGGAAGTGATGATTCAAACGACTCCAGTCCATACCCCGGAGATGATGGGAATAACTCCGACCATTTCAGAAGAAATGGTCGAAGGCCCACAATGCCACCCCGGGGACACCGACCTGGAGGACAATGGCTACCGCGATCCAATGGATCGACTCCACCACCACTGCCTCCTCGACCAACGCGACCTGCAGGACCTGAATACCCCCGTGGGCCGCAAGGGCAGCCCATAATGAGAACGAACACGTGATCTGCAGGACCGACATACGGTCCTGCAGTGAATGCAACGACGACTACGCAACAGCCCAACGTTACTCAGAACGTAACATTCCAATCGGGAGTGACACAGCCAAACCTGGCAGTCCCTACCGCAGTGAACCGACCCCCTCGATTCCCGGGAATGAGTACAACAGCCGCACCAGGTACGCACGCAGGCCACGCGACCATACAATGATCTCATGGCCCAGGAGCGATACCTCCGGATACGTCTCCCGCAATCGAGAGGATCCATACAATGGTGGACGAGATGGTATCAAGAGATCCCATCGACGAACCACCAGCATACCTTAGAGTCACCAAGATGCCTCCACCACCGCAATACGACGGGAAGGACGATCTTAATGCATTCGAGGTCTGGCTACAGAAATTGCTGGAATACTTCAAGACTCTCCGCATCACTGGCAATGCCATGGATGCGGATCGCCTATGGATATTGGGGCAAAGTCTTAAAGACGACGCCGCTAACTGGTTCTTTCTGAACGTGCAGTCACCGAACCGTGAAGTACGACAGTGGTACTTCGAGGATGCAGTGACGCACCTCCACCGACGATTCCTACACAAGGACTCGGAGCTGATAGCATCCGAGAAGTACGACAAGGCGACGTACAGCTTATCACGCGGAGGTGTGAGCGAGCTATACAACAGGCTATTACACCACGCAGATCGCATGGTGCAATACCCAATGGAATATGCATTCCGGAAGAGGTTTATGGACGCATTACCGCTACCAATGGTAGAAGTAATGCGTCTAGCCCACCTACTATCGCCTGAGAAACACACCATCGATGCACTGTATCGATCGGCTTTGGCGATCGAACAGGGCAACGGATGGCTGGACCAATACCGTACATACAAGGACCGCCGACAGCCTCAGAAGACCGGGGACCATACGGGGACCCGGAGTTCAAGTAAGGCTGTGTCATTCCTCGCGCCGATGATATCATCGATGGGAGATACACGACCTAGCTACCGCCCGCAAGGACAAGGACAAGGAGGGGCACACCCAGGACATGCACGGCAGGCCGGTAATGCTGGCCGTAGAATGACAAACCCATGCGACGGACAACGTCATGGGGGCGGTCGTCCTACTACAAACCTGGCAGTCTCGGGATTGAGACCACCAGCGAATAACAAGGCGACGAACGCAAACGTCACTTGTTATTCTTGCAGTGGCAAGGGCCACTTCTCGACAGACCCGACGTGCCCGAACTACGGTAAACCTTGGCCAGCGCGACTACACGCACAATGTGTAGTCGATGACCACTCCGAGGATGAGGAACAAGCAAACTAAGAACCAGCGGAACCGGAGACTACAGTTCAGGAGCCGGCTCCACAGGAGACGACTCCTGAAACTGACAGAAACGAAGGGCCCTACCAGAACGACACAGGATACCAGACATATCCTGAGTCGGACTGGGCCCCAGAGGGATCACAGTACTCATCGGCAGATGAGCGTGAACCCCCATCTGGAGACGATGGCTGGAACGATGACTACGACATTCGCCTGGGATCAATGAGATTCGGCGCCATGCATCAACACAAGCCTGGAAAGTGTACGCAGACCGTACACCTCCACGCTAGTGAACACGCAACAGACGCACGATCCTCGAGGAATGCATGGCTGTACAACTCACGCGTACGATGCCTGACCGATCCAGCCATGCAGCCTCAGAGAAACCCGCAGACACAATGAACACTATGTGCAGAGGTCCTGATCAATGGGATCAAGACCTATACACTATTCGACTCGGGGTGCACAACGGACTCCATTTCTCCGGAAATGGCGTACATCTCGAAGGCGGACCGAATTGACCTGGACGACCAAATAGGTCTCCAACTGGGCACCAAGGGAAGCAGGACGCGCATCAATTATGGTGCACGACCCACAATCTCCATAGGCCCAGTAAAGGCACAACACTACCTAGACGTCGTCGATATCGATAGATACGATGCTGTACTAGGCACAGTGTTCATGCATAAATATGGCGTGGTCCTCGACTTCGAGAACCGCACCATATCGATCCAATGGCAAAAAATACCGACCTACGTGGAAGTGGACAAGGCCACAATCATTGCGAATCGCAAGGATATGTCGCACTCACACTACCGCGTGCACAACAACGTCAGTACCGTTACCGCCATCACCTCAGACAACCCGCAATAGGACCCCGCAATGAGACCAATGGCCGCAAAGCCGCCCCAGTCTCATGGTGCGAAACCGGGGACAGTCCTAAGAGGGGAGGGGAATGATGGAAATGTCAAGGTGAAAGAAAAATCAACCACGAGAAACAGGAAACAGCCCAAAAAGGACTGTTTCCCTGACATCTCGGAGAAGTTCGCACCGACTAGACACTCGATGGATGAACCAAGATGGGACCAGTTCGGTCAGCCAAACCCATTAGGTCTAAATGACTTAATGGTGTTCGAACTGAATGAACATCGTAAAGATGAAGAAATTCGCGCCACGCTTGTAGAACCATCAGATGCAACAGCATCTGAGGAGAAACTACAAGAACGCTGAAAAGCCTGGATTGAGAAGATGAAGGACATAATGTGTCCCCCGCCCCCAATCCTTCCACCGTTCCGTGAGATCAACCATCGAATACTGCTCATCAATGACGATGAGCAGTATCGACTGTGATTACCAAGATGTGCCGATGCAATGAAGCCATTGCTCCTAACGAAAATCCAACGATACCAGGACACTGGCTGGTGGGAGTCCAAGCAGGCTCCCCAGGCAGCACCCATGATATGCATTATGAAGAAGAGTGGAAAATTACAGACAGTTGTTGATGCGCATAAACACAACGACAACACCGTAAAGGACGTAACTCCATTCCCAGACCAGGACCAGATACGCATGGACGTGTCTCGTGCCAAATACCGGTCGAAGATTGACTTGTCCGACGGTATGAACAAATACGGGTGGCAGCAGAGGACGTCCGGAAAACAGCATTCTCCACCCCATACGGTACATTCGTAAGTCACGTCATGCAACAAGGTGATTGCAATGCCCCAGCGACATTCCAAAGCCTCATGACGTTGATATTCCGTGACTGCATCGGACGATACATTCACATATACCTTGACGACATATTCGTGTTCTCCGATACAATCGAAGAGCACGAACGCCACCTGGAAATCGTATTCTGTAAGCTGAGGGAGGCAAAGCTCTACCTTAGCGAGACGAAGTGCGACCTATATTCATGGAGCATGGACTGCCTAGGTCATCTAATCGATGACCAAGGACTCCACGCAGACTCAGACAAGATGAGCCGTATTCGCGAATGGCGAATACCCCGATCTTACAAAGAAGTACAACGCTTCCTAGGGCTCGTGAACTACCTAGGACACTTCATGCCCGATGTAACGGCGTACACCTCGCCATTGTCGGACATGGCTCACAATGACCGAGCATTCGTGTGGTGCCCAATGCACACCAAATGCTTTGAAATGATCAAAGCTTTGGCGTGCAAGGCACCCATCCTGAAGCCAATTGACCCACGTCAACCAGAACCCATCTGGGTGATATCTGATGTGTCACTATACAGTGTTGGAGCGATGTATGGACAGGGACCAGACTGGCGAACCTGTCGCCTGGCTGGCTTCCTGTCGAAGAAATTCACGAGTGCGCAACATGCTTATAAGACCTATGAGCACGAGGCACTCACGATACTGGAAGCTCTCCTCAAATGGGAGGACAAACTACTTGGCCGACCAATAATGATCGCGACCGACCATCAGACATTGAAGTATTTCGAAGGCGTAACCAATCCAATGAATCGACAGATTCATTGGAATGAGTACATGTCTCGATTCCAATACAAAATCCAGTACATAGAAGGCGCGACCAATAAGGTCGCGGACTGTCTATCTAGGTACTACGAGAACAACAATGCGGATGAATTCGCACCCATCCAGGACTATGCGAATGCAGACGCTCGTCTAGACCCTGAGTGGGATGACCTACTATCCAACCGTATTGCTGAGCTGCGCACCGGAACAATCCAGCACTCAGCACAGCTGCCCAAGGAGGTGCAGGAGTCAAGGGATCAGGAGGCCAGCGAAATGGCCTCCCACCTGCCCCTAGTAACACCAACCACAGGTGCAAAGGACGAGGATCCGACGATTGCCAAATCACGCACCAACGGACCTCCACTGAAGGCCCACTTGGAACAGGATACCCCATTCGTGGCCGCCGTCCAAAAGGGCTACGGCAAGGACCCATTATTTAGGAAGGTCGTTGAATCCCTAACGGAATTCAGCGCCTTCGTAATCCGGGACAAGACAATATATACTAAAAACTGCCAGGATGAAGAAGTTATCTGCATCCCGAGGGTTCTGTACCATCATCGAATGATGACTGAGATCATCATCGATAGAGGGCACACGACCATAGGACACTACGGCCCACAGAAGATGTCGGAATACATCCGACGGTGGTTCTGGTGGCCTAGGATCGGACGCGATATCGAAAAATTCTGCGTGATGTGCGGGGCCTGCCAAACGGCAAAGCCTCGCAATCACCTGCAAGCAGGATTACTTCATTCCTTGCCGATTCCATGGTTTCTGTGGAATTCGATAGCAATGGACTTCGTCGGTCCATTTCCGCGATCAAAGGGATATGACTACCTATGGGTAGTCATATGCCGCCTTACATCAATGGTACATCTGGTCCTCGTGAATATGACGAGCACGGCCTTGGACATAGCTGAGCTCTATGTCCGAGAAATTGTGCGACTACATGGGATGCCCGAGTCCATCGTCTCGGACCGGGACTCGAAGTTCACGTCGAAATTTTGGCGTGAACTACATCGACTCCTGGGTGTGAAGCTACTCATGTCGACGTCATTCCATCCGCAAACTGACGGGCTGTCTGAGTGGACCATCCGATTGGTATCCCAAATCCTACGGTCCATCGTGTCTCCCAATCAATTAGATTGGATAGACCAGATCCCGATGGTTGAGTTCGCATTGAACTCAGCCATGAGCGCAACCACAGGATTTGCCCCATTTGAACTTAATTATGGATACTTGCCGCGAATGATTGGAGGCCTGCATGGAACCACGAAATTCGTGGGTGTGCAGGAATTTGCCCAATGAGCATTGGCCAACCTCGAGATGGCGCACGACGCCATCATCAAGAGCTGTACACACCAAATGTTCTAAGCCAATAAACTACGGCAGGAGGAGCTGGAGTTTACTACTGGATCAAAGGTGTATCTATCCACGCAGAACCTCGCACTACCTAAGGGTCGTGCGAGGAAGCTGATGCCCAAATTTATTGGACCATACGAGATCACCGACGTTCATGCGGCAACCTCTAACTACACATTAGAATTGCCGCAAGAACTGAAGGACCGGCATATCCTACCTATATTCCATGTTTCGCTACTCCGACGACATGAGTCCAATGACGACGTGTTGTTTCCGCACCGTGAGGCAAAGTCGTACTACGACTTTGGCGACGATGCGGAAACGGAATGACTAGTGGATGAAATTGTAGGCCATCGCTGGGATGGCAATAAGATCGAATTCCATGTGCGATGGATGCTAGGTGACCATACATGGGAGCCATACGCCCACTGCAAGGAATTGGCCGCGCTCGACGAGTACTTCACACTAATGGGTGTGAAGGACTGGAGAGCGCTGCCGTGCAAGACCGCGCCACCTGTGAAATGAAAGAAAAAATAACCATAAGTGGAGGACCGGACGCGTATAACATCAAAGGATGTATGCGTCATGTCCACGTGACAGACCACGTGAGACACCGGCACTTGCCCATGTAACTACACGTGTGGCAAGGCCACCACTCTCACACTCCTACCACCATGTCCCAACCAACCCTGCCTATGGAAACCGACGACGATGAGGCGACAACAAGCCGCCCCGCCACACAACAGCAAGGCCGACCAAGGTCGACATCCCCACAGCTCCAATTCAGAACCGCGGTGATGCCACAGGCCCTACAGCAACCACCATTGCCACCGATCGCGATACGATCGATGGCGGCCCCAGCGATCGCAACTACATCAACAACCACAGCACCCACGGGTGCTGGGAACACAGCAGTGATGGAATGGTGGGTCTCTTTTGGGACCCACCAGTTCACGCTATACCACACGGAGGCGTGTGCCGTGTGCTACAGCTACCTCCAACACATCGCGATGGCACGCAACACGGCCCCCTGTCAGGAAGCCCACACAGATGCACTCAATGCTGAGCAGCACCTGTTCTGGGAGCACTTCCAGACCTACACAGCCTCAGAAGGGGGAGGACGTGATGATGTTCCCATGCAGCAACGCAACATGGAGCTGCAAGCGCAACTCGGTGTGGCAGAAACAGAAGCAACCACACAGCGACGACAGGTCGACGACCTACTAAGGAAGCATGAACGCCTCCTCAGGCTGATCGCGTCAAGTTCCCGACCTCGATTGCCCCTGGACTATCGCGGGCAACCGAGTGGGGCTCCACGGAGACAACCATCTCCACTGGAATACCTACCTCCCCTGAGGGAGCAAAGGTATTCCCCCCCATCAACGAACAGCAGCTCGCGCCGGTACTCACCGCCATCGAATGCGAGCGGATCGCGACGTCGATCCTCGGTGCGATACTCGACCGGGGGAGCACAGCGATACGTGCCCTACGCTGCAGCGAGTAGGCCGAGCTCGGCCACACACCACACTCCGGGAATGCCCCCGCCACCGAGACACATGCCCCCAGGGCCACCACCAAGGAGTGGTGCCCCTGGACCACTGACCGGTCCTACATCAGGACTGCCGGCTGGCTACGTTCTGCGACCTCCAGTTGGTCCCGCTCCTGCCCCTGTAAAGTCGCGCGTGCAGCGGGCCTACGAGCACATCGACAATGACGAGTCAGAGTCGGAGCCGTCCACAGACAGCGACAATGAGCCCAATGACGTCGAGGTCCAGCGGCTCAACAAACAGCGTCAGAGGAACCATGGCCCGATGAACCTGCCCAGGCAAGGAGCATCGAGGAGCGATGGCAAAGGGAAGACAGTGCCGCGGCCGTCAGACACCGATAACGATGTCTCGCCGGCCCCGCACAACTGGCTCGATTCGTTCCCCCTCCTGGTCAACACGCAACCGTGGAAGGCGACCAAGTGGTACAACTTTGTACCTCGGTACGTCCGCGACTTGCAGCGCATCATTGATGTGGCACACAGTGGCGACGATGGCGCGCGCACCTGGGCGACCGACCTCATCCGGCAGATGCAGCAAGATGGACGCTTGACTGCGTCCCACGGCATGATGAACCTACTCATGTCGTGGTGACATCATGGCAGCTCCGGAGTGATACATCCGCCGACGGTTCCCCCTCCCCGTCGGATGACCAACCCCACCAGCTCGTCAACGTTCGACGAGTGGGTGGCGTGGTATGCACAGAACCTGAGACAGATTCACTGGGCCATCAGGCACTTGAACAATGACCGCTCGGAGGCCCCACTACACCAGGACCTGGAGGCGATGTGGCTTGCACATCACATGGCCCCCATCATCCCACCCGGTGTACCAGCGACAGCCCACAATGTGTTCATTGAGCACACTGCAGAGCTGTTCTCCATCCCCGGGCTGTACGTGTGGATCTACAGGTCGGACATTACCCCGTGGCAAACAACAACGAGCTGGCCCCATTTCCCCACTCATCCGCCCAAAACTCGTCCATATACGATGTTGCGCGATGGTACGCTGCCCGCGGGTTCCATCCCATGCGGATTGGATTCCTCGAGGAGTTCCACCATCGACACCGCAACTACATCCTTGGACGGGTTCTCGAAGACATGACCCCATTCAAGGGACACTTCCCGGCAGACCTTCGTGACGGACGCACTCGGCCGGTACCCCCGACCCATGAGTTGTTATCACTCGTCGACGAGGACATGGCGATGCAGCCGCCAGACCCCGAACCACCCACACCCGGTGCTGGCAACGCCCCTGCTGGCAGCAGTCAGCTGGGCCCCAACCCCGGAGCGACCCCCGAGGCTGATGACCCTGACCACGACATGGGCAGCCACTAGCTCACGCTGGCATGCCCCCCATTGATGTGCCACTGTGGGCCACGGCTGGGGACGTGATGCGTACCCTCCATGTGCCCACAACCCGCCTGTGTGTTCTGGCCGTGTCTGTTGTCGCCTTCACCTGTCACCTTGCCTCGTCCTACCGTACCGCCTTGCATTGCCGCCTGCATCATCCATTCGATGGTGCAGTCAGTGCTATGGTCCCGTGGAACGTGTCCGGTGGGGGAGGGTGTAACGTGCTGCTGTTGTATTGCAGGGCACAAGTACCAAGCGGTACTTGTGCCCTAATCTTATCTAATCTCATCATGTATTACATAATTGTTGTATACTATTTGTATGTGCTCTGCGTGTATCGAGCGCGCGTCGGTGTGTTGAAGTCAGAGACTTAACACACCACGACCTTGATACACGCACGACGCTCTAGAATAGAGCTTGGTGCACTGTATCTGAGGTTCGGTGTGATAAGGCCTCGCCCCCCATTATAGTGGAAGAATGTGGCTGGGGGCAAGAGTTTCAAGCAAAGGCTGAGTAAATTCAGCACTTTCCGAGCATGATGAGAGGGTTGGCTTGCAGATGAGTTCCACCTGTTTGACCTCACGAATTGGCTCCCAGTTGCATCTAGAGATCTCTAAATAATGTTTCATTCAAAAAATATGTCACCATGAGGGAAGAATATTGATACAGAGTGAATTTCTCAAGCAAGGCTTGAGGTGTGCTTCCAAATCGGGTGAAGAGCTGCAGGCCCTATGCAGGGGGCATGCCTTGATGCAGACCATATACCATGCTCCTAAAATCATCCGTCGCTATAGCATTCTCGCTCCTATATCCCAACATATGTTTTAGATGATCATGTGACATATGTTTTATGCGACTTACCTGTTTGAAAGAGTATTGCCGGAAAAGGATAGCCGAACGAAAGGAGGAGAATGCTATAGGACAGCTGGCCAAACTGGTCATCCGAGGATACTCCGAGTGGGCGCTACCCGCATTTCTCCCAGGTTAAACCCTAGCTTAGGTCCTGATTATCCGCATTTTCGAAACACTGTCTCCCAAACTTTTGCGTCGCCTCTCCAAGCAGTCGGAAGTCATAATGTCTGTCCCCGGAATGACACATAATGCAGCGGGCACGAGAGAACTTGTATTCATGTACATAAGTTGTCAAAGGACCACTTCAATAAATTCATGCCCGTCAAGTCTACTATCGAGCAAAGTCGTGCTTGCCGCATGTACGCCATGTAGGCAAACACGCAGTGGCCATGAGTTCGAGGGTATAGCTAGTTTGAAGCTAGAGTAGTAAACCTTACCTCTACCGAGCCTTCACATGCCACTGTCGGAGGACGTCCAAGTCCGCATTCTCCGAGAACTCAATGATCGCGGAACATCTGTGACAGAATTGATCCTGAGTCTGTTGCAGAGCGATGGACTCGTGAATCATGTAGCAATGGAAGAACTTACCCGTCATGCTGATAGCATCCTCGATGGTTTCAGTGCAAATCCAAGGCTCCGCACTGCCATGACGCATTGGACACACAATGCTGCTATGAAGATGCACATGCTCGAGATTGTGGCGCTCACGCAGAAAAAGGTAGGCCTGCACTTTAACGCACGACACGCTACACCAGTTCAGTTAGAAGGGTTTGACATCGAGGAGATGGCCAAGATGATGCTCACAATGGCGCCACTGACTTGGAACCTCTTCGGCGCACTCTTGAATGCGAATCCTGCGCTCGCAAAGCGACGTGAAAGGTGATGAAACCCGAGAGAGAGAGGTCGAGCGGAGCATGGAGGCGAGAACAATGAATTTGGGGAGTGTGAACCTGAACCTGAACTGGGGTCTCCGCCACATGGAGTGCCCGAGATTTCTGCAGGAGATCCTGAAGATCAGTATTGGGAAGATGAGATGGAATGGGAAGAGATGATACAGCTTGAAGTTAACGAGGTTAGCAGCAACATGTATCATAGATAAGTGACTTACCACAGTGTTGCAACAGAGGGGCCATGAAGACGAGATCGAACAGATTCACTGGAGCAATGATGAGGACGAAATTCTGCCCATGCACGATGACAGCATGCTGCCTGCTGACAATGATGGCGACAGTGAGGACGAGTATTGGCGCGATGATGCAATTCCTTACATTCCCGAGGATCTGGACAATCCAGAGAGCGCGCACGATCCACATGTCGAAGAGGAAAGGCGAGAGGGGATCTTATCCATGGCGCATTGAATATGTTCAGCCCTTCAAAATTGTTCTAACAGGGACCATAGAAAAAGGTTATCTGCATAAGCATTATGATGCAGAGCACTCACCAATGCTGTAATGCACTACAGAGTATGGTTGAGATGTTCCTGCATGCTTGCAATACTCTGGAGACCATTGTCGAGCTCATCTCTCATATCGGAATATCTATCTCAAGGTCTGCAATTGATGATGCAGTGTCAAGTCTGTCGCGTGAATCAGCATTAGAGATCAAAGATTGGGCCAAACACTCCTTGCCAGGTATGCATATGACAATTTTGACGTCGATGTGAAGCACCTCGTACCGACTGTCGAGAAGCCACAGGACACCTTACTTCACCTAACATCGGGAACTCTTCTGCATCTTGACCACGAAGTAGCAACAGAGGACTTGCGGTGTGCGAAAGAGCTTTGGAAAAAATCAAAAATCAATCCCGTTAATTTCACGCTGCCGCGGGGTGTCGACTTCACTAAACTTCTTACCGTCCACCCCGAGACTCCTCATGCATCAGGCCTTTCTCGCTGTCAGCGATTCAATCATTGGAAATTTCTCTATGACCTTGTTCACCATGGACCAGAATACTTTCGGGGCTTTGTCGATTGTTTAGCGCGTCCCGAAACAATCGACCAGATTCCACTTCTAAAATCAAAACAAGTGCCAGCAGAAGGAATGGATATAAATCAGTCCACTGTTCAAGGAAACTGCGACACACTGGAGAATCTCTTTGGACAAGGGGGAGTTGGTGATCCGCAAGAAAAACCCGGGCACGTTGACATTGGCAACCATGTCATACTTGTTCACAGTGACCTGTCAACTTGTGAGAGAGTTCAAAGTCTTCAGCAATCATGCGCAGAAGAAGTCAAACCTTGGCGTCGGTTCTAATTTGTCATCTTTGTGATGGGCCTCTTCCACCTTAAGATGGTGTGCGCAGATGCACTGTGGAAAATCTTCATCCAGCTGAAAGTGACCTGGGAGGATGAGATGAGCCTAATGAAGCAGGTGACAGAGATCAGACCGAAAGAGACTAGCAAAATTGGAAGCAAACCAGGTTTTCGACGAATGTACGAGGTTATCCAGCATGTTGGCATCATCTCATGGCTAGACTGCTGGAGACAAGAGATCAGCCAATGACGCACAAAGTTTCCCAGTCTCAAAGCCTGGGCAGGTACGAAACCCTCATGGGAGGATATTGAAGCCGTTGCAACAATATTAATCTCGAAGTACGTTGCTGGTAATCAATTCTCGGAGGTCCATATCCAGCCGCCTGAATCTCGGGACCAGAAACTCGAGAATACCCTCCTCAAGGAACAATACTTTCTTCTCTATGAGGAAATGTCGTATGCCTTGAACGCCAGGGACATTGGGCATGTTGAGGACTGCTTCATGCCGTGGATCTTCATCTTCAAAGGCTGCGGTAAGCACAAATACGCGACACAGATGCTTCGTTTTCTGCACAACCTTCACTTTGTCTATCCTGCGAGATTGAAGTGAGTACTAGATTGATCCATATAACCAAGACTCACCAATAGAACAGACGAGCTATCCATATGAATATCTTGTGTAATCCAACGGGCCGGAAGGCAGTGATGTCAGTTATCAAGGATAATCTTTAGTGCTAATAAGCACAGAAAAAGGATTAACTTCCCCCTAACTAAGCAGTCCCATATGGATGATCTTATGATGATCTTGTCTGAGATTATCTTAAGCAGGATCATCCAATGATTATCTCTCGCCAGTGTGGACTAGATTATCTTCAGTGTGAGTACCTCAGGTGGGATTATCCTGTGCAAGATTATCCGAAGTCCAATTAAGATTATCTTGACTTGGATTATCTCAGCTAAGATCATCTCTGGATGATCCACTTGTTGAGTCAACTCTATGTACATTGGATCATGTCTTAGCAACATAGATGATCCACCTTTCCCTCACAAAAGTTGAGAGAAGGTGGATTATCTCAAAGCTACAGGAAAGAAAACAAATATGTAAAATTATAGTTCAATGCTCGCATGAAGAAGAATGTCGGTGTTAGTATAAGTCCACACAGCTGCGCTGCTTCATCTGCACTTGCTCTTACTACCCATGGCAGTAGCATCCCCCTTGAGGTTTGTTGGACAGGTAAGCACTCTTTGCACATCCTGACATCAGCCGACAATGCACCTGACTATAGTCAAGTTTCTCCCCATCTGGATCCCTTCTCAATTTCCTAAAAGTCCCCTCGCACCCTGCAGCCATCCTTCCAAACATCTTTGCCTTCTTCCTTGCATAGGCTTGAGCACCTCTCTCGATGTTCTCCTTCTCCCCCACAGTCCGCCATGCTTCGTTCATACACCACCAAGCACGTATCATTCATCGAAACTCTTCGTGCAGTTTGTTGACCTCTTCGTCGTGACACGCTTTCTCAGCGCTAGCTCGGAACCATTCAACTCGTTCCACTGTTGGTGCCACAAACGGTTAATGAATTTCGCACTGTATCATCTGAGAGAGATCAGCGTACCTTCGACAGCCCAAGCTGCAACATCTTGAGCTGTCGCTCCAGGGGGAGCTACATTCCAGAACCACACACGCACTTCCTTGCTATCCCCGAGCGAGTGTGCAACACGTATATTTTTGATAGTTAGGTCCTTCTTGAGGTCGATCGTGCGTAAGGGCGAGTCATCGTCATCCATCCTGAGGTCGATCAACCTTTGTCGATTGTGGTTGTATCGCCGCGCGAGACTTCGTGTGTGCTTGGCCACACTCTGGATCATCCTCTGGGCTCGAGTGTTGTCCTTCTGTCCCTGCACGTGCTTAGTCTTGTCGCTGAGAAATGCGCCTTGATGCCATAGTGATTCCTTGATGGCACTGAGTAGGTCATATGCCTGCCCCATCCGGATGCGTCTCTCGAAGGTGGCAAGAATTTCTAATCCAAATGTCTGACGCTCGCTGCTGCTGAAGTCGGAGGGGAGTGCCAGCACCTCAGATTCCGGTCTTCTGTGCATTTCATCATCTTCGTCATCCTCCACATCCTCTGCATCTGGCAACTCAACCTTTGGCATGAACACCGCTTGCTGGTGATGCCACTTATCTATATCACGTTGCAAGCCCCACCCACCGTTCTGCTTCCAGACTTGCCGATTCACTAACGGAAATGTTGTCGCCATCCTTGTGCTTTGCTAGGTGAGATTCCAGTGCCAACCTGTGTGAACGTGAGACATATAACATCGTAAGACAGAGGGCTGATGTACTGCCTCGGTCTTCAGGAACTGCGCAGCACCTGATGGTGCCTTGCCCACTGCAAGATCCATTTGTCCATCTCGCGGCTGGATCTCCATCTTCGCGAGCTCTTGATAAGCACGCCCAGCGGTAGGCACTAAGACATGTTAAGCACACCCAACAGCACTGGGAAAATAACTCACCTTTAGCATCGTTTAGTAAGTACACACTCTCCACCCGCTTCCCCTTCTGCTTCGGGTCAACATCCATCTGCTGCCACGTTGACACTTTCTCCGCACCAGCAACTTCGGTCAATGCATCGTACAGTTGAGTCTTCTCTTCTTGGCCTTTGAATGCTTCGTTGACTTTGCGTGCGAGAAATGCTCCTATTACAGTTCGTTAGGGTCACTAAGTCGGCATGATTATATAAACTACAACGGTGAGAAACTCACCGACATTCTCCACCTTTTGCCAATTCCAATAATTGTGGATGTCGTTCAGAGCATCATGACGATGTCCCGCTCCCATCTCACGTGTACTGAGGCCAGCCTGGTTGTGCTCGGCCCATGGATGCTCGACACTCTCTCCGTGCGTAAGTCCAGTGCCCCACATGTAGCAGAGCGCATACAGCACCTGACACGCTTCTTTGTGGGCAAGCATGTGCATTTTCGGTAGCAGCATCTGTATCCGGTCAAGTAGGGGCATGAGTTGAGGAAACTGCGCACCAAAGCGTTTGAGGATGTTGATCTTGTAGATGCAGGCGACGTCGTAGGTGAATATAATATGTTGCAGTTCCTCGAGGCCTGCCAGAGCCCCTGCAAGGGCAAAGTCCATGTGGCCAAACCTACTGCTGTGTCAATCGCTGAGCATGAGATGTTGCATTGAAACGCACTGTTCTCCCTTTTGTAAATCCACCATGGCCACCGGTCGGAAACACCCATGGCGTATGCATATGACAGCAATGATGCCGCTCACGTCGAGGTTGCAGAATTTGCCTGGGCATTGCGCTCGCGCAACTTTAAAACCACTACAAGTCTCGGGCTACATCTTCCATTAGAGCACTCCTGCTCATAGTGGCTGAGTACTCACAGCCGGTTCGGCCTCAATAGAGTCCATGTACTCGCTCATCTTGTCTGGATGCACGAAATACCCTTGTCTCAAACCCAAACTAATGTTGTTCGGGTCATCGTGTTTTCGTTTCTTCTGTAAGCCGTGATTGCCATTGCCACTGAGCTCACAGGTATGAATATATCTAGCACGAACTTGAGAACTTGACACACGATAAATAATAAATTTAGACTCAGGCGAGCGCTGCTGGGGTCTGCCTCCAATCTTGACGCATATTCATGCCTGGCCATGGACATGTAAAGCACGGCACGGTGAGAGATTGAGGGTCGCAATTCAGAAGGGCCATCCCGTGGAAGTTGCCACTATGCTTCATCATGGTGATATAATGCCAAATTCGACTAACAATGTTAAATTCTCTGTATCGATTCTGCAACGTTCAGTCAGCGACTATCAACATTCATCAATACACATGTGTACCTTGACAGTGTGCGGCGCGGAATTGTTGGTGAGGCGTCTGATGGTGTACATGTAGTCGTACACCCCCTTCTTCGACGTTAGAGCATGCATGTGCCACTCCTTCAGCAGCACCACAGTGAATGCACTTTCCGGGTGATCTAAAGTGGCGGGGAATAATCCGGCATGCAACATTTGCGAGATGCGCTCTGGTGCTCCAGCGCAATGGCACCAATGCACCGCAAGCTCGTGAATCCCATTAGTGTGCGTGACTACAAATTTTGATGGTTTCAGACAGTCAACCAAGTCCGGACAGGGCTGCCCGTGATGCCCAAGGTAAAGAATATATCCAAGCATCCCCATGTCGACTTTCTCGAAGAACTCGCCATTCCATAGATCGATCCAATGGAAAGGATCGTGACGATGGGCCTTCGAGATACATGCCCCACAGAATGCAGTGCCTTGAAAGCAGTCGCGGCATCGTGCAACTGAAGGGCCGCTGCATGCACACAGACCGGGAATGTTCGGATGAGCTTCCGCGAACAGAAGGTCAGCGAGAAGGTCACGGAGGCATGGCATCCACTCCGCTAGTACCCTGGAAACCCCATTCTGCAAAGACTAAGAACTCGGAGTGGGAATATGGAAGATACGGCTTACCTTGACCTGTCCCGTCGTAGCTGCAGGCTGTTTTGGAGATCCTTCATGCATCGCGATGTCGGGCTCAGCGGTTTGTACCTCTGATGGCCCTGCGTCTGCTATGCCCTCTTCACTGTCACATGAAACCTTCCTCTTTTTGGCAGGGGACTCGGGGGTGTATCGAACTTGGGTATCAGCGAGAAAATGTCAGCCCTTACCATCCATCTCCATCTTCTTCGACATGATGGCCACTTTACGACGAGATGCGTGGAATGTAATTCCCTTCACCGTGCCCACTCATCGAGTTATGGAGGTAGTGGGCTGCCAATGTGATAACAGGATGAGAATTTCGCAGAGCAAGAGGAACTTACAATGCGTGCGCTGAGGACAGCGGTACCCTGGCCCACAAAATGCTGGTGTACTTCTATGATACCTTACATACACTAACCCACACTGTCCTGATCTTGACAGATCGCCTCCGCATGGGTGCGAACTCTACTGATCGAGAAGCTAATGAAAAACCGGATGCGTGTTTTGCCGCAATTGCTACATTATCGCGTAGGGACCTCACACGTGTGGAAGAATATACCTAGAGCCCGTGAGCCCGCGAGCAAGCCACCTCAGTGCCGGAGTAAGTGAGGGAGATCGATGATGAATAGCAAAAGACTTACCAGGAAATGAAGGACATCTTGAGGGCCAAAGCAACGGAAGGCCATGAAGGATAGCGGTGAGCTAAATGTGAAGAGCGAGCGGAAGAGGATACACTACGAAAATATACATACCATGGCTACAGCCACATCGTCGGCATGCAAGCCCTCGAATTTGCTGTGTCCACTCAACCACTGGTGATACCAGTGGGAGCGGACACCAACCGAGGTCTCACGATGGCCGTATGGCCATCGAAGCACCAGAGTGCTTGAAGAGGCGGAGGGAGGAAGAGAGGCTTGAGGAAAGAGCTTGAACTTGAGTCTGAGGTGGCTGGGACTTGAGGCTGTTGGACTTAGAATGAGGAAGTCGCCAGCACTGACAATCAAATCTGGGCAGAGATTCAAATTGGATGGTGAGTGGGCGGTCCTCTTCCATCCACATTCAGAGCCCGAAAGGCCTCGGACCGGCGGACTCCGAACTCAGAGGGATCAACAAGGATCATCCTACCTTCATCAATTATCATTCATCGTCCCTACCCTCCTCCCTTCTGTGAGTTTCATCTCACATTCTAATTTCTTGAAGATCTTCTTTCCCTCAAAGCCAGAGTGCAAACAAGAGGCATACATCTCTTGAATGCCACTGAGGATGACAGCTACGTGCAAAGAGAGACTTCTCTCTTTGCCTGGCTGGGATTCCCAAGAACTCAAGACCAGTGCACGTTCGAGCACGCTGTGTGCCCCCTGTATTAAGATCGGAGGCCTGTAGATTTTCGTGAGTCTTTGGCTTCTCTGTTGGAGATTGGAAGTAGGTACTCTCGGTGGTAAGTCCCTTATTCACAGGTGGTGCAGCCTTAGCATGCATTACTCATTCATTTTCCCTTCGTTGTGTAGTGTCCATACATTTCGTAGTTACGTTAGTGTACACTCATTTCGTCTGCAGGCTCATCGGCGCTGGATTGCGGCACCTTTTTTTTCTGCGAAGGTACGCGAATCGTACATCTAAGCCTTGTGTGAGGCTGATTATTCTTACCGAATCAGACGATGTCTACCAGACGAGGCCAAGGCCAAGGCCGAGGACAAGGATGAGGACGTGGATGAGGACGGGGACGTGGCTCAGGATCAGCGCTGGGGTAGCCCAATCAGAACGATTCCGGTATGTTTTCACCCGGTCTTTCTGCCTAGTGCTAAGTGATCTGAAACTCTTTCCTAAGCTCATCGAACAGTACGCGATGGAAGAGATGCCCGGCCGTCATCCTCCCAAGGCTACAATGATCTAACCTCTCGGGCTATGGCATTGCCAAGTGCGTTGTCATCTCACCAGGCGATTGCTGGTGGATCGACACTTTTAATGGGTAGGCAAATACTTTTACAATGTTCAAGCTCTCTCTGATCAAGTGAAACAGGGGCGGACGAAGTTTCACCTTTCGATGGTCTTTTGGCCACGGAGTTTCCATTGCGTAATGACAGTGTCATAACCATGCCGAATGCGAGCTACATACCTGAATTCCCGGCAGTACTCGATGGGCAGATTGTGACGCAGCAGGATGGACATTGGGGTCCCCAGAAGTATTCGAGGTGGCCGCAGATGTTCGACCGAAAGGTCATACATCACATGTGTATACCGGGTATGGCTGCTGTGTTGGAGGCAGATGCAATGGTTCTGTGGGACAAGATCAGGTTATGGGAGTGGGAGGTGGATTCGACCTGCGGTGTACCCGATCTGGGCTTTCTGATGGAGGAGAAGTTCAACATGCTGGCTGAGGCAGCACTGCGGGTGATGGACAATTTTGCTCGCCAGCTTGGCAGAGCAACTTCGGAGAAGACGAAACCCGGCCAGCAACTCATACTGATGCTGGGTCAGTGTCTGGACCATCTTCACCTCCTCCCGACGACTTGCACCCATGTGATCGCGCTCGGGGCACACGTGCAATGCCTCACACTCGAGCTGTGGGGGTTTGTCAACTATTACACTGTCGTCGTCGGTCAGCTGGAGACGCCAACCCTCCGCAGGAAACCCGATTGGGATATTTTGCCTGTATGAGGTGCTTTCACGAATGACGCCAACATCGCGCATTCGTTGTTCCGCATCGGCATACCGTTTTGGTTCATCCAGACTAAGACAGAGAAGACAAAGATCGAGAAATGGGCTAGTCCTGTGTTGGTGAGCTATGAGCTAAGCCTGGAAATGTCGTGGCCATGCCTGCTCAGGCATGAGATGGACCTTGCGGGAATCTTGCACCGCATGGGTGAATGACCCGCTAGGATGTTGCATGAGGCTACAGCTGCTGTCTGCACTACCGGCCTGCCTCCGCTCGAAGGCGCATCCGAAGTCTCAACTGCTGAACAACCCCACAGAAGAAGCAAAAGGACGACAAACTCTCATCCGCGCAACTCCCAACTGCGCAGCAGAGTGACAGCTGAGCCGATTTGCAGCCCTCGGGCAGTGCAGAGTCCGCCAAAAAGTCCAAGCGTACGCACCATGGCATGCAAGGAAAAAAAAATCGCAACGCCGAAAGTTCTAGCGTGGGGGCATCGCAGCCTGCCCATCCGTCTTTGTTGCACAAGCCCAGCATGTTACTCGGCGATGCGTGGAACACCGCCCTTTTGGGTGTGCCTCCTTTGATGGCACCGCCATGGGCGGCAACATACTTTTTCCCACCGCCTTTTGTGCTTGACTGCACCAGTGACAAGCTTTCCCAGTACCTGCACAATTTCGTGCAGATCCGCGGGTTTTGTCATCAACGAATTTTAAATCCGATGATCAGCGGGCTTCCACTGAAGATAGCGGAATGGAGGGATGCGTTGTGGGGAGACTACAGTCTGGACAAGACTGCGGAAGGTCAGAGCGCTATGTCAGCCACCTTGACGTCGGGCGAGGGTGAGGCAGCGGCGTGTGAGGGTGCATCAACATCAAGTGGTGATGGGCTATCAGATGCGAACACTGCAAGTCTTGTCGCCAGCAAATCGAGCGTGGCGAAGAAAGCCAAGGATAAACATGAGCGGCAACAAAATATTCGTCGGCTCTTTGCTGCCACTGGCCAGATGAGCTCGTACAATGAGACAATGGAACCCTCCTGGGGCGAGGACCCGATCTCGCTGGATAATGTGGTCGACGTCTGTAAGCAGATCTTGTGGGAGCTGCATGAGACCAACTGGCACTGCGAGTTGTGTGCATTGGATGCTTGTCTCTTGGACACGAGCAAATGGGGCTCTTTACATCAGTGGGAACGCGAGGCACAAGTGGCCAAGGTGTGGGATAGACGCGCCACCAGGTCATGTCTGATGGTCGCACCGTGCTGGAGTGAAGATGATGTTGCTTTCCATTGGGTTCGTGCGCCTGCGCCGGGATGGGAGCGGAGCCGTCCCCGCCTCAGTGCATTTCTCGCAGTCGTGCAACGGTGGCCAGATGTCCCGGAAGACTTGCGAATAGATGCGGACACTCTGCTCATCTGCGAGGCAGATGAGTACAATCGCTTGCAGGATAGCATCGTCTGCTTGTATGTGCAGATGTTCGTGCACCAGTTTCACCGTCTCCCCGTTGCGCCCATCCGATTCGCGTAGTGCTTGGCCGTTCATTCTGCAATTTATGTATTGTTGTACAGAAATGACATGCCCGACTTGATTGGAATGCACTATCTATGCGGGTGACAGTGCTGCCTTGTCTCGAAGATCGCCAACATCGGTTCAGAGCAGCTACACTCAAATTCAGCTAAGTGGTCACCATGTATAGTTAATTCAATAACTGATGACTTCTGTTTGCAGGCTGATTCACACTGGTAATTTCCCGATGGATCTCGAACAGTACGACGTGTCATATATGCCTGGATTTTGTATGCATTTATTTGCACTGTTTCTGGTATAAAAGCTGTGCTGCGAACACATTGAACTGCAGCGTTCACACTTGAACATGGCTCGCACCGACCCCCGCGTCAAGGCCATTGTCGACGGCCTTCTCCCTCGACGTGACGTCTTGCTGTCTTTGTTGATAACATGCTTGGTGCAACTGGAGCAGCATCACCTCGTTGTGGCCAGCTACGGTGTGACCAATGCTGAGAATCTTGGGGTGCTCTTCGAGATTGTAAGTCCACTTTGTACTCATGCACCTACATTCTTTCTGATCTCATTCAGTGTCGCACTACTCCAACGTGTGGGCGCCATCTCAAAAGGCTTCGAGCGCAAATGACGTGGGGTAATATGGCCCAGTGCCATGAGGACGTTGCTGCTCTCTGTCCACCCCCTGTACTAGGCGGTGCGGGCTGTTTGCGCTCTGACAAACCTCAATCCAAGGCCACGCCACCGCCCACCAGTCCTATGATCGACACCAGCTTGCCTCCAAGCAGCCCCCCCCCCCCCGGAGCAGCCTGCTCTTGAGTTCTTCTAGCACCTCACCAGTTTTCCACCGCCGCGGTTGCCCTCCCTTGAATTCTGCCACTGTGTCAGTGCTCGTGGTGTGCAAGATAAGTAACATTCACGTGTGACCACCAGTGAGCTTGCTAATGCGGTGTGCAGGGTTCAGATATTCCTCTCATTATTCCCACACGGGGAATACAGCGCGAGGACTATCTTGAATTCAAGTTCAAGCAGTCCTTCATCGAGACGGTGCTTATCGATGACTCCCAAGGCTTATCGCCATACCAGCGGTACTTCCCTCATTTGAAGAAGTTTGTCGACTATCCAAAGCACATGGATAAGCAGTATTTGCTTCCGGGCGACACTCCTGTTTACCGTGAAAAGAGCAGCACTTGGAATCCGAGCGCTGCTCAGATTGTTAACATACAGGTTTCGGCAACTGTGCGTCTGCCTGCGCTCATGGCCGCTATCAACACGTTTGCGAAGAACGTTCTCACCACCCCATCCTCATCTTCCGGTGGATCTCAGAGCATGCTTTCGACGCCTTCAACGTCCTCATCCAGCCGGGTTTGCGACGCTGCTAGCAGTTCAAGCTCGAGCAGACACGTGGCCAAGCGTTCACTGTCACCCAATGTGGGGACAGAGGGTAGAAAATTCAGACGGATGGATAAGGGGAAGGCACGTGAGGTGATAGAGTGTGACATTGAGCTTACAGATGATGAGGTGGAAGCAGAGATCATACCTAACGATGATGTCCCGGGTGAGATCATCGAGATTGTGGATGGCAAGGAATATTACTACGTTATGTAGACTGGTTCGGAATAGTGCGCTCTGCCACAGTCAACAAATATTACCCGCTGACACTGTCTTTCGTCATTCAGATCGGGATGCTTCCACAACGCTAAATCCGATCCTGGTGAGATCTCACATATCTGTATATGATCTGAAGATTGTACTTTTACCGTCGGAGTGACAGCGCCACAAAATATTTTTTCTGCGAGACTACGCGAGGCTAAACATACAATACCGATTGGCTTATGCATCTCAGGAGACGGATGATAAGGGTGAAAATTTGGTGAGTCTCCCTATGTTATGTGCACCCGCAGTAGCTTTCACTATGGCAGATTCCTCCATTGAAGTCATCTTGCAGAAGCACATAAGCTGGCGCCTCGTGGAGCTCACTGTGCTGGACGAGAAACATGCCGAATACTTGAGTCACAAGCTGGGTAGTGAAGAGCGAACAGCAATCTTGAAGGCTGCAGTTGCAGCATTGCAGAATGTGTCCCCTCGCTTCACCAGGGCAGCTCTCCCCATGGCACATGAGGTGAGTCTTCGCATTCATTCTCAGGGTACGATTCTCATCCATTCTATGTACATACAGAAAGTGCAGGTGTTCTTCAAGAACACCCGCATGTGCATCAGTAAAGGAGTCCAATGCGAGTTCCATGCCGGGGGCAAGAACATGTTCATTGCGCGCAAGTGTAGCAGTGGCGGCAGTGCATTATGGGCCAAGGATGATGAAGGTCGCAAAATTTGGGAGGCGGCGCTCACATCTCAGGTTGCAGAGGGGAAGGTGAACAAATCAAACTGCACAGCCGTCATCTCCTCAGTCAAGTCCAAGTGCTTCAAGGCACTATCAGACGAGGAGAAGCACACCTGGGAGGAGAAGGCGGAGGAGCTGCGCAAGGAGAGGGAGAATTTGAGTGTTGATGACCTCATCGCCGAGTGAGTCCAAGTCGTAGCTCTGCGTGATGACTTGAGGCTCACCAGTGACGTTAGCAACCAAGAAGGACTTTTTGTCAAGGTTGCATCGGCCCTCCAGGGGTTGATCGGAAGCAAGGGTTGGCAAGCAGGAGAGGATGTTGGCTTCCATTTGCGCATGGTGTACAAGCCACGAGAGGGAGTTCCCCGTTCCACTCGGTGAGTTCTCATTCTCCATATCTGTCCACGGAAATTCACTTACAGTATGTTTGCAGTGTCGATATCATGCCCACCGGGGAAACCGAATCGTTCTCCACCTTTGAAGGCAGAAATGAAGCTGAAGACGCGTGCTGGGAACGCTTCATGGCCCGAGTGTTCGGTAAGTTTTGTTGCTTCGTGCAGGACTCTCATACTTACAATACGATCAACAGTGGTGAACCGTGATCCTCCCAGGGCACCCGATGACATTGGCAAGCCCGTCCTCCCACAGATAGAGAAAGACTGGACTCCAATGCACGTAGGGAAGACCTTGAAGGAATACATGGAAGAGTTATGGTGTACGTATTTTGTTTATAAATTCATTCTCATACTAATTACTTTCATCAGTATACACACACACCGATGTTGAGGATCTCCCTGAACTCCCGTGGGACACACTCGGCGATATCGCATGCGAATTGGTTGCTGCGGATTGGCAAGGATCTGTAGGCGACCCGGTGAAGGGACGCAGAGCACACTGAGGTGGGAATCACATCCGGGAAGCGGTCTCACATTTTGGAGATACTACAGGGTGCTACACAACTGACCCCTAGTCCGACATCAGTTGGAAGCTGGTTATCGGAGGAGGGCATGCTACGAGCCTGAACGCTACTTCCAATTCCTCGACTATGATCTGCAACCGTCTCAAAGTACCATCCGCCAGCTCGCATCTACCAGTGACTCCACGCATGACATCGTACAGTTCACGGGCCGCATTGCGCAATGTCTCAACCTGAAGGCGCAAGGTTCCTGATGGCGATAAAAAGCTGAGGAACATGACTCCAGGAAAATAGGGACAGGATGACCGCGCACCAATGTCAGGGAGACCATCCAGTGGGTGGCCTAAACCAAAGTTCTCGCGGACTGCAGGGTCGTCATACAGAACGCGGGCAGTCAAACTATGAGGAATGACCGCAGGAAGATGATCCGCAATTTGGGGTATCATCCGACGACCACCTTCTACAGTGCGAGCTGTTGCCAGGTGTATTTCCACCTGGGCCAGGACAGGGATATTGCGCAGAAGGGGTAGGATGATCCTCACGCTGGCCGCTTCAGACTGGGCTTGGACCATAAGGACCTCAGGGACATGTGAGGGTCAGACAGCGAAGGATCATATGCTCGTGGGGGCCTCACCAGCAGGACGTGCATCCGGACTGCCCATGCTTTCCACAGGATCGGATCGAAGGGCTCGGTAAAGATCTCAATGTGAAGAAGAGCTTCTGCGAGGGTGTATTTGCGAAGGATGACGCTGGCATCCATGGATGGGAGATTGAGTTTAGGATGAGAGATGCCTCCAAGATGGACGGGTCCTTATTAGGCGCTCGGGCGGGTTCAGTGACGGAAGGTCCCTCAGAATGAGTAGGAGCGTGAGGGGACGGGATTGCGAGATATGGCGTGATGGGCAGTGATTCAGCGGAGCGATTGTTAAGCAGATGCGGGCAGTATCGGGAGGGCAGGAAAGGTCAGGACTAGTTAAGTATGATGGCAGGGAAAAAGGGGAGGAGGAGAACCCACCGTCCCAAAAGGTACGCTTGCGAAAAGACTCGTTTCACATTCCCATCCCATCCAGTTAGTGCGTCTTTGGGCAGTCTTGTGTTTTGTGCATTTTCTGGGCAGTCTTGCATTTCTGCATTTTAGCGTTCTCCTTAGGGCAGTGCAATTTTAGTCCAACACGTTGTCCAGCGATCATTGCAACTACAGAGATTTTCCTAGCTACACTTTCGGGCCACCCACCTCATACCTCCGGAATAGACTCTTCTCCCTCATTGCATCTCAGACCCCACGCGGACTTGATTCCGCTCATACTCCTCCTTTCCGGCTTGCGACGGAACAACAATCTCATCACCGGTAAAGATGAAGCCTGCGCAGGTCATGGCACTATACCTCCGAATGTATGACGCGCAAGACACTGACGGGTCATTCAGCTTTGTGGTCGACCTGGCCGCTATTCGAAGATGCACGATACTCGATAATGGCAACATCCTCGAAGGGCCAAGTGTCAACGAGATGGCCATCGCTCCTGACGGTGATGCCATCATTGCTGATGGTGACGCCATCGCTCCTGACGGTGATGCCATCGCTCATGATGGTGATGCCACCGACAAGGAGAAGGAGGAGGAGGAGGAGAAGGAGGAGGATGACGATGATGATGACATTGCCCAGACACCTTCACGGAAGCGGGTGGTTGTGAGCACATCAGTGAGCTCCCATGTCCTGCCAATAAGTGTGATAGTGGCGCTGATGGCGACGTCGCGGTGTAGACTTATGTCGATGACGATGGCGAGCCATTGGACCCAGACAATATTTCGATGCGCGCTCTCAAGCATAGTGCCACGGAGACTGTGGTCACTCATGGTGAGCACACAGTCAACAAGGGGAAAGGGGTTGCCGCTGCGGGTGACGCTGTCGGTGTGGAGGTCAGGCATGAGGGTGACAAGGTCGTTGCAGGCCGTGAGGACGCGGTTGACGGGCAGCGTGCAGATGGTGTGTGCAAACGCGATGATGAGAGCGATGCGGATGCGGAAGGAGAGGACGATGACGAGGAGGATGGTGGAAGCATTAAAGAGGTGGTGAAGGTGATGAGGGGTAGAAAACGGAAACAAGGCCCGCGGTATGTTGTCTCTTTAGCTGAACACCTCTTGATTGATAGCAACATATATTTCACAGTGCATCTACATCTACGTCAAACACCAAGGCCGCGGGACGGGCGGTTAACAAAAAGTGCTGGTATGTTGTATTTTATCATTACTTCTCTTGCAAGTGAGCTCACTATTCTACAGTGTCGCGGTCAGTGTCGTGGAGAAGCGGTGCACCTGCGCTACTCACACCTTTCAGTCATGTTACCTGAACTGAACTCCCATTTACCCTGACATTGTCATGAACTGGACAGCCAGCGGACGTCGGCCCATTGTCACCATGTTGACCTCTACCAGCAGTGGGCCCATACCTTTCATGTGTGGGATACTAGCAGTGGGCCCACCACTAGTGTTCTTATCCCAGTGCTCGGCCCACTAGCAGGGCATATTACAGTGTTGTAACCGTTAAGCAATGGGCCCACCGCCACAGGTCAGAGGGTGGGCTGACGCCAGAGCATGTTATCGCCATCGATGGGCCCACTGCCAAAGTATGATCAATGAGCAGTGGGCCCATCGCCACGAGTGTAAGATGACGGATGGGCCCACCGCCAAAGGTCAGAGTGTTGGCCATGGCCAGAGCATGTTTGTCTGAGCAATCGGCCCACCGCCAAAGTATGACGAATGAGCAGTGGGCCGATCGCCCAGAGTGTAACCTGAAGGATGGGCCCACTGCCAAAGGTTAGAGGGTTGACGATTGCCAGAGCATGTTATCGCCAGCAATCGGCCCATCGCCAAAGCACCCTCAGTGAGGGCCTTACTGCAAGCACCCATGGGATAGGTCATCGCCAGGACATGTTTCCGCCAGCAATCGGCCCACCGCCAAAGGTCAGAGTGTTGGCCATGGCCAGAGCATGTTTGTCTGAGCAATCGGCCCACCGCCAGAGTATGACGAATGAGATGACGGATGGGCCCACCGCCAAAGGTCAGAGTGTTGGCCATGGCCAGAGCATGTTTGTCTGAGCAATCGGCCCACCGCCAAAGTATGACGAATGAGCAGTGGGCCGATCGCCCAGAGTGTAACCTGAAGGATGGGCCCACCGCCAAAGGTTAGAGGGTTGACGATTGCCAGAGCATGTTATCGTCAGCAATCGGCCCATCGCCAAAGCACCCTCAGTGAGGGCCTTACTGCAAGCACCCATGGGATAGGTCATTGCCAGGACATGTTTCCGCCAGCAATCGGCCCACCGCCAAAGGTCAGAGTGTTGGCCATGGCCAGAGCATGTTTGTCTGAGCAATCGGCCCACCGCCAGAGTATGACGAATGAGATGACGGATGGGCCCACCGCCAAAGGTCAGAGTGTTGGCCATGGCCAGAGCATGTTTGTCTGAGCAATCGGCCCACCGCCAAAGTATGACGAATGAGCAGTGGGCCGATCGCCCAGAGTGTAACCTGAAGGATGGGCCCACCGCCAAAGGTTAGAGGGTTGACGATTGCCAGAGCATGTTATCGCCAGCAGTCGGCCCATCGCCAAAGCACCCTCAGTGAGGGCCTTACTGCAAGCACCCATGGGATAGGTCATCGCCAGGACATGTTTCCGCCAGCAATCGGCCCACCGCCAAAAGCCAGTGGGTTGGCCAACACCAGAGCATGTTATCGCCAGCAATCGGCCCACCGCCAAAGGCCAGTGGGTTGACGATCACCAGGATATGTCATCGCCACCAATGGGCCCATTGTCACATACAGCCCTGCAGTTTCCGGGCGCATTGGTGGTGATGACGTGCTCTGGTGATCGCCAATCCTCTGACCTTTGCCGGTGGGCCCATCACTCACCAGCACTCATGGCGGAGGGCCAATTGGTGGCAAAAACACGGCTTGGCGATGGCCAACCCTCTGACCCTTGGCAGTGGGCCCTTTGCTGGCGGAGCGATATTCCCATGCAGTGAAGCTTTCACTCAGGTCCTTTGGCGATGGGCCAATTGCTGGCAACAACATGCCTTGGTGATGGCGAGCGCAGTCCGCCCATCTCAAGAGTACACTGGAGGAGCGATGGGCTTTAGAGCTTAGTGATGCAGAAGTGAATGTATCCATTTTGTACTGGTATACAAGCTGTTACATAGTGGTCATATATTGCTAACACCAAAACGCTCAAAGACACTAGTTCAGTTGCTGCGATACGCCTCGCCACGAATGTCCCTCAGAATGTACCCCATTTGGAACACGGTCGAGCTGGCATTGAGGTTCGCAACGTGCATATCCTCAGTGAGGTTGAGCTCACGCTGAAGACGTACAATGCGCTCCCGCAACATGGCGCGACGACGACTAACCGCAAAGCTATCACCTTCGTCATCGTCCACTATGAATAAGGTCAACATCAGACTGAAGGTTGCCAGGGATGCACTCACTGGAACTGTCTGCCTCTGCTGCGATCTGCGCAAACGATCTACCGAGGCGGGCCACTTGTGAGCCAGAAGCGGCATTCGTCTCTCCAGGGACTGCCATTGGCAGCAGCTGTGTGGTATCTGGGAATAAGCCTGGAACCTGTTCCCAATGGGTGGGACGATGGATCGGCAGCTCATCTGGAAGTGCTGCCAGACTTGGCATCCTGGAAGTAACAGTGACTGGCTCGATGCTGCCTTTCATATAGTGAATGACAGGTGCATCGTGGCGGAAATTGCTGTCATCGAAAGTGCGAGCTGGCGAGTGAGAGGGCGCCGATGGCGGAGGCGGTGGACTTAAAACATCATCCAACAAAGGCCGCCTCTTTGGAGGCGAAGTGCTGGGACTATTTAGCCACCGGACCTGGCTACGCACAGGCGTCGCGCCAGGGCTGTCTATCACCAGAGCTCGCCGTCGTCCTGGCGTGGCAGGAGGACTATTGTCAAAGTCCAGCAGTTTCGGCACTGATTCCGCGTCAAGTGTCTCGTCCACCAGCATGCCCCTCGCCATCGGCGTACTTGCTTGACTATTGAAGTGGATGGATGTACGTGGTGTAGCGTCAAGGGGCTCAGCGATGAGCGATCGTCGAGGGAGTTGGGAGGTGTCAGGAGTGCGAAAGTCGAAAGTGTGAGCTGGTGGAGGAAGGGGAGTAGCTTCCAACAGGGCGCGTCGAGGGATTGGCGAGATGCCAGGAGTGTCGAAATCGAACATTCCACCGGGCGCAGTGGGGGTGGAATCTGAGATGAGTGCACGCCTATGGATTGGCGAACTGCCACGACTTTCATCCCAAGCTGGCGCCAGAGGGTCAGGAATAAGTGCGCGACTTCCCTCCACAGGCGCCACAGATCCAGATGACGCCTGTACCTTTGGCGAGGCGTGGCGGTAAAGATGCTCATGTGGCGAGTTGGATGGCGCAAATGGAGCTGCCAGAAACGGGGTAGTGTGGCGGGGCGTGAGGGGTGTCTGAGAAGCAGAGTGGAGAGGCAAGGAGATCTGGGCAGATCCAGGAGAGTCAAGGAGATCCGAAATGAGTGGACGACGGGGCTCAGCGATACTATCCTCCTCATCCGACTCGCCCATCGTAATGTCCAGCGTGTCAGGAGGTTCCGCGTCACTGGCCATGGCAGGTAGATTGTGGTGAGCAGACAAGTCTTCGATCAGTCCTGGATCGCGGGAGATCAGTTGTAGAAAGGGGATTGATATGACATAGAAAGGTCAGATAACATCACAAAGGAGTCAGATTCCACAAGGAGAGCAATAGAACTTACTGTTGGGAGCCATGAGAACTTGCAGCAGGTCACACTGACCTTGAGAGACTTGAGAAATCGCGCAAGTCCAGCGATCACGTGTTTTGCACGTGGTCGCGTGGCGTGTGAAGTTGAACTTGGTGCAGATCGCGTCTGCCAGCTCATAGCGTCGTCTGCTCCGCCTCCGCTGTACTGCAACCTCTGCTTTTGAAACACCCTCACGCTTTCTTCTGCCAAGCTCGCCATGACTCTGGATATCGACCCCAACTATGTTCTGCAGGCCGCGCGACTGACGGCCATTGTTGCAGCGGCGCCTCGCCAGGACGACCCTCGCTATTCGGACTGGGAGGCGAGGATTTACCTCGAAGTGGTAAGTCATCAGTCGCAGGTCTGGCATACCCTCACCGAATATGCCACACAGAGTCGGCTTGAAAAGAGTTTCCCGCAGCCCTTGAAGTCGTTGAGGATGCCTGGCATCGTCATCAGTGCGTTGCTGGAATTCACCCGGGCGTACCAGCAGAAGGCCCTGGCGCAGCTGGACCACATATCGAACGACGACGAGAGGATATACAAGAGGTACCCTCTGGCTGTGCGCGAGTATGGGGAGTGTGAGGACCTGGGAAGGCAGTGGTGGACTGAAGGTGAGTCACAAGCGTTGTGAGGCGTCGAGCGACACACTGACTGCACCAGATCCATATTGCAAGCTGCCACCGGTGAAGAGTACACCAGCGGAGGGCTGGGGCAATGTGCCAGCCGATGACGACACCCAGGGACGTGGCGAGGAGGACCTGGCTACCGGGGACCTCGTCACCAAGGGGAAAGGCAAGGAGAGAGCTGACAACGATGTCGGGACAGGCATGGTGGGTGAGCGTATCGTCCACGTGGAGGCGGGGGAGGACAAGGGAAAGGGCAAGAGCAAGGAGAAGGCGCAGGGGAAGGCGGCGCATGCGATGAGTGAAGAAGAGGATGGGGGAGAGGGAGAGGGAGAGGGAGAGGGAGAGGAGCAGGAGGGCGAGGACGACGACGATGCTGACAGTGACGAGGACGACGATGCCGACAAAGATGATGACGATGAGATGGCGGAAGACGTGCCGGGTGCAGGCCAGCCCGAATCCATCGAGGTCGATGCGGCGTCGCCCCCTCCGCCAACTGCCAGACCAATATCGATCTCGCCAGCTGCCCCATCACTCCGAAAGCGCAAGGCGGTCATCACAGAGTCGAGTGAGGAGAGTGAGAATGAGGAGGCGGCTCCGAAGGCGAAGCGGATGAAGCCGATCGAGGTCGCAAAGGAGAAAGGCGAGGCCCCGACCACCTCTGGCCGAGCGCAGCGTGCGCAGAAGAGGATGGCGCAGACCGAGGTGGAGGGCTCGAAGGTGAGCACGAAGAAGAGCGGGAAGAGGAAGGCGAAGGAGTCAAGCGATGAAGAGGAAGTACCGACCGTCAAGCCGCCAAAGAAGAAGCGTGCGACGAAGGAATACAAGAGCAAGGAGTTCATCGAAAGCGAAGACGAGACTCCGGCACCGCCTTCCAATCTACCCGCCAAGACCGCAGGGGACTGTAACGACGGTGTTGCAAAGACGAACGCCCCTGCCAA